TAAAATAAATTGTGAAATCCATATTTACAGAATTTGTTATTATATATAACAATTTGTAAAATTCATCTTTTCAAAAAATATTTTGCTACATAATAACAATGATTTATACATAAATCCTCGATAATAACAAATTTCAAACTTGTATTTACAAATTATAAAAAATCTTCAAAACAAATTAAATCTTTATAAACAAATTAAAAACTTTCTTATAACCATTTTCAACAATAATCAACTGTTCAGAGTAAACTTTATGCTTAAAAGCCTTGTAATCTAAAGTATAAAGGGATATAACTCTGGCAAATCCATCTCGCTCATCATCATGAAAATGAAAACTCAACTGTAAAAATTAATGTTTACATGTGTTTATTCTATAAATAGCCAAGACTACTATTTAAATCCTTGATTTATCTTTTATCAATGAGTATTTTTTTAAATGTTACTGTAAATATCCTTTATTGTACTTTATATCTGTATTGATGTTTTAGTTTATATTGGCTCATAAAATAAAAAAATGAAAAAATCAAAGCACTGTAAGCGCTGTAGGCAGTTAACCAAAAACCAAGGCAAACGTAATTATGAAAACTGTGGCAGTGTTGCTTCAATTTTTTTTTTTAAGATTTGAAAGAACAAACATTAAACATTCGTATATTGTACATTTATGTTCATTAAATGAATTGATTATTAAGGCAAATTAATTAATATTTCATCAAGGTTTTCAAAAGCAACTCATATATCAATGTAAATGACCCCCATCTTCATCCCCATATGCATGATGTTATTCCATACCAAGTTTGGAATAAAATGACAGGTGATTATAAAACAGTTGGTTAAACATTCTCGGGCTTTACACTGCTTGAAAGATTTATATGTTTTCTTTAAAATGAGCCATAAATGAAAATTATTATAGGCCCAGAAATAATTTAATAAATTATTAAAGTAAATTTAATTAACCTAGGCTCATTTTTTGCATCAATAAAATGTTATAATAAACAAGAAATAATTGCAACAGGATGCCTTTACGAAGTCTCCCAAACAAAGCCCCCATAATTCGTCATTCCGATGGTCTCCTGACATTGGGCAAAGTCCAGTTCATATTGGTTTGGTCTAGTAAAGTGATATGCATATGTGACACCTAGGAGATTGACCCTGTATGTCATTCAAATCTTTTTGAAATGATGAACAGGAATAAATATGGTTTAGGTGTGGGTATCTCGACCGTTTACAAGTTCTCAAACAGGAGGGGTGGGGTGACCCCAGGGACTCCCCCTATATTTCATTTGATTTGTTATATTGTCCCATACATGAATACATATGGTTTAGGGGTGGGGATCTCGACCATTTCCAAGTTCTCAAACAGGAGGGGGTGGGGTGACCCCAGGGACTCCCCAAATATTTCATTTGATTTGTTATATTGTCCCATACATGAATATATATGGTTTAGGGGTCGGGATCTTGACTGTTTACAAGTTCTCAAACAAGAGGGGGTGGGGTGTCCACATGGACTCCCCCTATATTTCATTTGATTTGTTTTATTGTCCCATACACGACAAGAAATAATTGTAACAGGATGCTGTTACGAAGTCTCCCAAACAAAGCTCCAATAATTCGTCATTACCATGGTCGCCTGACATTGGGCAAAGTCCAGTACAAATTGGATTGTGATATGCATAAGTGACGCCTATGGATTGACCCTGTATGTCATTCAAATCTTCTTAAAATGACGAACAGAAATATATATGGTTTATGGATGGTGATCTCGACCGTTTACAAGATAAAAGCACATTCTCAAATTGAAGAGGGGTGGGGTAAGAATATAAAGGGGGGGGTGGGGGGGGGGGGTGATCCCCAGGGGACTCGCCCTTTATTTCATATGATTTGTTTTTTTGTCCCATACAAGAATATATATGGTTTAGGGGTGGGGATCTCGACCGTTTACCAGTTCTTAAACAGAAGGGGGTGGGGGTGACCCCAGGGGACTCGCCATTTATTTCATTTGATATGTTTTATTGTCCAATACAAGAATATATATGGTTTAGGGGTGGGGATCTTGACCGTTTACAAGTTTTCAAAAAGAAGGGGGGTGGGGGTTACCCCAGGGGATTTCCCCTAAATTTCATTTGATTTGTTTTATTGTCCCATACAAGAATATATATGGTTTAGGGGTGGGGATCTCGACCGTTTACAAATTTTCAAAAAGAAGAGGGTGGGGTTACCCCCCGTGGACTTCCCCTATATTTCATTTGATTTGTTTTATTGTCCCATACAAGAATATACTGTGGATTCATTTATTTTCGTGGGTATCAATTTTCGTGGATTGTGGAAAACTTGCATTTACGGGGATATTTGATTTCGTGGTATTGCCAATCTCTGCATATAAAGCCTATAGAACATTTGCTATTCGTTGAACATTTAAATTCGTGGTTCACCTGTACCCACGAAACCGACGAAAATTGGTATCCAACGAATAATAATGAATCTACAGTATATGGTTTAGGGGTGGGGATCTCAACCGTTTACAAGTTCTCAAACAGGAGGGGGTTGGGGTGACCCCAGGGAACTCACCTTTTATTTCATTTGATTTGTTTCATTGTCCCATACAAGAATATCTATGGTTTTGGGGTGGGGATCTCGACCGTTTACAAGTTCTCAAAAAGAAGGGGGTGGGGTGACCCCAGGGGACTCGCCTTTTATTTCATTTGATTTGTTTTATTGTCCCATACAAGAATATATATGGTTTAGGGGTGGGGATCTCAACCGTTTACAAGTTCTCAAACTTGAGGGGGTTGGGGTGACCCCAGGGAACTCACCTTATATTTCAATTGATTTGTTTTATTGTCCCATACAAGAATATCTATGGTTTTGGGGTGGGGATCTCGACCGTTTACAAGTTCTCAAAAAGAAGGGGGTGGGGGTGACCCCAGGGGACTTCCCCTATATTTCATTTGATTTGTTTTATAGTCCCATACAAGAATATATATGGTTTAGGGGTGGGGATCTCGACCGTTAACAAGTTTTCAAAAAGAAGGAGGATGGGGTTACCCCCATGGACTTCCCTTATATTTCATTTGATTTGTTTTATTGTCCCATACAAGAATATATATGGTTTCGGGGTGGGGATCTTGACCGTTTACAAGTTATCAAAAAGAAAGGGGTGGGGGTTACCCCCATGGACTTCCCCTATACTGTGGATTCATTTATTTTCGTGGGTATCAATTTTCGTGGATTGTGGAAAACTTGCATTTACGGGGATATTTGATTTCGTGGTATTGCCAATCTCTGCATATAAAGCCTATAGAACATTTGCTATTCGTTGAACATTTAAATTCGTGGTTCACCTGTACCCACGAAACCGACGAAAATTGGTATCCAACGAATAATAATGAATCTACAGTATTTCATTTGATTTGTTTTATTGTCCCATACAAGAATATCTATGGTTTAGGGGTGGGGATCTCGACCGTTTACAAGATAATAGCACATTCTCAAATTGAAGGGGGTTGGGGGACGGGGGTGACCCCAGGCACTCACCCTATATTTCATCTGATTTTTGTTGTTCTGTGATCATTTCTAAAGACTGTGTGTGTCTATCACTTACAATTTTCAAGTTAAAGTCATTTGAAAATTTTAAAAGATAAAATCTCAAAGGTTTCTATGGTAAACCCCTCCCTTCTTTATGCCCCTTAAAATACCCCTTTAGAGACCCCAATGCACAAACGATTGGTTGATGGCTCCCCTAGACATGTAAATCTAACATTTTTAGAAACCCTAAGTAAATCTGACAAGGGGTTTTGGAGAACCGCTGCGGACAAGTTCATCTTTAATGTGGCGGAAGAAGAAATAGAAAAAGAAAAAGAAAAAGAAGAAGAAGAATAATAAAAATAATAAGAACTGAGCAAAAACAATAAGTCTCCAAACTTTGTTTGGGAGACTTAAATATATATGGTTTAGGGGTGGGGATCTCGACCATTTCCAAGTTCTCAAACAGGAGGGGTGACCCGAGGAACTCCCAATATATTTCATTTGATTTGTTATATTGTCCCATACATGAATATATATGGTTTAGGGATTTGGATCTTGATTAACAAGTTCTCAAACAGGAGGGGGTGGGCGTCCCCAGGGACTCCCCCTATATTTCATTTGATTTGTTTTATTGTCCCATACATGAATGTATATGGTTTAGGGGTGGGGATCTCAACCATTTCCAAGTTCTCAAACAGGAGGGGTTTGGGTGACCCCAGGGACTCCCCATATATTTCATTTGATTTGTTATATTGACCCATACATGAATATATATGGTTTACGGGTGGGGATCTCGACCGTTTACAAGTTCTCAAACATACATACATGTATATGGTTTAGGGGTGGGGATCTCAACCATTTCCAAGTTCTCAAACAGGAGGGGTGGGGTGACCCCAGGGACTCCCCCAAATTATTTTCATTTGATTTGTTTTATTGTCCCATACAAGTATATATATTGTTTAGGGGTGGGGATCGCGACGGTTTACAAGATAAAAGTACATTTTCAAATTGAAGGGGGTTGGGATGACCCCCAGGGACTCACCCTATATTTTGATTGATTTTTTTTTTATTGTCCTGTTCTCATTACTGAAGACTGCATGAGTCTATCACTTACTGTTTTCGAGAAATAGTCATTTGAAAATTTAAAAAAATAAAATCCCATAGGATTCTATAGTAAACCCCTCCCTTCTTCATGCCCCTCGAAATACCCCTAAATAGACCCCAATGCACAAACAAAAGATTAATGGCTCCGCTAGACATGTTAGTCTAATATTTTATGAAACCCTAAGTAAATCTGACAAACGGTCAAAGTTGTCTTCTTAGACGGTTTGAGTGGATTCGGTCCGACTTGTCTCGGGGACGAGTTGTCCACATTACTTTAAACATCCCATCAACCTCGATTTCCGCATCTGTTTTATGACCTCGTTTCATTCATAAAATAACAACAACCTTATTTGGCAAGATAAGTTTAAAATAACCGCCCACTTATATAACTTTATTTCCTCTATCATAGAGATTTGTTGTACATGAACAATATTCCTGCGCATTTTGCCATTTGGGAAATATAAATATAAACGACTTGTAATTACCGATTTTCGGCGATGAAATATTTCATACAATTGTTCTTTGACATCGTAGCCAAATGCACAGGGGATAATAAACTACGTACTGATTTCTATTGAGCACTACTTCCTATGTGCAACTTCAAAAGTTTTGGGTAGTTCGACGATCATTTTAGGTTTTTCTGGTCATATTTTTTGTATTCCAGAAATAAAAGTATTAAAAAAATGTCCAATTAGTTATAAATAACATAATAGACAGCTAGATAATAATAATGGCACGTATTTCAGCATTTATTGGGTAGAACACAAATCTAGGGTGCTCGCATAAGGCAGCTTAACTGCCTAAAAATCATTCAGTAAAAAAATTAAATGATTGAAGAACTTACTTTATTGACTTTGTTGCAGTTCAGTGGATGAAAAAAATCTCATATTTGTCTATCTCCCCAGATTCACATTTCATGCATCATAAAAGATAAGTACTAGTTCAGATCTGCTACTAATAAAATTAGGCAATTCTATGATGTTGAAAACTATTGTTATCTCAGGTAGTAATTTTTCATGTTTTATGTTTTTCAAAATAAATTTTTCATTTGAACTCAAATTCACTTCCTACCTTTAAATGCTTCTGAACATATGTTTTGGACCTTAAGTTATCTGTTAAAAATAAGAAGAAAAATACTTCCTGTCTTCACAGGGATTGATTTATTCTTTGTCCTGCTATAGCTCCTATTATTTTCTAATTTCATCTAAAGTCTAAACCAAATAAAAATTTGAAAAAGCAATACACATAATTTTTTTTATAGGAGCTAGGGACAAGTTTTTTTTCACACAGAAAGAAGAAATTCATAAAAAATTTCAACCAGATGATTAAAATAAAAAAAAAAAACTATCATCAGTTATCTAACAATTTAACATTTAGTTATCTAACATTCAGTCGTTAAACAACATTACATTTGTACTATTCTATTTTGATATTCTTTCTTTGATTAGTTTTAATGTTGTACATTATTACAATTTTATAGCTGCCAACACAATAAGTTGAAAAGTTGAGTACCTATCAATGTCTGAGAATAATCACCAATCTTTGGCAAAATTTCTTGTTTATCAGCGGTGCTTGAAACCACAAACTGATGGTTAGAAAGTATCAAATATTGTGGACCAAAAAAACAAGATATACAAAATAAAACTACTGAGAGACACCTGTGCATTAGGTTATCTTGGAATATAAAATAATATTATAAAGTTGTAATTATTGCCATAATAATATTAGTCAACTGGTTAACATTAATAACTAAATACTGCAAAATAAAACAATAACTTACTGATAATCCAGTTCACACATGATCAGATCTACAATAGGATGTCCCCCATCCCTTCAGTATTCACTATGTTTACTGTGAAATAGGGTTAAACATTATAAGTGAGTAACTTTTTATGTTTACAAGTAAGCAACTGTTTCGATTAAATTTTAATTTAAAAAAAAAACTTCTACTTTTAAACAATGTAAAAAATAATTATACAACATTTAAGTTTTGTGACTATTAAGTCCATAGGAAATAAAATGAATACACTAAATTTATAACAAGAATATGTGTCCATAGGACAGTAACAATGCCTCATTCACATTAAGACTTGTCCATGTTCAGTGAAAAGTGAAATCACATGGTCAAAACCTTAAATTGGCATCGTTTTTAAAAGTTCAAATCAAAATGAACTTGTTTATGTTATGACCATACATTCCTCTTGAATTAGAAAAACTACTGGGTAACCATACTATGTAAGCATATATTTCTGGATGAAAAACTGATGCATTAAAAAACAATATAATTGTCAGATCTAATAATGCAGATAATTCATACAGCTATTTCTGTGTGAGACAAAAAGTAAAGATAGAATAAAAGTAATTATCTGAAAGATAAAATTAGCTCCTTGTATCAAAATTATTTCTGTTCTCATTTCAAATATAGCATGAAGTACTGTTTGAGCAACTATTAACAAATAAAATATTTACACTTTCAATAACAATTAACATATAAATATATATATACTGTTTCAGCAACTTTTAACTTATAAAATATGAATCTTAATAACTGAAAATATAAATTTAGAAACATTTAAAATATCTTTCTATAAATTCAAACATTAAATAAAATAAATAAAAAGTTTCTTCTATTTCATCTAAAACTGAATAAAATTAGCATAAACATGTGCATAACAAAGTAAAACTAGAAACAAACAATAACATAATACAGAATTAATATTCATTTCATATTTTAATTATGGGTATAATTTATAGGGTTTGATTCTTTTTGAAAATAGAAATATTTCTAAATATGTCTAGTAAGTGTTTGTTTTAAGTAAAATAAAAGGACAAATATACATGTTATGTACATTGTATTTCTGTAGATACCTAAACATTCAAGCTAACCATTAAGATTTTTTTTTATTTATAATAAAACCTCTGTGGTCCGACACTCCAACTGCAATGAGGTTATAATAAAAATTATTCCTTGATTTTCTTCCAACTTGATAAGAATTTATTGCATACTGAAATTTGTTAGAAATGAACTCATTCAAAATTCAGAATGAACATTTTTCATTGAAATGGAAAAAATGTTATATCAAAAAAGATTCAAACTTACAAATTCATTCATACAGTTTTGTATTATTCAAAATTATCAGTAAATTATGTGTTCTACAAGAATCACCAGTCCTTCACCTTTCATCTGATACCTTAATTACTAAAATATATGCTATATAGTTTTAGATTTACACCTATGCGTAGGAACTATTTTGTTTTAAATGTGTACTACTTTCAAGTATGTTCTTTTTTGACCGGGCCCGAATAGGTGGTGTTACATCGTATTTAGTCTATCCAAATTTACTTTTGCAAAGAATTCCGCTCAAGCCGGTGCTAGGGGCTGTCTTAAACTTGCAGTGTGGTGAGAGTTTTTTTGTTGTTGCTCTGTGTTGAAGGCCTCACTGTGACTTTGAGATAAAGAACAGCAATAAAAGCACTGTTCCTTTGCTTATTGTATGTTTTTTTGCTGTGCATGTACTTATTTTGTGTCATGGATGGATACCCCATATCCTTTTTTTTCTATTACAAAACAATTGGTGCATGAGGGCTAAATCCAGGAATATAAATTTAATAGCTTATGAGGCAATTGATATAAAAAAAAGCATAAAAAATAGTTGCAGTCATACATAAAACATTTAACACAAATACAGGTACAAAAAATGTATACAATATTAATTAAGATCTTTTTCACTAATCCTGTCCCATCAGAAACAATTATGATGATAAATATTATAAATTCAATTATCATTTTATACAGTCTTTAACAAAAGTAAACAAACGCAATACAAAAAAAGCATCAGCACCAACTTAACAATTGAACAATTTAGATACATGTATTCAATAAAACATTTACAACATAAAAACAACAGCAGCCATTATTAATTAACATCATACAATCTTTTCTAGATATACAGGGTTGCTTTAATTTAGCTTTAATGAAGCTTGACATAAAACTTATATTTATATATAACATAAATCTATAGCACTGTCTTTAAAATATTTAAAACATTTACCAAGTTGCTCCTCTTGACATTGAAATTTTTCATATATCTCTTTGTCTTTGTTTTTGTGACCAAAAATAATATGTTAAGCAAAACTAACTTGCAGTTTCTTTCAAATGTCAGCTTTTCTATCATTCATTAATAATGGTTCATCATTAAGTACAGATTTTCTTCTTTCCATTCAAAGCCAGTTGAACTAATTGAATTCCTCTTGGACACACTTTTCCATTTTTCATTATTCACAAGTTTTATCTGCTTTCACTTGTGTTCTTTTTGTTTGGTTTCATGTATATATTTAAAGACCTTTTTAGACAGCCCTTAATCCCTGTCACCCCACTATTCAGAATCTACTTACTGTGGATTCATTATGATTTTTTGGATACCACTTTTCATGGATTTCATGGATACAGGGGAACAACGAATTTAAATGTTCAACAAAATTACAAATTTTCTGAAGGAATGTATGCAAAATCTGGCAAAATTTTGAAATCAAAAATTTTTCATCAATTCACGAAAATTGGTACCCACACAAATAAAGAAATCCTCTTTTATTGTATAGTTTTAGACTTACATCAAACAACAACCAATAAACATTTTATATAAACTATAAATTCACATATTTCCTTAGTAAAACCATGCAATATTACAGATCATAGCACAACTTATGATGATTCTGAAAAGAAGCAATTGCTTATACAGACTATATATATATATATATAGCTATCAAAGAATTGGATGATTGAATGCTTAAAGATGGTCTCCCTTCCCTTTGTCTTCATCCCCTTTAACTGTAATAGGCACCTCCTCAAACTTCATTTCTACCACATTTTTATCCATATTGTCTGGATAAGTGTCATCTAACATGGTAACAACAGTTTCTGGTTGGTGTAATGTTTTCTTCTGCATTCTTTTCCTAATCATATGAATTATGATAGCTATGACCATAGGAAGTGGTGTGAAAATGGCACTTGTAATAGGTGGTGTTATACTAATGTCTGAATCAGGGGGAGGTAATGACACTTTCAACAGAACAATAGCAATGCCAGTGTTTTGTATTCCAGTTTCTATGGCAATGGTGAGTATGTTTTTCTTGGATTGTCTTGCAATAAAAGCTACGATGGCACCAAAAGCGAATCCTAAATAAGGTGCCAGAGCTCCTGATATCAGCACAACAGGAGTCATCACCTTAAATATATACAAATTGGCATACACTCCAACTGTAAAGACAAAGACGAGAAACAGAGCTGTGACGTATGGAACACATTTCACTATGTTCTTTGCCCAGTTTGGTTTCTTTTTCTGGATTAGGATTCCAATCCCAACAGGAATGAGTAGGCCAAGTAAAGAGTAGATAATGTTTTGATAAGGAATTTTTATGGAATCTGCTCCCTTGTAGATATAATTTATTCCTAGGGAATATAACCACATAGGAATAAAACCTGAAATAAGAGAATCAGTGCAGTCAGAACAACAACATATATTTCACTGTGACTATCAATCGTTTGACAAATGAAAGACCTTTTATTATAAGTAACTGTTAACTTCCTTTTCTACTTTGTTCTGTTAATTATATACATTTCCTGAATGAAGTCATGTATCTTTTTTTTTCATTTGTATAAACTTTATACATAATCAATTATTTATTTTTCCAATGTAATAAAATGACAGTTAATGATATCAATTTTTCAATATAACTGTACTTAACTTAATTCTGCATTTGCATGTTTTGTGTGTGCAATATATTCATGAGGGTCTGAAATGGCTTCATTTTGTATTCTCTAATCTTTTACAGCAATTTTTCTCTATTCTTTATATTTTAGCACCCAATTATTCGCTATTCTTTTTAATTTTTGTCCATTTTCCTTTATTCTCTTTAACCCGATCTACACCCTCATTCATTGAGATTTGGTAGAAATAGGTTAATAATACGAAGCCAGGAACCCTTTCAGTTTAGTGGTTATCAGATTATCAGAAACTGAAAGGGTGGTTATCATCAGTTTCCTTTGTTATAAATAAAGGGGATCAGCTGAAGGAAATGTGAGGTAAAGATCAATGAGGCATCAACCCAACATGAAGATGCAGTTGCCACCATACAGAAGCCCATAACAGTGGCTTAGATTGTGTGTAAGCAACAATGCTCATATGTTATATCACCCACATTGACTCAATATAACTGGTACAAAATTGGCCCTCCCCTATACTTTATGAAGGGAGGCATCCACATTGTTTTCCATTCATTTGATGTGTTTGAGCTTTTGATTTTGTAATTTGATAAGGGGACTTTCCATTTTGAATTTTCCTTGAAGTTCTGTATTTTTGTTGTTTTACTTTTTGTTTATGTGACTACGAGCCACATCATGTATATTATAGGTTACTGAACTTTGGCTGCTCGTTGTTTCTTTTGAAAAGTTTAAAACCTTTTAAGGTTTACTGTTGGCTTGTGCTCAATGTTGAAGGCTACAATTACTATGTGACTATTACATATATTTTCTAGTCCTGTAGTGAAAAGATGTTGATATGTTCACAATAGATCATTTTTGCAGTGGTAAACAATCAAACAGAGATCAAAATTAACTATGTAACTGTCACATAAACTAGGACCTTTTGTACATCAACCTTCCTTATTAATATAAGGGAGCTACCATTTGATTTTTATGGGGGGGGGGAGGGGGGCTAGGATGAAATTTGAAAAAAAAAGGCAGGACAGAAGTTTTGAGTAAAAAAATAAGGCAGGATGAGCAACTTGGCAAAAAAAAAAAGGCAGGATGACAATTTATGTAAAAAAAGTCAGGACAAACTAATTAAAAAAAAGGCAGGACCGAAAAGGGTGAAAAATAAAAAGGCAGGACAGAGATTACAACTAAAAAAAAATGCAGGACAAAATTTTTCATCCTAGCCCCCCCATAAAAATCAAAATGGTAGCTCCCTAAGTACAACAGAACAAACAAGTTTATTGATTACTTGATAAAATCAGAGGACCATTACATTTACGATATACATGTAGATTTTACAAACCCTAATGTATGATGTAATTTAATTGATCCTGTTAGATTTTGCATAACATTTTTCAGAGTTTTCCTGTTGGAAAAAAAATATATGTACATGTACAAATGACTTTACGAAATACATTTATTTACCCAAACTGGCAACTGTGCTGACAAAAGTCATTGTTACACTAAGTGATACATCACCATCCAATAAATGTGTATAGATATTACTGGCAGCTCCCCCTGGTGAACAACCCATGGCAAATAAACCAAATGCTAAAGGAGCATCTAGTTTAAATGCTAGACCAAGACAAAATGCTATCTGAAATAAAACAAGGTACAATTTAAACTTGTTCCACTCAAATGCATGAAAGTACATGTTTATTAGCATTAAAACAGCACTAAACAAGTTACAACATAATATTGAAGGAAAAAAAAATTATAATAACATGTAATGATGGTATATATTTGTATTTGTATGTGAAGAAAATCAACATATTTTTTGAATACATGTACAAGTAGACTAGATTAAATTGTAATTGAAAGACAAGAGTGACAATGATTCCAATAATGAAGTTGGTTAATAAAGCTCCTGGGGAGAATACTGCTTGAACTTTCCTGAACACTTTTTCTCCTACATTCTATTTACCAAAATTTAACTTGATTCAGATATTCTCGCAAAAGATAATTTGTCAAAGAATTTAAATTTGTATTGAAAATAATAAAAAATAATTAAAATATTTTTTGTGTATGTTATTGATTTTTTTTTGTCTATTTATTGAAATGAAAAGTTTAAAAAAAAAAAACACATACCCACTACCCCCCCCCCCCCCCCCCCCCCTTTGCCACAAAAAAAATGTTGAATGGTCACTGGTAGATTATTTGACAGAAACATCGCAACAACTCTTTACTGGTTAACATGTACACATTGGTTAATATGTACATTGATTGATTGATTGTTATTACAAACAACCGGACAATCAGATTTATAGTACTATATATCTTTGTCTCTGATACAACTGTGTGTACATTTATAATCAGTGAAAGTGCTACTTAAGTATTACTAGTACATTTTTGTACATGTATTATTGTAACTTGCTTTTGCAGCTAGATTAGCTAGATTTGAATGAAATGTCTAAGGTACATATTGGTTTTGACATCTACAACACATATATCATGACATCTTTAACTTTTTAATTAACCAATATATTAAATACTGACCAAAGGCATGAGTAGAAACTGTGAAGCTAATCCAGTCAGTGGTGCTATTGGTCTCTTTAGAGTAGACTTCACTACATCTAAATCAGTCTTACATCCCATTGCAACATTTGCAAGACATACAAGTATGATAATAGATACAGTAAAGGCAGTGTCGATAGGTCTACTGTCTCTTTTTACCACAAGTTTGTAGGTTTCTGTGTAATCATACCAATCCACATTATCTCCCCTTAATGTCCCATTTAAAGATTTGTTGACTAAAAATTTAAGAGCTGTTTCGCCCAAGAAACTGCCATAAATGGTTACTGTTATGTTACTTTGTTTATTTTCCGGAATTAAAAATATTTCCTCGGTGGCTTCTGCTACCTCTGTATTTGTAGAGACGGCTTTAACACCAACGGGACCCTGCTCGTGAGATTCGAGAAGTAAGCTCACATTAAAGATAAAATTCTTCACTTCATCGTCAAAAATTGCATCACTGTGAACATGCGGTTTTATTTCAATTGTTCCTGCACATGCATTATGTGGCATTGATAACAAAATGCATAAAACAACAAAATTGTGCACCACTAAATATTTCTCCATGTTTGTCCCCTTTTCTTGACCCTTGATTATAATATCCGGTCCTATTCCTGTGAAATTTCCGGTCCTAAACTCTCAGTGCGTCCATTCTTATCTTCTTTTTAAAGTCGCGAATATATCTGATTGAACAACATGTAACCAATTTCATACTTGTGTAATATCGTCTGTAGGTAATATATTTCATGTTACGTAATCTGTCATGAGGCTCCACACAGTTTTTCCTCAATAAAAATTGATCTGAGAATTAATATTATAAGAAACATATACATATTGTATTATATGTCTCAGATATTTATATAGTAGTCGCGGTATGTTGTTAACATTATATTCCAGAGACATTTATATGTATATGTGTGTGTGTGTCTCTCTCAGGTGTCTGTATATTCATCTTAAACTAGCATCAATGACCATAACACTTATTCAATTAATTCAACTGGTCTAATCATGGCATATGATTTTATTATGATACTATCTCTATATCTATATATAGTGTTTTTTAAACGTATATGCCATGATAATTAAAAAGATTAGAGATCTTACTCTCTCTCCATGATAGAAAGACCCGAATGTCTTAATTTACCCATAGATATAATGGCGATTATATATATGATTTACCAATACAATTGTTGTTTAACCGGCGTTCTTCTCTTCTACCATTTTTACTAAAGATCTCGAAAAATGACATGCGAGTCCAAATCATCAACCTGATTTAAGAACCTACCCAAGCTGCCCCGTAGTTTTGAGGGCTAGCCAAATTTCTCACCGGGAAGATTTGTCGCTAGTGAGTGATCGCTAATGTTATGATCTTCTGTATATTCCGGCAATATTTCTATATTTTATATACAGAACATCATGCATTTTTCTTTTAAATTCGTGCAGTATCAATTGATGTATTTCTATACAACGATTTACCACAATATCAAATAAGGAGATGTGCCAATGAGACAACTATCCACTCTGAGAGACCAAATGACGTAGATGATTGCAAATATAGGTCGCCGTACGACCTTCAACAATGAGCATAACACATACCATATACCAAGCTATGAAAGGCCCCGACATAACAAAATGTAAAACAATTCGAATGATAAAACCGACGGCATGATTTACAAAACAACAATCGAAAAACAAATATTATATACAGTAACAAACGACAACCACTGAATTTCAGGCCCCTGACTTTGGACAGAAACAGTGAAATAGAAAGAATGAAGCGGGGTTAATGTTTATCCATACAACATATTCTTATTTTCGTATTAAGTATGTGGTACGAAAGTAGAAAATTGAATATTCAGTGCAAACAATGAAAAACATATGTATCCAAATCCTGTACCCAAGCGCATGTGATACCATTGTGCACCTCATATTCCAGATTTCTTTTGGCGGGTAATGAACATTGCCAGGATGGCGTGGAAAGAGTGCCTTTGTGACCTTTGCTCCAGTACCTCAAAAAAGCTAGTTGTCTAGTATTTTCTTCATCAGAATTTTAAAATGAGTTGCAGAAAGGACATGTTTAACTGAAAATGATGAAAAGAGACGTCGGATCCTGTGGTCTCTTGGTGGTCATTGATCGCTGTCGGTCATACTGGTTTTTCTTTTAGTGTAGACCAAATATAAATCAGTCCGTTGGTCTTCTCTTTTGAATGGTTTCACATTTTATCAACCAGGTCGCGCCTTTTATAGATTGGTATACCTTTTACGTGTTTTGTTTATTGTTTTGCTCTATATGCCCACAAGGGCCCTTAATTGGTAATAAAATATGTTCTTGTTCTTCTTGTTCTATTGTTGAAGACCGTAGGTACATACATGGCCTGTAATTGTTCACATCACTGTCCTTTGATCTTTATGGATAGTTGTCTCATTGGCATTCATGTAACATCACTTTATTTAAAAACAAATTCCTTTACTGCTTTTCTTCCGGAATCCATGATTAAAATAGTTGTTAGATCTTATTATGCAGACTTGGGGTTCATATGAGAAAACTCAGCTAATTTAAAATAATAGAACGCCGACGGAATTGGTCCTCGGTTAACATAAATATCTTTAAAATATCTTTGGAGGTCATAACATTATTTATAGGTGGTCCATAAATCACGTATGGAAACTGCAACGTGGCGTAGCTAAACGTTTTTTATTTGTAGCTTTTTGAAACAGTCGGCGACTTCCACGAATGAACTTTTTTTTTAATCTTAAATCTTCATTATTATAACTATGATAGTTCTTACATAATTCAGGAACTTCCTAAAACCGAATTATTAATTGAGGAAGTCACGGCCTAAACTCGAATTATTTTTTATCTTTTTAAGTAGAATATTCACGGGTTGACTTGTTTTGCTTCCTAATCATTCATTTGATTCTTGGAATAACGCTATATGTTCTGCACAGGTTTTAATTGTGTTCAGTTCCGTGAAGTTGACACTACTGTTAAGTAAGTTTCATCTGTGCCGAATACTATATTGTTGCCTATGAATCCTACATATATTTCCTGTTTATATTACATTGAATTTGTTGTTATATGTATATGCCATTGACCCTTTATATAATTTGCGATAAATAAAATTGGATGTGAAATTTGAAATTTATTTATTTCTATAAGAGGATTTGCTACTCAAAGTTTTAGAAACAACATTACAATGAATAGAAAGAAGGGAATGATGAAAAAAAAATTGAATGAACAAATAGATACAATTGTGATGAACAATTAAAAGTGATGGCCACGAGAATATACAATAACAGGTACAAATGAATAAATATAAAAATAAAGATTTGATTGATGATTGTTGCATATGGTTGCTTAACGTCCAGTGGAAAATATTTCATGCATGTTCATGGCGAAATAACGATTTGAGATTAATGACATGAAGAGATTATGAATACAGATGAAAGGCACAAGTTAATGAGTTAAGAAAATGTCCAGGATAACCAATAGAACGAAGCAGTTCACGTCTGTATGAAAGAAAATTGTTTCAATAAGTAAGGCCTTTTTCATACAGAATATGAGGTGGTTTCCCTCCTTTATGAAAAAAGCAAATATGTTTAATGCATAACCCTTTTTTCTTTGCCGTTTGCTCTTGTAAAAAGTAAAACCTTATCTAAAATCCTGGATCAGCCACAGACAACTAGATATGATTAAGGTCCAATGAAGGACAATCCTTTTTAGATAAATATTTCCAACCTATGAAGCTGATTATATTTATAACCATGGGGGGGTACTATGGGTATATTATTGATGGTTATGTCATGGAAGTGATCTAGTACTCCCATGGTATCACCAAAAGCAATAGTTCCAGCAGTCAAATATAATAAATCTTGATTATTTTTTTCACCAATAGCAATAGTTCTAACAGTCAAATATAATATATCTTGATTAATTTTTTCACCAATAGCAATAGTTCCAACAGTCAAATATAATAAATCTTGATTAATGTTTTCACCAATAGCAATAGTTCTAACAGTCAAATATAATAAACCTTGATTATTTTTTCACCAATAGCAATAGTTCTAACAGTCAAATATAATAAATCTTGATTAATTTTTTCACCAATAGCAATAGTTCCAACAGTCAAATATAATAAATATTGATTATTTTTTTCACCAATAGCAATAATTCTAACAGTCAAATATAATAAATCTTGATTAATTTTTTCACCAATAGCAATAGTTCCAACAGTCAAATATAATAAATCTTGATTAATTTTTTCACCAATAGCAATAGTTCCAACAGTCAAATATAATAAATCTTGATTAATTTTTTAGAATCACTTATCCAGTTGAAAACCACTGGTTTAGTGATATCTAATTTAGTGAGGTGAACATATAGCATAACTTGTGCTTATGGAAAGTTCTCTATGTAATCATTATTAATGGTATAGAAAAACAAATGATATGGATTATCCATCCATGACACAAAATCAAGCTTTTGAAATAAATAAAATGAAAGCAAAATATGATGTTCGAAAATCAAGGTTCTAGACCATCTTAAATGTAGTCAGAACTTTCTGAGTGGAAAGTTTGAATTTGATCTGACCCTGAATATCCCCTTATCTTTTATTTCATATTGAAAGAGGAAAGAAAAATAAAGAAAAAGAAAAAGGCAGATGAAAGTGAAGCAGAAGTCCACTTCCTCTCAGTTACAATGCATTTGTTCACATCATTCAATCTGTACCCAAGACATGTCTTTTTTCTAATTGTTATACTAGTATGTAATGACCAGTGAGGATACAGCTTTTCGGAATTGAAGTGATGGAAAGATTGTGTACATGATTTCTAATAATATGAATAGATGGCTAGGTCTCTCTATGTGTATTACCAGCGACTGCTGAGGCTATTAAACTGGCAATATATAGTAAATAGTAAGCGAAAGTTATTTCTAGTATATTCATTTAGTCTAACACAGTAAAAACATTAGAATAATTGAAATTAAAAGAAAACCAAAAAATAATGGATTTTGGAATAAAGGGGGGAGGGCAAAATAATTTGTCCTGTCCACAAGAACCTGTGGGTTTCTTGTTTTAGGTATTTCTTTGTTTCAACATAGGTATTCTATTTTTAAGTATATTTTTTTCTTTATTTTTTCTTTAACAAAATGGAGGTGTTCACAGTTCATTACAAAAGATACATAAAAAATAAGGAGATGTGGTATGATTAGCAATGAGACAACTAGCCACCAAAGTTCAAATGAAGTGGATGTAAGCAATTAAAGGCAACCGTACGGCCTTCAACAATGAGAAAAATCCATACAGTATGGTAAAAAAGACACATTATACCTTATATTGACTCCCAAGAGCCTGTGTCACTCACCTGATTCTACTTTGGTTTTAGAAATCATGTAAAAATAGATAAATCATAACAGATACCCTAATAATGATTGAGGTCAAATTTGGTTTAATATTGGCCCCATAATTTAATCAAAAGCAGAAGACTTTTGTAAAAGTTTACAGAAATTACCAATAAATTCATTGAAATTGTAGAAAATGACTTTGTAAGGACAATGACAAATCAGCTACAAAGTAACCACACTTGGTCAGCACCTCAAAAGAAACATTCATACCATGTTTGGTTTCAATCCATTAAGCAGTTTTCTAGAAGAAGACATTTGTATATATTTCCCATAAGGTCCTTTGCTAAACTAAGTCCCCCTTTGGCAGCCATCTTGGTTGATGGATCGGCTTCAAAGTAACAACACTTGGTCAGCACCTCATAAGGAACATTCATGCAATGTTTGGTTTCATTGCATTCAGTGGTTCTCTAAAAGAAGACATTTGTATGTATTGTCCATAGGGTCCCATGTATAACAAAGTCCCCCCCTGGTGGCCATCTTGGATGATGGATTGGCTTCAAAGTAACAACACTTGGTCAGCACCTCATAAGGAACATTCATGCCATGTTTGGTTTCATTCCATTTAGTGGTTCTCTAAAAGAAGACATTTGTATGTATTGTCCATAGGGTCCCATGTTAAACGAAGTCCCGGCTGGCGGCCATCTTAGATGATGGATCAGCTACAAAGTAACAACACTTGGTCAGCACCTCATAAGGAACATTCATGCCATGTTTGGTTTCATTCCATTCAGTGGTTCTTTAGAAGAAGTTCAAAATGTAAAAAGTTAACGACGACGATGACGGACGCCAAGTGATGAGAAAAGCTCACTTGGTTTGGGCCAGGTGAGCTAAAAATCATTATTAATGGGAATGCACACTCATTTTTTTTATTGCAGTTTGAGGTTATAGTTATCCAATTTTGAATTTCATTAAAAATCTGCTGATAATTGTAACCTAAATTAACCTAAACTGTTCATTAATTAGAGATATCTCTACTAGAGCACCAGGTTTGATTGTTGTTTTAACAAAACATTAACCAATAAACCATGAAAATGAGGACAAGATCAGATAAAACCTGCCAGACAGACATGAACACCTTTACAATCATTTCCGGCCACCAAATACAATTAACCTATTGCATATAGTATCTGAGAAACAGATTCAATCCGCAAAACTGAAATTGACAAATGAACCATAAAAATGAGGTCAAGGTCAGAAGAACCCTGTCAAACAAACATGAACACCTTACAATCATTCAATACACCAATCTATTGCTTCTAGTATCTGAGAAATGGATTAATATAAACCAGGAAAACCTAACATTAACCAATGAACCATGAAAAGGAGGTAAAGATCAGAAGAACCCTACCATACAGACATGTACACCTAACAGTCATTCAACACTAGATATATGTTTGACCTAATTTGCTTATAATATCTGGAGAGCAAACATAACCAAGAAAACTAAACATTGAAAAATAGACCATGAAAATTAGTTAGGTCAGATGAAACCTGCCAGACAGACATGTACACCTTGCAATTATTCCATATATATACACCAAATATAGTTGACCTATTGTTTATAGTATCCTAAAAAAAGACCAAAACCATGAAACTAAACATTGACCAATGAATTATGAATATGATGTCAAGCTCAGATGAAATCTACCAGACAAACATGTTTACCTTACAAATTCCATACACCAAATATAGTTGACCTATTGCTTATCATATCTGAGATACAGACTTGACCCTAAAACTTTAATCTTGAAAGCTGTTACATGCAATGTGGTCAAGGTCAGGTGAACCTTGTCTAATGGAAATGAAGACCTTACAATGATCCCATAAAACATCATTGAAGGCTCTTTTATACTCCTGTGAGAAGTATGGCAATACCTTATATAAGACAAGGTGTCAGTAAATTGTATCAATCATACACATATTTTTGTAGATCTTGTATTGCTGATAATAAAATTAGCTCCAATGGCCATTGTGTTAGCTATTGCTGGTAGAAGCTATGTGTATACAATTCTTATAATTGCAAACGACAGTGAACCAACACCTGGTAAATCTTCAATACAATTGTTTATTTGTAACTAGAATTGCAATAATATAAAAAAATAACAAAAAATATTGTTTTGTTCTTATATTTTCTCTAAAAAAATATAAAAATAGACATTTCAAATACATGTATATATCTACATAAATGTATCAATGATCATATAACAAGGCAAGATTATTGCATTTAAAAATGTCATGAAACAAAGAATATAACAATTTCTTAACAAAACAAAAAAAGGTCAGTTAAACGGTTAAATGCTTTCAGAATCAGTTAATGTGAAATAAATAAACTGATTTACAGAAAAACTGCATAAAATTTAGTTTGATGGAATGACTTTTTCGTATTTTACATCTAAAATTAAGTGATTGAAATAGACCAATGGTGATTTGGATTACCGTATCTATATTACAGTAGAGGTAGCCAAACATGCAAAACTTGATACCATATTAAACATATTGATATCAATAACTGATTGATTATTTTGGTGTTAAATGCCACTTTCAGCACTTTTGGCTATTTTATGGCTGCCAGTTTTTATTGGTGGAGGAAGCCATATTATTTCAAAGATCATTCATAATTATTATCAAAAAATATAGAAACTAAATCAGGTACTGTAAATCTAGTCACATTTTTCACACCAGATTACAGAATTGAAATGAATCAACATGTTCACCAACAGAAATATAATTAAAATGATAGTTTCTCCCAATTTACAGGTTATTATGACAAGCTGATGCTGACTGCTCAGCTAAGATATTTTTATCAAATTAAATTCATGCTGATGCAGCTATTGTTTGACACTGACAATATACTCTTACTCATACAGTTAATGTCAAACCATGTTTGCACTTTATATCCCACTTTACTTTTCTGCTTCACACGAGATTTTCAACATTAATTCATAACTAGATATTTGTTTACTTATGTATCCACACTGGCTTATTCTTATGAGGATTGAAGTATTAACATAATACATTTAAAACTAAAAAAATGGAAGACTTATTGCACAAAATGTCCACTGATAATGAATGATGCATAAATGTTAGCTGCAAGAAATTTTACATTGCCAATCTTCAAGAAAAATAAAATCACCATTTTAAATTTTACATTGGCAGTGTTGATAAATTAGAATCCATAACTATGTCAATCTGACTTATTTAAATCAAATAATATTTATTATAAAGTAGTTATTATTATAAAAAAACATAGGAGCTGAAATCAAATTAAAAAAATTAAATACTTGAAATACATTAAAATTGTAAATGCTAAAAAAGAGTTCTTGTCAATTAATTCCAAAAATGTCAATTACTCTGTCACAGTAATGTCATAATTTGCATGTTTACAAAAGTATAATTTAATGAATATCACTTGGTTAACAACAGCTTTATCCCCCTTCTTCCCTGAAAATAAATTACATCAAGTTGTTCAGAAAGCACATCTTGTAGCATACAACTTCCTGGGCAAAGTCATTTTTCCTTTCTTAATATTCATTTGATGATGTCAAAAAATAAAGCAATATCGCTGGTTTTTTTAATATATTAAATATGTCATGGATCATTATTTTTTTTAACAGGAACAGATCATATACCATTGTATATTACAAAGTTTCCAGAGGAACTTCTGTTAGGATGAATAAAATTTCAATAAATATACGTTGACAAATTCACTATGGTAAATTAGGGACTGACAGTAAATATGTAAGAAATTTTAATGTATTATTACTTTGAATGCCCTGCGAACTTCAGGTTAATAATAGTTGATAGATTTATAACACATTTTGATTTTAACATTCAAGAGCTAAAAAAAGGCCAAAACAAAAATATGTGTCCATAGGACACCATAACCTGCTTGCACTTACATTTCCCAAACCCTAATATGACTGATAAATTAAACAGTTCACCATATAATTAACATGTGCACTAGGTTTCCAGTTGAGGTGACCACAAAGTACTTTAAATCAAAACTTTAACCTACCTTAAATCAAAGCTTTAACCTACTACATTTCCATGTACAGTGAACTGTGAAGTCTTGGTTAAAATCCTTATTTGGCAAGTACAAAAAAAAATGTAAATTAATCAGTACATTCAAAATGAACATGTGTGCTAAGTTTCAAAGTTGATGTGACCACAGACTACTTTCAACCCAAACTTTAACCCGATACCAGACGGGTAAGTTTCAAAGTTGACTAGACCACAGACTACTTTCATCCCAAACTTTAACCCGATAGGAGACGGGAGAATAATGCCCATCTTTTATCATAGGCAGGGCAAAAAAAAAGGCCATCTCATGGCTTCTCTCTTCCTTACATGTCTGTGACAAATTTAAAGATATTCTACATTGGCGCAACAAAAGAGACTCCTTACTGTTAGATATTGTATTATACCTATTATTATTCTCCCTTAAACAATTAAACCACATTTCATGTTTTTAAACATAACAAAATCCTACAAATTAATTATAATAAATAAATTAGAGCCCTTAATCAGAACTAAGGCTTCCAATCAGAAGATTTTATCAAAGCGAGTAGGGGATGTATCCAAAATGTTAAACAACATCTATGCTAAACAGCATTCATATCCCTCTTAACTCCCCTGATATTGCATATTGGTTACACCTGTTCAGAAAGGTTTGAGAAAAATATTACTTAACAGGAACGGTATAAAAACATTATGTACCTCTAGATAGCATGTTTACCCTGAGATAAATAAGAGTTAATTGAAAAAAAAAATTGAGAAATCTATATTTTGTACTACCAGCATAAAAATTAAATTACCATAAAGTAATTGACTGTGTTTCATGCATATAGATAAAAAAAAAGTTCAAGTCGAAAAAAATCTCTTTATTGAAATTTAAATTTGTAACTCTTCTATGTAATAACCCTGTATACCATCCTGTTTTAGGGCATCAAAATTTTATATCATTTTATATTCTAACAATGCTGAAGAAAATAATTTGCTACTTCTTACGGCAAACTGCTGCATGTTTTTTCTGGTTTACATGGTTGCAGGGAATATTAACTCTGTGTTGCAAATTACACTAAAAACTAATTTAAAAAATCACAACTAAAGAAAGAGCTTAAAACCTAAGATATTCTGTAAAGTATAGAATTAAAAAAAAATGTTTGTAACAAAACCATGCCTTTTATATATCAATAGTAAAACAATAAATAAATAAGCCATTAATTGTTCTTTTCATTTTTACATCTATCTTAATCTTAATGATAAAAAAAAAAAAAAAGACAGATTGATGTAAACAATCAATTGTGAAAAACTAAATGATACATATATATGGGTAAAATTTTATGAAGTGATTGTAAAAATATATAATGAGAAAATGCAGTATATATATAGTACTGGTAATATCTCAGGTTTACACTTTTTTCTTTTGTTTAAATTATACCATACATTGCAAATATCTATTTCTTTGTGAAGACACTTAGTCAGAAAATACCCTCAGCTTTAATCCTTTTAATCCTTGAGATTAGATTTGGTTGGCTGAAGGAGGAGCTCTGGGAGGGGGCATCTTTGGTTGTCGGAATGATTTAGCATCTTTTTTAGCTGTACTTTCTGTCTTTTCTTCTAAACCTACTGGTTTCCATTCTTCTCCTTTAAAAGCTGCCTATAAGAAAATCCAAACAGTCACTCTTTAAAACATTCCTCTTTATTCTCTGGCATATTTTTTTAAGTGTTACCCTTGTCCATACGTACGTCCCAAAATTGGTTTCTGTTCTCTAACTTTAGATTGCCTCAACCAAATATTATGAAACTAATACACAATGCTAATTACCACAAAACACAGAACAAGTTTGAATTTGGGTGGCTTCACTGTTACCTTTCTGGAGTTATGTCACTTTATGTATGGAAAAATTGTTGAATTTTCAAATTTCATTTCCATTCTCTAACTTCAGTTTGCCTCAACCAAATGTTGTGAAACTTATACACAATACTGATAACCACAAAACACAGATCAAGTTTGAATTTTGACCGTTCTCAAGTTATGTCCCTTTATAAAGTTATGTGCAAGCAGGGGCATCATCTGTGTCCCATGGACACATTCTCCATTTATTTTATATTACAGCAGTTATTACAGAAATAGTTAAGCATTTTATTAAACCATTAGTATTCATCCATATTATTTAAGAATTTTAAATAACATAGCAATGCATTTTTGCAGCACCTACAATAGTAGGGTGCATTATGTTTTCTGGTCTCTGTATCCCACTAGTCATCCATCCCTTATCAGGTTCAGGTTTTTGCAAAGGTAGTATACCCTTCCAAAGCACCTGAGATCACCCCCCATTTTTGTTGGGGTTCGTGTTGCTCAGTCTTTGGTTTTCTATGTTGTGTTTTGTGTACTGTTTGTCTTTTTCCTTTTTGGCCATGGCGTTGTCACTTTATTTTTGGCTTATGATTTTGAATGTCACTTTGGTATCTTTTGCTTCTCTTTTACCATGAAGTTGTATTCACAACAACTGGAAATTTAGTACACGTGATGATTATGATGTGTTCATTTTAAATCATTTGCAAAATAAGGGTTTTGACCATGATTTTACGATTCACTAAACATGTTCCTGTTTTGGTAATATTTGTTAGTGTATACTTGATTTGAAAGTTTATTCACTCATTGTAAAACTGACTGCATTTATAGTACTTGTTATCAGTAAATCTTGCATTAATCTCATTATAGTTGATAACATACCACTAAATAAATCATTGCAGTCGTAAATAAAGAGATTCCTCCCATTATTGTAGCTAGTATAAAACACATTGGTATACACAGTCTGAAAATATAAAACAAATTATTCAAGGGAGGCAACTGCAGTTATTATGGATCTAAAATCATGGTATAAAAAATAAAGAAGCCTTATCTTATGAAAAAAAATTAGTGGTTTATGCAAACTGAAAAAAAACAAAGTTAGTAATTCAAGGAAATAACGTCTATTATTTGTTCTTAGTGTAAAACACAGCCTGAAAAATATAATATCAGTCGTTCAAGGGAGGTCACTTCTGTTGTTGTGAATCTTGTAAGGAAGAAAACAGTAAAAATAATATAAAATCAGGGCAACAAAGGAGGTAACTGCTTTTATTGTGGATAATATAAAAAAACTTTGGTACAGAGATTATGAAAAATAAATATTTAATCCTATAGGGGAGATAACCTCCCTATGGAGAAACAGTTGGATTTTTAAAAGAGATAAACATCTAAAAAGTACTATGTTGTTAAAACATTATCATACATAGTCAGCAAAATATTCAGTAAGTTGTTTAAAAGTCCATCATTGCACTCTTTCTGGAATAATAAGGATACAGCATGAAAGTAAAGGAAATGTTATCCATTCTTACAGATTAATAGTCTCCATGTAGTGGCTATTTCATAATGTAAAATGTTAGATGGTTTGATAGTTGACATATCTATTCATAGCTTATATGTTGTACTTACATTAAATGCATGACAAATCTTACAAAATAATTCCTGGACACAGGCCCACAGCAGCTCAAAAGTTTCGTAAAGTATTTCTGAAACCTAGAATATATACAATGTAATCACTTAAACTTTTAAATGAGATTGATTATAAAATACCAACATGTATTCAGGAAGAGTCCTGTAAAAGTAAACAATGTTGGTCATAAAAAAAACCACCACAAATATTTGCCTTTCCACCTGTCAATTGTGGACATGAAGAAATAGTAAGCACTTCATATTCAAAACTCCCTGTTTTCTGATCTGTACATCCAATGGAGTGATCCTGTATTTATTTTGTGCAGCTGTTATATCATTTTCTATGTTTATTTTAGAAGAATGCAGGGGCGTAGCTACCTTCTTAATGAAGTGGAATCACAAACTATAGGGCGAGGGTTCTGGGGGCTGCAATATAGCGTTTCAAAACAATCACAACCGAAATAAAACTTGGACATTTTTGTTGTGGTTTTTTGGTCAACTATTTGTTTAACTTCGAGTAGAATGAAGACTTAACATTGTCGCTTGCGTTTTTTGTACGTGAAAGCTTTTAAAATCACGGAGATTTGTTCCATATGCTAGTATTTGTATTGAGCAAAGTAGATTTAAAAAAACAAACAATAAACATAAACACAATACTATATGTGGAGTTTCTGTTAGCAAAACATCATGGATACCAAATACTTGGTGGACACATTCTCATATATTTTGCTTAACATATGTATTTAGATGTTTAAAAATTTTGTGGGTAAACTCTACAAGAGAGAGATGGGAATTTCGAATTTTACGTAGTTAGGAATATTCAAAGTTGAAATTAATGAACTTTTTCAGAGTAAATGGTACTTTGATCACGATCTTTTTCATGATCTGTGTTTTTAATTAGCCAGCTAATTAACAAATGCATATGCATTCGACCAGTTGTATGGCAATATCTAGATGATAACAGTGAAGATACGTGTAATAAAAGTTTGGTGTATCTTTCGAACAAGAAGCAGCAGTTTAGTGTCCTACTCGGATAGACAGTTCTTTTTAAAATTGAATGACCTAATAGTCCAGTAAAACGAGTTAGAATTAACACTTCGAATTATCGAATCTATATAAAAGATTTTTTTTTGTAAAATAGATAAAAATGTGAAACATGTACTGGAAAATGTGTACTTTTTTTTTTATAACAGTTCCAACTTCTCTCCTACTAGTATACGGAAACTATTGATTGATTGAAAGGTTATTAATGTCCGGTAGCAAATATTACATGCACACAGGACGAGATACGTTGACGTGATGTGAAAATGAACTATTCGTGTTGTCAAGACCTACATACTTAGTCAATATTGAACTAGTTCACAAGATTACAGTCATTATTCCCGGATCGATATGAGTTGAAGAGTCTTCATTCTAGTAAGATGTGTGCTTTGGGGCGAAGCGGAAAATAATAATTTTCAAGTTTTTTTGTTAATCCTAGAGGGATTATGTTTTTTTTTTACACTCAAAGCGAGTATATGGTATGGTTGTGGTACCAACAACTTACATAGGTATTTTCTAAACAATGCCCGTAATATAAAAAGTTCCTCTAAGTTTACACCAGTTGTATGTATTTATCGTACACATACATGTCTTACATGATTAAAAATTCCGCTTCATGTCTATTCCTCTTGCTTTTATTCTTTGTGTAGTTTTTAAAATGCATACATAGAAAGACCAATTCCTATATGTTCCCTCACTCTCTCTCTCTCTTTTTTTTTTTTTTTTTTTTTTGTGAAAACGACGTGGTGCCGTGCCTCCGGGTAGCTACGCCCCTGGAATGCATTGTTCATTGCACATGCTGCATATAAACATTTTATAATACAATTTTAAAGGATAACAGGTACTTGAAAGTTGTAAAAAGCAATTTGTCTAAGAAGAAGTTTACTACAGAAAGAGAGAATATACATTCTAGAGCATTAGACTGTATTCAAGTTGTCAAACATCAAAATTTTGAATTTCCCTTTATTACCTGTTATACAGGTATATATAAGTAGCAATCTACTAAATGATAAGTGAATTACCTGTTATACAGGTATATATAAGTAGCAATCTACTAAATAATAAGTGAATTACCTGTTATACAGGTATATATAAGTAGCAATCTACTAAATAATAAGTGAATTACCTGTTATACAGGTATATATAAGTAGCAATCTACTAAATGATAAGTGAATTACCTGTTATACAGGTATATATAAGTAGCAATCTACTAAATGATAAGTGAATTACCTGTTATACAGGTATATATAAGTAGCAATCTACTAAATGATAAGTGAATTACCTGTTATACAGGTATATATAAGTAGCAATCTACTAAATAATAAGTGAATTACCTGTTATACAGGTATATATAAGTAGCAATCTACTAAATAATAAGTGAATTACCTGTTATACAGGTATATATAAGTAGCAATCTACTAAATGATAAGTGAATTACCTGTTATACAGGTATATATAAGTAGCAATCTACTAAATGATAAGTGAATTACCTGTTATACAGGTATATATAAGTAGCAATCTACTAAATGATAAGTGAATTACCTGTTATACAGGTATATATAAGTAGCAATCTACTAAATGATAAGTGAATTACCTGTTATACAGGTATATATAAGTAGCAATCTACTAAATAATAAGTGAATTACCTGTTATACAGGTATATATAAGTAGCAATCTACTAAATGATAAGTGAATTACCTGTTATACAGGTATATATAAGTAGCAATCTACTAAATGATAAGTGAATTACCTGTTATACAGGTATATATAAGTAGCAATCTACTAAAAGATAAGTGAATTACCTGTTATACAGGTATATATAAGTAGCAATCTACTAAATGATAAGTGTTATACAGGTATATATAAGTAGCAATCTACTAAATGATAAGTGAATTACCTGTTATACAGGTATATATAAGTAGCAATCTACTAAATGATAAGTGAATTACCTGTTATACAGGTATATATAAGTAGCAATCTACTAAATGATAAGTGAATTACCTGTTATACAGGTATATATAAGTAGCAATCTACTAAATAATAAGTGAATTACCTGTTATACAGGTATATATAAGTAGCAATCTACTAAATGATAAGTGAATTACCTGTTATACAGGTATATATAAGTAGCAATCTACTAAATGATAAGTGAATTACCTGTTATACAGGTATATATAAGTAGCAATCTACTAAATGATAAGTGAATTACCTGTTATACAGGTATATATAAGTAGCAATCTACTAAATGATAAGTGAATTACCTGTTATACAGGTATATATAAGTAGCAATCTACTAAATAATAAGTGAATTACCTGTTATACAGGTATATATAAGTAGCAATCTACTAAATGATAAGTGAATTACCTGTTATACAGGTATATATAAGTAGCAATCTACTAAAAGATAAGTGAATTACCTGTTATACAGGTATATATAAGTAGCAATCTACTAAATGATAAGTGATAACTACAAATGTATATCAAAACTCACTTGTAAGAATTGACAAGATAGTTTCAAGTCCTGTTTTAAGCAAATAATTTAACATTAAAATATAACAACTTTATACTGGTATACTATAGTACATATACTTACATTCTCTCTTGTGTTCTGCCATTCAACCTTTTACCTCTTGGATATTCAAATATAAATACCAGTACACCAGCTATACTTAGTATTAGTTAAGAAAGTTCATAGGCAGGTATTTTTTTCTTTTTTAGGTCTTTTAGTTTAGTAACTACAAAATTACATTAACTTAAAACCTGGGGTTGATTCTGTGTTAGAAAGTGTCTTTGAAAAAATAAACTACCTTTTCAGAAATAAGGTTTCAATTTGATGAAAAATAAATGTTGGTTCTATTAAAAATAAAGGCTACATTAGAAGAGGGTGATCAAAACAAACAAACTCATTGTTTCATATTCAATAATGAGAAAATCAGAATCAAAACCAGGCTTTACTGGATGGTGTAATTTTATCTGAAACCATATATAAAGATTAAAATGTTGTAGGACCTCTTTTTTCAGAGGCCTATTATATTACAAGTCTGCCAACTTTTAAAAGGTTTTTAGGAGAAATGTAGGCATATGAATGTCTTTTGAATGACCACAGTTTCATCAACTAATTTACAGCAAAATTCCGATGGACAACCAGACATTTTGAGCATGTACCAAATCAGGTTATTCATACCATTGTTTAATATGTAATTATTTGTCTTTGTTTACACGTTTAATTTTTCCAGAGGACTTTGGTGTCCAATGTTGATGTAGTTTGATAAGAACAAGTTAAGTATGGGTTTTTTACATACATTTTCAGGATTATTGTGAAAATTCCATGTGTGTGTAAAAGTGTATTCAATGTACATTACAAACAAGGATACATGGCATAAATTCCAATTTCCCATCCTTTAAAAAATCCAGCAACTCCAAGTATTCCTCCTAATATTATAACTGAAAAATCACAGAATAAAGAAAAGTAATGAAATTAAAACTGCTGAAACAAATCATCAGTTTAAATGGAATTTCAAAACTTAGAGGCTATAAGAAGACCATGAAGTAATGATATGAGGACTGCTGAAACAAATATACCTATTTTAATGAAACTTCTTACTTAGAGGCTATAAGGAGACCATCAACTTCATTGTTTTTAAATCATTGACCTTAAAGAATTAAAAAACCCTTAGTTATGTTAGTGCGCAAGCTCATGTATATACTATACATGCTATATGCAATATACTTACAATGTTGGGAAAAAAGAAATATATATTTGAATGAGCTTGTGATTTTGTTTTCATTGTACATGTAAAAATCATACATCTTCAAGAAAATATGTCTTGATTTATACATGTTGACATTTATTTATATAACTAGTATGGTCATTTTATATATTTCATAAGTATACAATATCATAACATAATGACTGTGCATATTAGATATAACTAATGTTTTTTTTAATATCTTATAAAAACATACCAATAACATTAATTTATATAAACTGAAGAATGCACGTCGTTTCGTAACCTGGTCGTTTCGTACCTGGTCGATTCGTAACTACCTTGTTTTGTAACTGAGACGTTTCGTAACTTTTGTAATTATATATGGTTATAAAGTGTTAGTTTAAATTAATTAGTTTAAATGAAAAAGTTAAAGTTATTATTTAATTTAACAATTGCGTATACCAAGCGTATGATAGGAAGAGAAATTAATTGTTGTTTTAACATTCAAGCTATGTGATCATAACTTTTACTGCTTGCAATTACCACTTGCACAACGTAAGCCATTTAATTAATCTAAAGTTTAAGAATTTAATTAATAAAAATTAATTTACAGTTATAATGGCAATCAATCTTTCTGATATATGTTTAATAACTACACAAAAAAGCAATCAGTAGTGAAATACTTTGAATAAATTTAATTTGAATTAAATTGATAAATTACTAGGCGTGGTTAAATTAAATAAATGTAAGTGACTGGAAAATTGGATGTTAAGAACGCAATCCGACTTATCAAGTTCTGTCGAAACAAAGCTTCACGGGGTAGGCGGGAGAAAAGTACAGTCATTGAGACATTTTGATCTCCACATAGTGAAGAAATTTAAACCAGACTTTGTTTTCATACAGATTGGAGAGAATGACATCTGTGATAAATTATCTGCATCACACACAGCATCAGAGATTGTACAACTCGCAAAAGATGTCAAGCGCTTAGGTGTACCTTCTGTAGTTATAGGCTCCAACATCGTCAGACTAAAAACAAGAAACATGAAAGAAACAACTTATGATAGAAAAAAAAAGAAGATAAATAAAGAACTAAGCAACATAAAGATGAGTGGTGTCAAGTATTGGAGACATCAAAGCACGTGGCAGAAGACTAAATACTTTGATAAAGACGGGGTACATCTAAATGATGATGGACAATTCAAATTCTTCTGTTCTATTGGCATGTGTGCAAAACTGTACTTGTAAAGTGTAAATTTATGTGCAATTAATTATTTAATAAATAAATATAGATATATATATACACATACATCACTAAGTCTTTTTATTACTTTTTGCGTAACCTACTACTCTTATTGTTATTATATATTGATATAAGGTTACAAAACGTCTCAGGTACGAAACGACCTAGTTAAGTTACGAATCGACTAGTTACGAAACGACCAGGTTACGAAACGACCTGCACCCAAACTGAATCATAAAAAAGGGAAAAAGTTTAAATATTTCCCTGTATAATTTTTCCATCAAGTCCATATATTCAGTTGAACTAGTAGTAAAAGACCACCTTGGAAATGTCAACCGATCAGGATTGTCCAGTATTGACCACTTGATTAGTATTGTTGAGACAGTAGGTACTGCGGGCAGTACTTACTGCCCATGATTGCCTACAATTTCAACCAGGATGTAAAGTCAAAATCATGATCTCATCCAAAAAGAAAGAAATATCCTGAATTACAGTGTGTGTTGACTGTTGTTATATAATTTATACATTCTTACTAGAAGAGCTAACGATGGCTTGTTCATTTGCCCACATTGCCCATTCTATCTGTCCCATTTTCACTCCAGAAGTCATATCGCCTATTTTCTATTTTCAATATCCAATCCCGGAAGTAAATTAATACTTTCCAGAGTCAAGTTATATCAGCGTTGCTGATTGGACAGGAATATTACTTGGACCAATGAAAGTCTTCGTTTTAAAAAGAGAAATGAAATAAACAAAGCAAGGGAGGTAATATTATCGGCATTTGCACTATCTGTTTTGCACTCAAAGTTTTCTGAAGTCGATTGACATGATAACTCTAATATCATGAATGGAAAGAAGAAAGATGGTCGCCAACGGCTCAATTTTGTACCAGAAAATAATGTAGAAATGTCAGTAGACAAGAAGAAAACCTTTGACCAAAGTTCAAATCAAATTTTTTTGTAAGATAATTTACTAATGAAAAAATATACCCACAGACACAGATAGTTTCTGGTGTATACTTCGAAAATTACCCTTTTCTATTCTGATGTTCTGAATTTTTGTCAATAACTGCACCTCTTCTATTGCATATATTCCAAAGAATGCATGTCGTTTCGTAACCTGGTCGTTTCGTACCTGGTTGATTCGTAACTACGTTGTTTTGTAACTTAGACGTTTCGTACCTGGTGTAATTATATATGGTTATAAAGTGTTAGTTTAACTTAATTAGTTTAAATGAAACAGTTAAGGTTATTATTTAAAAATGATCAAATTGTTCATCTAATAACATGAATAATAACAATATTGAATTATTGTAATATTTTTAATTTAAAACTTTCTTAAATCTTTTTAATTATTGGCTAATTGGTTAATTATGCTCGGTGACAGCTTTAATGGTTTTATGACAACTAATGACAGGTAATAAAAAGTAATTAAGTAGATTAATGGCACACGACCTGAGAAAAAATAATAATTCTCCTTTTTTTTCACTTTTACATGCAATTGCATAACCCTCAGTGTCTTCCCTAGAAAATTTTTCATGCATGGTGGGTCCATGGTGAATTTGCAACGCGGCGCGCGACGCTTCTTTTTCCAGAATTAGTAACACTACATAATTTATATGTTTAAAGCCATATACCAATCTAATTGTTTTATTATAGGTACAGCAATTCATATAAGTCATGGAACTTTAAAGTATTTATTACAGATGAGAGGAAGACTTAATAAACAATAATAAAAATAATCCAGTCTGTAATAGTTATTTACAAAATAATGCCATGTAGGCCTACACATTATTTTGTTGATATCTTCCTCTGTTTCAACTTTCCAAAGGTCACCACACATTTTTCAAAATCAAAATCTTCCTCCTTTGGTCCTTCAATTGATATATGCATTAAGCAATTCAGCACTTTTTTGGCATATTCTTTTTCTCAAAGGTGTTTTAACTCTGTTTAAGCATGAAAAACACCTTTCACAATCAGCTGTTGAAACTGGCAATGGAAGACTCAATACTGCATACTTAGACAGACAAGGATACAAAGTTCCAAGACTGGCAACTTTGTTCATTGTCTGCCTAAATGTCATGTCTTTACATTCTTTCACTAACAGTGTCCTCAGTTTGCTGATAGAATGGTTTCAGCATCTTGGAACAGCAAGTTGTTAAATAAAACTTTGAATGTCATCATTGCTTCACAGAGATTTTACAGGAAACAATAAAACAAAGTTTATTGCGTTAATTACAGAAGTCGTCAATAAAGAATACCTGACAAACGGACATACGGATGACATTGTTTGGAAGCTAAGCTGACATTTTATTTCATGACAATTTGTAACTATTGTTTTTAAATACATCCCTGTCCGATTTATTTAGAACGCTTCATAATTGTAAAAATCCTATCTTGCCGAAGTGAAAGAAATTTAGCCCCACTTGTGTAAAAAACGGCAAATGAATCCGCTACACTTAAGCTTCATGTGACCCATTCAAATAAAAGTAGAACAACACAAGTTTATTAAAAACAATATTTCCGTAAATATCTACGTATGTTTTGAAAGTTTTTCTATCAAATCTTTTAAATATTTCATAAAACACGTCTTTTTCTCGGCCCGGTGGCTGTGATGTGTATTCTTTGATATAATAATCAACCGCGACTAATCTAAAAATAACTGATTGTTGTGACCAATCAAAAAATAATTCATCGATGTAAATATAGCTGATGAAAAAACTGCGAAACTTTATTATACAAAAGTTTTGTCCATTCCCGGTGAAATTACGTTAGTTTTATTTTATAATACCAGAGACTATACCAAATTTTTAATTTCTACTTTTTAAAGATCGCAGTAAAATAACGATCATGTCAAACACCCGTTTTAAGGTGAAATTTATACTGGAAAAGGTTAAACTTTTTATTTAGCACAGAAAGATATGCATTGGAGATTAATCTGACTATTTATTTATCAGCTAACTGGCAACTTCTATTATGTAACCGAAGTCTCGATATAACCAACTAATCAAGAAGGTTGTAAAATCCCGGCATGCGCGACGTGATGCATCCAATTATCAGTCGGATGAGTTTAAAACACATGTGGAGTGTGGTCACTTGTCACTTCACTTTCGAAATCGATAATAAATATTTTACACAGTTATAATTTTCACACATAGCGGGATGCATTGCGGCAATGATGAAAGCATGGCGGTCGAAATTTATGCGTAGCGGTACCGCAATGCTTGAACAGCCTAGGGAAAACACTGACCCTCCTCCTTTTTCACCCGGGCTGGGGACCGGCGTTGGCGGAGTTTAAAGGTTTTTTTTTTTTTAGAATACTTTATCTTACTCTATTCTTTTTCTTCCTTTCAGATACATCACTATGTTGTCCTTTGTTTGCATGTTTATACAGGCATAAAGCCTGATTTTTCATCCGTTCACTTAATGGTATAATAGCAGTTTTTTTTTACTCCTTTTCATTCATCTATAAACGCCAAATATGTCACTAACAGTAAATAAGCCCAAAGTACTTGTGATCGGTCACAGTTTCATCCGAAGACTGGAAAATTGGATGTTAAGAACGCAATCCGACTTATCAAGTTCTGTCGAAACAAAGCTTCACAGGGTAGGCGGGAGAAAAGTACAGTCATTGAGACATTTTGATCTCCACATAGTGAAGAAATTTAAACCAGACTTTGTTTTCATACAGATTGGAGAGAATGACATCTGTGACAAATTATCTGCATCAGACTAAAAACAAGAAACATGAAAGAAACAACTTATGATAGAAAAAAAAGAAGATAAATAAAGAACTAAGCAACATAAAGATGAGTGGTGTCAAGTATTGGAGACATCAAATCACGTGGCAGAAGACTAAATACTTTGATAAAGACGAGGTACATCTAAATGATGATGGACAATTTAAATTCTTCTGTTCTATTCGCATGTGTGCAAAACTGTACTTGTAAAGTGTAAAATTATGTGCAATCAATTATCTGATAAATAAATATAGATATATATATATATATATACATCAATAAGTCTTTTTATTATTTTTTACGTAACCTACGACTCATATTGTTATTATATATTGATGTAAGGTTACAAAACGTCTCAGGTACGAAACGACCTAGTAAGTTACGAATCGACTAGTTACGAAACGACCAGGTTACGAAACAGCCTGCACCCATTCCAAAACACAATAACACTAAACAGTCAAAATTTCAGTGTTCGGGGGGTGTTGAAATTAGTGGGGGTAATTAAAATAATAATACTTAAAGAAGTGATTTTCTTTTAAGAAACTAGAGGTATGATACTTAAACAAGTGATTTTCATGTCATTATCTCAGATTTAGTACAAGGTCATCACCTAACATGACCGGTGATCCTACATGTACAAATGTATAAACACAGATGTTGGTTCTGATAATTTTAATAACATAATTAGTCCCTGGATCATTAGTTTTATATATTTAAAGCTACAATAAAATTAAATCACTTAGTCTAGTGATTTATTTGTACTACTTAAGTTGGTGATTATTAAAGAAAGACAACTCTTACTTCCAACATTTCTGGAAAAATGTAACTTGAATCGGTGATTTCTTAATCACTCATTGAAGTAAGTCCCCTGTCTGCTAAACAACTAACAAATTCTTTTTGTGCCTGTCCCAAGTCAGGAGCCTGTAGTTCATTGGTTGTTGTTGATTCATGTCTGTCATATTTGTTTTTTTATAAATTGTTTTGTTATAAATCATGTCAATTAGGCTGTTAGTTTTCTCAATTGAATTGTTTCATATTTTTCATGTTGGGCCATTTTATAGCCGACAATATGGTATGGGTTTTTCTCATTTTTGAAGGCTGTACGGTTGCCTATAATTGCTTACATCCACTTCATTTGAACTTTGGTGGATAGTTGTCTCATTGGCAATCATACCACATCTCCTTATTTTTATAAACTGTGCCTTTAAACCATACATGATCTTTCAATTGGTGCGTTTTCCCAGAAAAAATTAACATCACAAAGCAAATATCTTTATGTCACAATAATCTATTACGCATACATGTATTCCCACACATGACTCCAAGGCATGTCATCATAAAATTTAAATTAGGATCTTGTGTATAGGGACATAACTACAGGTCAGATATGTGGCCCGTTAATCGTCTATAAGCATATAGAAAAAACATATACCTTTTCTTTCCCTATGCTTTAAACAGGTTTGGGAAGAATTGGTACCCAAAATATCTGAAAACACCTTGATATTTTTACGAAAGTTCTATTTTATGTGGTCTAATAATGATGATAAATTCTATAATTTTAACTCAATTAATGTACAATTCAAGTTCAGAAATATGATTTCTGTGTCTTGTGTGCAAGTTCCTTCTATAACAAAACGGCACACATACATGTAGTTGTGTAAAAGGCAGATAACTCAGTCTAAATAAAGTTAGCTGTATTGTTATACAAGGAACTATAAAGACAGATAAACATACATGTAGTTATATATTGTTAGCAGTAGCTTATAGTAGATTTGTTTTGTGCAATTTTCTTTATGTTTAACATGTTTATATAATTATTTTTTTCAAGGACAAACATAATAACAACATGTGATTAACAGTGTGTCTATATTTTTTAGGATGAACACGGATACAATATGTTTGGTACTGGCTGGGTTGTTTACCCACTTGGTGTTTTTTTACTCAATATTTGACATTTACTTCACATCACCTCTTGTTCATGGAATGACTCCACATGTATCCCCTCAGAAACCTGCTGCCAGCCGTCTAGTACTGTTTTCTGCAGATGGTTTAAGAGCTGATAAATTTTTTGGATTAGATGAAAATGGACAATCAAGAGCACCATACCTTAGGTGATGATTATGTATTGCATATTAAATAACATTTGCTATAAAAATTGAATTTTTTGTGTACTTTCTATTTAAATAAAATGTTTGCATTTTATTGAAGATGTGCAAGTCATATAATGCAGGCAAGTTAAAGACCAAGTGAGGTAAAGGAAATTCTTTTTTTTGTTTCAGTTTCATCCTTTAAAATCAGAGACTTAGAATATATGTTTAATATATATATTATCATTTAATGATTGCTTACATTGAGATTAAAGCAATGTTACTTTCAACTTGACTTAAACAAAATTTAGATATCTACATAGTAGTATCAAATTTAACACATATATAGAAGACTTATTATTGAAACACTTCAGTTATATAAATGGCTGACTAGGATAAATGCTGTGTTTTGTATTTTAAAAAAAAATAATATGCAAGAAGGTTGCCATGGGTTTTTCTCACACTTTAGGGGAATCAGAATGTAAAATGTAGCACTAAATGGGCTTTATATTTTCAGGAATATAATACGCAAGCATGGTGCCTGGGGTGTTTCTCACACCCGAGTACCTACAGAGTCCAGACCAGGCCATGTTGCACTTATTGCTGGGTTTTATGAAGATGTAAGTGCTGTTGCCAAAGGTATGAATAAATTTATGTGACATCATTCATTTACACATGTTTGTAAAAAGGTCAACTTAGTGGGATTAAAAGAAAATTGTAATAAACATTTCAAAAGCAAAACATGGGTATGCTGAATGATATATCCAATTACAAGACAGGTTAAAATTGTCTGGGCTAACATATAAAGGGATTTCTTTCACCTAGTTTTATCTGTTTGATAACCTCACCTACTATAGTCGTGATAGTAGAAGGCCTTATGTTTCCGGTCTGTTGTACACATCCTTCATTTAGTCTGTGTCATTTCAGATTAAAGTTTTGGTTTAATGTTGTTAACCATGAAATTGTGCATGTTGTTGTCACATCAACTTGAAACTTCTCACATTTGTTCATTTTGATATGAATTTTTAAAATAAATGCTCAATTACGGTTTTGACCTAGATTTTGTTATTCACTAAACACAGGAATGTTAGATTGGAGTATGATGTCCTATATATGTACATATAACTTGTTTTATATATAAATTTATCCTTTTTATATTTTAAAACTGACATTGAGTTTATTACATCTTTCAAATATGTATAGTGGTTATGTTGCAATTTAGGCAAGTTATTTGTGTTGCTTTAATAACTCGTTATAGGTTGGAAAGAAAACCCAGTAGAATTTGATTCAGTTTTTAACCAGAGTAGATACACTTGGTCATGGGGCAGTCCTGATATCTTACCAATGTTTGCAAAAGGTAAGATGGTTTCATAGATAGTAAATACAGATCAATATTGATTAAAGTTGTTTGCCATTTTATATACTGTGGATTCATTAATATTCGTTGGATACCAATTTTCGTGGATTTCATGGGTACTAGGGAACCACGAATTTTAATGTTCAACGAATTACAAATTTTTTAAAGTAATGTATGCACACTTTGCCAAAGCCACAAAATTAAATATCCACGAAAATGCAAGCTTACCTCAATCCACGAAAATTGATACCCACGAAAATAAATGAATCCACAGTATGTAAGGTTGAAGATAAAGTACTTAACATGCTCAAAAGGTTCTGGCTTTAACATATTAAAGATAAGTACCCAGTAGATACAGAACTTGAAAAAAATGAAAGACAGAAAAAACTTCAAAAGGGATAAAATTTCCCATTCTTGTTTAAGCATCTCTAAAGCAGAATGCATACAAGATGAAACAAAAAACAAGTTTGTATTTTATTAATCAATGGTTTGCTGACTCATTGAAACATACCCCACACATCTTTTATTCCTGCTATGAATTTAAGAAACAATGTCTTCACAGATGTTGTATATTAACGAGTTTTGTCTAATGTCATTGATATGTGCTTCTTACACACTAAACTCTTTATGTGTATTTAATAACCAGGAGCCAGTGGTGACCATGTATTGACAGAGATGTATACATCTGATGAGGAAGATTTTGCAGCATCACATGCTTCTGACCTTGACACTTGGGTATTTGATAAAGTTAGGGTAAGAATTGTTTAACCTGGGAAGCTAGATATTTGATAAAGTCAAAGTTTTAAATTTTTGAAGGTTTTGTTTTACATTTATAATTAATCTGCTTCTATAATAGATACAGTTCTAATTTAGATAAGTTTTATGAATTTCATGCTTGATAATATAGTAAAAGAAAAACTTATCCGTCTCTAATTAAATTGCAAAATTAAAACTTCTTCTTATAAACTGATAATAGTATCTGCAAATAAAATTTTTCTACATAAGGATGGCTATTAATAACTTTTTTTTTAAATGTGATTAGCTTGCAAAACTTTGATTAAAATATACATTTTTACTTATTAAGATCATATTTATGTATCAAAACATTCTTTGTTAAAATGAATATTCCCATTAAAGAATGCAAGCATTAAGAACTAAGAAACAGCTATTTAAGTTTGGGAACAAATCTGTTAACATTGTGTAGTTTTGTGAATTATAGGGTGTAATACTGATGCTATAGGTATGTGTATATTCTCTTCCAGGCCTTCTTTGAAGGAGCTAAATTAGACAAAGATTTGTATAAGAAATTACAGAAAGACAAACTAGTCTTCTTTTTACATCTGCTTGGCATAGACACTAATGGACACTCACACAAACCACACTCAAAGTAAGTCCGATTAAGTAGAATATTAAGTTTATATTTGTCACTAAGATGCAAGGGTATGTGTCAATGAGACAGCATGTACAACTATTACTTGTCATACATAGGAATGAAGTAAACTTGCCAAACATACAGAGGCTTAGATACAGAGTACTGTACACCAAAACAGCGTTTTATGTGTGCTACTAAAGAATGTAAACTTTAGACATAATATACAAGAAGGTGTCAACAAGTTTCTTCTTCTCATTCAGATCCTCATTTATGCTATAATTTGCAGTGGAATAATGTGTAGTGAAAATGATCAAGTTTGCATACCCATTTGGTTTTTTTTTTAATGCAATTATGATAATTTGACTGATTATGTTTTCCAGCTCCATGAGAGATGAGGAATACACAATTTAATATTTCATGTGGTATTCAAAAATGGAAAAATCTAGCGAAAATAATCAAATTCTATACTTACATAAATAGATTCATACTTTTTTCAGGGTGTATTTAAAGAATATAGAGCTTGTTGATACAGGAATAAGGGAAATGGTGAAGTTGTTTGATGATTTTTATGACAGGGATGGTAAAACTACATTTATAATGTCATCAGACCATGGCATGACAAATTGGGGTAAATACTATATGATATGAATAAAAATAAGAGAGATGTTAAAATAGAAAACTGTTATATTTTTTTTCAAACAGTGTGTTTAATAAATATTGGTAAATAATTATACTGTGATCTATATACTGTGTAATTAGAGGTAAATTTAATGACATTGGTCATTGCTTACTATATTGTTGAAAAGTTCTGCAACTTAGAAATCAAATATACCTGTACACTGTTTCATGAGAGAATTTGTAATGCTTTGTGTTAAAATCCAATAAATAAGACTGACAGATGCTTGCATGGTTATAAATAAAGATTAACATGGACAAAGAAATTAATACTGTTCAGAAGTTCAGTATAGGGTCTTGACTTGTGTATTGAGATAATAAGGGGTAAATAAGGACATTGAACATTGCTTCCTAGACCGTTTTACAGATAAAAAAATCATGTATACACTGTTTCATCAAAGAATTGTTATTACCCATGAGACATACTATGCTTTCTTATCATTTGAACATGTATTGTGTATATAAATGTTGGAAATAAAATGATGCATCTTCAATTCATTACAGGATCTCATGGAGCAGGGAATCCACATGAAACATTAACTCCTATAGTGGCTTGGGGAGCTGGTATCAGAGGACCCCTGGTAATCTCAAATCAAGTTATCTACCCTGATACATTTTCTCAAGGCATGTCACAATTTTAGTTATTCTTTTTCATTTTACAATTGTTTTATTTATCATTTTAGTTTTATTATAAAAGCAGAACCTCTTGATATTAAATCCGCTGTTCAATGTTGAGACAAAACATAAAATAAAATTCAACTGGAATAAATGCATTGTAAGAATTCTGAAAACAGGTACATCAATGTCTTTGAAAGAATATATCAGATATATGAATGAGAAATTACAAGTCTGGTATGATAAAAAAGAAGAGCAAAAAAGTATGAAACTGAAATGTTTAATACTAACAATTTTCATCAATATTTTCAATATATTACCCCTAATATTTTTAACAGAAAAATCAAACTGTATTTCAAGACATTTTTCAATCTTAGCATTTTAAGGAAGACAACTATTTTATGTACACCTTCAAGTCATTCGTTGGTTAAATAATATAGATTCTACCACTGTATCGAGTGTGATACAATATTTATCCACTTGAGACAGTTAAATATTTAAAATTTGACTGTCGAGAGTGGATAAATATCATATTGCACAAGATTTGGTGGTGGAATCTGTTACTCTGATGATTTTTAAACAATATGCAGACAAACTCAATTCTTCCATTCGAATGGTCTGCAAAAAGATATATTCTTGTTGTGTGACGTCATCAGGTATTTTCTCCTTTTTTTTATGACTTCACAATAGGAAAGAGGAAAACAAGAAAATTTGACGTCATACTCGAATTTTTACCAATGAAGAACTGATCAACAGGTCAGGAAAAGGATAAATCGTGTAAGAATTAGAGAAAAGTGGATTATGTTTTAACAGTTTCTATATACAGTATGAATTATTTTCTTACAGAATGGAAATTACATGATATAAAGAGAACTGATGTTAACCAGGTAAGAACAGTTACTGTTTGGGGAACATTAACAGAGTTTGAAGTAGCAGCTCTGATATTTACCTGTACATAAGGGTTTATGTTTTAGAATGATAAATAGAATAATAGTTTTGTATAAATAATTTAATTTGGTAGGTTTTGCAAAAAAGACTTGAATGGCAAAAACAGCAAACGTTGGTATATAAGCATATTATACTGGTAATTGTGAAGTTAAATTGCTGAAGTATGTTTGTAGTCCAAAGATTTCACATTTATTCATTAGTTGTAGGTCCAAAAAAGTATATGAACAGGGTTTTGACATGATAAGCCTTAATACATTTAAACTTCTATTTATATAGAATAAATAAATGAAATACACATTTTCACACTGTGACAATACATACATATAGTGCGAAAAATCACCTTGCCAGTTATTAAGACATAAGTTTTAAGAAAAAGGCAGACAATATATGATTTCAAGGTTTCGAGCATTGAAAATTAATAAGATACTTATCTAAATATTTTTTTAAACTTTGTTTACAGGCAGATATAGCACCATTGATGTCATCAGTTATAGGAGTACCTTATCCAATGAATTCTGTTGTAAGTAGTCAAGAATATCTATGAAAGGAGATGTGCAGTATAAATAATTGACTCAGTAACCAAACGATGCATCTAAAGGCATCTAAAGGTCAACATACAGTCCTTAACATTAGACAATAATACACAAAAATGATAAAAGGAATCAACAAAATATTGCACAGTACAACTGACCACACCAACACCGACTCCTCTGAAAAAATAGACACACATACAAAAACAAACAAAACATGCTCCAGATAGCCTGAATTGGTACAGGCACAATATGTGTTAAGATTAAACCAGTTATACGTAAGAGTATCTATACAATGTGTCATTACAAAATACAAATATTTATATAGAATAAGCAAGCTTGTCTTTGAATTGAAGTAATAGAGTTTATTGTGTACACAGATTTAGGATATCTATCAAGTTAGCCATTGTTAATAGAGTGAAAAGGACTTTTTTTCATGGGAGTCTTGTAAATGCAAAATCACATTTTCATCATTCTGTATGTTTCATTTGAAATATAATTTTATTTTAGGGCACACTTCCATTAAGTTTCCTCAGTAGTTCAGATTTTGAGAAAGCCGAGAGCACATTTGCAAATGCACAACAAATTTTGGAGCAATATCAGGTAAGCATTATATATTGTATTAGCTTAGACATTTGTATATTATATATATATATGTTACTTATCCTCTTCCTGAAAATGCATGGATTATTTTCCACTGGACATTAAGCAAACTGCAACCAATCCTATATTTCCTGAAATGGTTCACATTCTTTTCTGAATTATGACCTCTATCTTATTTGACTCTTGCTTTTACTACTGGGAAGAATGACAGCATCACATGAGAAGCAGACAGGATATGTTTACATTGCTGTAGCACCTGATATCACTGCCAGGTGTGGGCTTTGCCCAAAACTTTTAGTTTAAGTATAAATGAGTGGAGATGTAGAGTATACCTCAATTAGACAACAACCCAATGACAAAAACATGTTTGCTTGAGAAAAATTTCTATTACCGTCTTTTGGTCTGTATAAAATGCAGTCATGCATAGTATGCACCACATTTTTTCCCACTTGATACTTAAGAAAAAAAGTATTATTGATGCTTAATAGGCAGGGACTTTCTGGAAAAATCCCAACTTGAAACTCTGTAAAATTCGTTCATTGCAAAGTGATTTCTTTTTTTGAGACAATTTGAACTCCAATGTTGGTTGATTACAGGATAATGAAATATTGTTGAAAAAATAAATAATTTGGCAAACTATGTTTGATTTTTTGTCGAGCCTTCGACTTTAGTCGAAAAAGCGAGACATAGCGATCCTACATTCCGTCGGCGTCGTCGTCGGCGGCGTCCACAAATATTCACTCTGTGGTTAAAGTTTTTGAAATTTTAATAACTTTCTTAAACTACCTTGGATTTCTACCAAGCTTGGACAGAAGCTTGTTTATGATCATAAGATAGTATCCAGAAGTAAATTTTGTAAAAATAAAATTCCATTTTTTCCGTATTTTACTTATAAATGGACTTAGTTTTTCTGCCGGGAAATATTACATTCACTCTGTGGTTAAAGTTTTTAAAATTTTAATAACTTTCTTAAACTATCCTGGGTTTCTACCAAACTTGGACAGAAGCTTGTTTATGATCATAAGATAGTATCCAGAAGGAAATTTTGTAAAATAATAAATCCATTTTTTCCGTATCTTACTTTTGAATGGACTTAGATTTTCTGCCAGGAAACAACACATTCACTCTGTGGTTAAAGTTTTTAAAATTTTAATAACTTTCTTATACTATTTTGGATTTGTACCAAACTTGGACAGAAGCTTGTTTATGATCAAAAGCTAGTATCTAGAAGGAAATTTTGTAAAATAATAAATCCATTTTTTCGGTATTTTACTTTTAAATGGACTTAGATTTCCTGTCAGGAAACAACACATTCACTCTGTGGTTAAAGTTTTTTAAATTTTAATAACTTTCTTATACTATTTTGGATTTGCACCAAACTTTAACAGAAGCTTGTTTATGATCAAATGCTAGTATCTAGAAGGAAACTTTGTTTTCTTCAAGTTAACATTACATTCAGTCTGAGGATAAAGTTTTTAAACATTTATTAGATTCATAAACTATCCTGGATTTTTACCAAACTTGGACAGAAACTTCTTACAATCAAAAGATAGTATCAAGAGGAATATTTTTATTGATTTACTTCCTCATTTTTGTTGAGCCTGCGATTAACAGAAAAAGTAGGCGAGACACTGGGTTCCGCGGAACCCTTACGAATTTTTATTGTTTCCACACCGCTATCATCAAATGGCCGTGTTTCATTCAAGTTTTATACATTTACCTACTGTATTCCTTGTAAGAACACATATACAAAGTAAGTAATAAACTTGACCTACACTAATTTGGCCATTGACAGAATCCTTCATCTGAGATTTGGACATGATCAAATGTAATTTCTGGGCAGCAACGGAGAACACAAGATAAAGCAAAAAAAAACTACTAAAGCATTTAAATGATTTTGATTTGCATATAACATTACAAATCAGATACAAGAAGATACAAATAGTAAAACATAAAAATTAAGTTTATACTAAGAAAAATTTTCCTCCTGACTACCTGGTTTCTTGGTGGGAATTCGGACCTGAAAAAAAGTCCTAGGGTAAAACCTGCGTACCATACACACAGAAAGACGGTACTTGTAAAAATTAAATATGAGGAAAGAAACTCCATGTAAATGTTAGTAAGATAAATAGCAACTTAAAAGTTATAAACATAAAGTGAAATCTTAAGATAGTATTTCTGTTTGCAATAATTGGCAATTATCTGCTGCATTTTTGTAAGCACTTTTGGCTGCCATTAATATTGATTTTTTTTTTGACAATTTGAGCAACAGATTCAGCAGTTTTAATGCCCTGCCTTCAATAGTACTGGGGCATTATGCTTTTTTTTCTGTGCATCCATCCCTTCCTCTGTCCATATGTCTGTCTGTTGGTCTGTCAATCCCTCCCCTATCCGGTAATAGTTTTGGTTTTAAGTAGTTCACCATGAAGATGTAGTCACATCAACTTGAAAAGATAGTACACATCTTCTTCATGATGTAAACTTTTAAATATAATGCCAAATTGGGGTTTCAACCAAAATTTCCTCATCCAATGAACATGTCAATGTGATAGTGTAAGCAGGGCATAGTGTCCTATGGACACATATTCTGGTTTGGATAATTGTTTTGAAAAGGGAAACATATAACTTCTATTATAAGTCTTTTCACTGTTGGTTTTAAAAAGGTAATCAATATGTCAGGTATAATAATATATAAAGCAAAGTAAAACTTTTAAAAAGAATAAGAATTTTGATTACAGGTCAAAATGGATCAGAAGAAGTCAACAACTTTATCAGTGGCATTCAGGCCATTTAGGTAAATATGAAATATTAATGTAACAGGGGTTCATGTGGCTAACAAAACCAATCCATTAAAAGTTAAATGTATTTATTATTTTTTTTCATTTTTTTTTGTCATCACCAAATATGAAGAGACTGTTCAGTGTTCATCATCATCATCATTATTTGAAAAAGTATTTATCTTAACTTCTGTTTTAACTTTTTAGTTCTAAAAGAATGTATCTATTCTCCAAAGTGTAAATTTTATCAGATAAGATAAGAGTTATTCCACTTAGGGAATATCCAATGTACAGTTTTGCTGCATATAGGCTTATTCAGGATTTGGTGTACTGGAAGTTGGAGAAACAGGGCATGCTTTGTACAAAATAACACAGGAACACCTTTACCTCTTTCGTAGACATTAAATGTATAAATGGTAACTGCTCACAAAGAATATGGACAGAATCAATATTTGTTGTTATACCAGTAAATTTTTCTTATAATAATTACTTTTTTTTAACCTTTTCAGTAAACTACTGCCTAGTATTCAGGTAAGTAAGTTATAGTTATAAGTGACTGTCAAGTATTCAGATAAGTAACTTGTAGTAAAAAGTTACTTCTAAGGATTTAGATAAGTAAGCTATTATAATAAGATATTGCCTGAACTTAAGACCTTAACCAAATTTGTAATTTCAGTTGCTTGGATCAGAGCTAATTTCATAAAACCACAAAATCCAATTTCTTTAAAACAAATATCATTTCTCAAGGAGTGACATAGGTAGTTTCTTGCCATGTAGATAGAAGTTGCTAAGTTACTAGTATTTTCCTATATATTTCATTAAGTTTTTAAAAAAAATATTCCTTTAATTCATTTCACATTTGTTAAATGCTTATGATGAAATTTGACCTTTTTTTATTTCTTGAATTTAAAACATCTATAGAACTTTGATAATATGATTGATCATGTGCCAAATCTGATTTGTTAAAACTATACCAAGCTATGTTCAGTGAAAATTTCAATTGGTCATTTATTTATATTCTTTATCATATCAAGTTTCATGTTAATGGTTTTAAAGCAGTTAATTTAATTCCTAGATATTTCCTGCAATGGATCATATCATCATAACACTGTTATTGTTTTACAGAAAGACAGAATAAGAAACATCAGAAACTTAATCAATAGTGGACAATATCAATTAGCTGTAAGTTTTAATATACATTTTACTATAGCATCTGGTAAGATATGATATTTATCCTCTCCAAAATTCAAAGTTTGAGCGTTTCTGATGATTTTCAAATTTTAAGAGAAATATAGCAGTTGCTGTTAGATGGAAGTATGGTGAAACATTAAGTTCTTTTATGGTTTTCCTAGAATATGTTTTCGTAAATATCTTCAAGCATGGCCACAGTTCCAAACTGGTGTTTATCAAAAGCTATGATCATATATGGTATAAATTAAGCACTCCTTTTAAAATAAAATATCATATATATATATACCATTGAGAGAACTATTGAAACACTGTTTTTTAATTGATTTAATTTTATATCAGATTACTGAATCTCAAACATTGATAGAGCTTGGTTTAGAAGGATTGAATTACTATCATGGATATGATCGCTTCTTTTTGGGGTAAGTTTTATTTTAAAAGTTTTACATCTTATGATCTATATTTTAAGTTACGTAAAATTCCTCCATTCGTTGATCATTTCTCTACAAATTTTTGATTTTGGTATCCAAATTTCGAGTTTCACTTGATTACTTCATCAAAAAATCTTTTCAAATAAATTTCTTCCTTTAAAACATTTAAAGAATTGTAAAAAGTATTTAAACTGAAAGTAATGAAATTTAATGTTTCATTCTAAAAAATATTATTCCATTCCCCAAACTACATAAATTTACCTCAAACTAGTTTACATTTGTCATTTCGGGGCCTTTTATATTTCTCTATGCGGTATGGGCTTTGCTCATTGAAGAATGCCTTACGGTGACCTATAGTTGTTAATTTCTGTGTCATTTGGTCTCTTGTGGTGAGTTGTCTAATTGGCAATCATACCACATCTTCTTATTTTCATAGTTGTCAAAAAATGAACAAATGTCAAATATTAGAAAAAAGGTTGTGTACTGTTTTTTAATCAATCTATATTTGTTTACAGTTTAAGTATTGTTTTTGGTTTCGTTGGTTGGATGATCTACACACTGACCTTAGTCGTGAGGGATCACTCTGGTTTGGTCAGTGTAACAATAAAGCTTGAGAAGTTGTCACAACCAGTATGGTTACAAGATAAACCAATAAAACTGGTATTTGCTATAATTGGAGTAGCTGTTACTGTTCTATTAAAAGGTATTTAGTAACAGCTAGATTTCACACTTTTGTGAAGTGAATGACTTTAATTTCAAAGATATCTATAATTTATTGTGATTGGTTGATTTAATATTTCAAATATTGTATATTAAGAAATTCAATTGTACAAAATGAAATCTTGATTCATTCTTTTAAAGTTCAAAAGAGAACATTTTTCACTTTTTAAGAAATTAAAAATATTTTAAAAGTGTTTTACAGTTCTTCTGAAATATTTATACAGATATTATATGATTATTTATCAGTGGTGTTCAGGACTAACTGTTTTTTTTTTTGGAGAATTTAAAAACCTTTCATCATAACAACAAAAAAGACTGAACTTCTGGTGTAGTGACTACAGATTGAATTCTATAAATAGATCTGCTGAAACATTTTCAAAATTTCTTAAGAGTTATAAAGTAGATTTTACATATTACTGAGTCTTTATTTATCAACTTTACAGAACAAATTTTTACACATTCTGAATGTAACAAGATGTACATGTAAATAATGTGAAAAATACAGCATCTTTAGTGGTCTTTATAAAGTACAGAGATAATTCTCATTACTTTCATTGTTAGAAATGTTCAAACTCATTTCATTGTATGTTTTATATTTTCAGTTCAGTCACTTCTGTTTACAAATTATATGTATTGTTTAATACCTGTAGTCTTGTGGATGTTTGTTGCTCTTAGGTATGTTGATATAAATGAAATGACTGGCTGGGTAAATATCATGGAGGGAGCAATCCAACAACACAAATTTAAAATTGAATATCTAGGAGTTACATATATTGCCCTGGGGCTTAGTTGATAAGTTGATAAGTTGCATGGTATCTATTTAATACATTCAATAGACACCATAGAAGATCTGTCTTGAGTATGCATCATTCATCATGCATTTTCTCTTAGTAATTTTACGGTTGTACTTGCACTATGCATTTAATCACTCAGCCCTTGTAGAATGTTTTGAATCCTCCAAAATTTTAACTAATATCTGGTAAAACACCACACTGTTAAATTAGTATTGTAAGCTAAAATTGCTAAACAATATGTTTAGAAATAATCAAATCTGAAGAAGAAATACCAAAGTCTCAATATCTGTTGTGTGCAATTAAATATACTGCTGATGTTAATACTTAAATTTTATATCAGTTCATGTATTGAAAACTTATTGTAACATTAGTCCACTGTGAAATGGTACTGTTTTTATGGATTACATTGTTAATTAATGCTGTAAAATTCAGCTCCAAACAAAATACAAATTTCCAAAAGAGAAATACAGACACAAAGAAACCACATTTATAATGTTCACAACAATTGTAATCCATTGATAAAGAAATTATATGTGGTACATTAGAATACCTACGGTATTAATCTGTATTCAGAATGATTTTTTTTTCAGATTGACAGTTTTCCAACAGTTATTTAAAAAATTTAATCTTGCCAAGAATTTAAAGACAGTGTTCATAGCCATTGTTCCACCTGTACTAGGGTTAGAAATACTGGTATGTATACTTAACTTTTCCTTCAACTTGGATCTACCTGGATGGTCACTTGTTAGATATTCAGCAAATTGTTGGTTTGATCCCCAGCTGGTTAAAACCAGACTTCAAAATTGGTTTTTGCTGCTTCTCCTCTATACATGTCAAATTGAGAGCTGCAATTGTCGACTTAGACTTGGGAAAAAACTCAAGTTAGGTAGAAAATATGTCACAGAAAGTCTGCAGGATGTGTTTTTGAAAACTAATGAAAAATGGAGAAGCCTCTTTGAAGAAATGGATACCAGATAAACTATTTCACGTACACTGTCTTGTAAAAAAGAAATATTGTATCTTAGAAAAGGTTTTAATGTTCCTTCTCTAAGGTTTTATGTGTACATTAAAGAAAGTTTCTTGCTGAACTGATTACGTTGATAAATGTTAATGGATTTAAAACCTTTTACAAAATATATGGTTAAAATTCAAACAGAAGATGTCTGTTAACTTGATTGTTTGAGAAATCATTATCAAGTTTAATAAAAGTTAATATATGCTTATCTTTCTTGTTTAAATATGTTTCAGGTGATGGGTTTCTTTAGAAGAGAATTGCTATCTGTTGGTTTGGTTATGATTGCAGCATGGCCATTAATAACATCCAAAAGTATATGGAAAGATAAGGTAGGATTATAAGTAAATTAGTTTCAGCAGATTTCTAATAACAAAACAATAAAAATAGATTCTGAGAGCTGTAACTTTAAGAAACATTGGCTAGTTAAGATTTGCTTTGTGTCAAGTTTACTGTAAAAGCCAAAAACATTCTTGTACTCTAATATGAAATTAAGGAGATTAAGGAATTATTTGTACAGCATAGTGAAACTTCACAGTAAAGATATGCCTGTCTGACAAAATTTTAAGGTCTTATTCGAAATTTGATTACCAGATCTGTATTTCATGCAAAATTTGAAAATAGATTCCCTTCGTAGTTATTGGGATTTTTCCAGCAAGTATACAGGCATTAACATTTTAGTCATTAATCAGAAAAATATTGCATCCTGGGGAAAGGGAGAGCACTGATGAGGTTATAACTTTTAAGTCGGAGTTCAGGGCCACAGCAGTAAAAAATTGAATGAAATTTTGGAGAGTTGGTTTTGGAATGCATATTTTGTCATTTATTTTATCTTTTGACCTATTTTACCCTTTGTATGTTTCAGGTGACAGCAGCTGGTTGGATTGTCTCATGTCTGTTGCTATCTGTGTTTCCATTAGCTCCAGTTGTTGGAAGGCAAATTAATTATATTTATGTGTAAGTCAGTATAGCTTAACAGCTGCTTATTGTCTTCAGAAACTACTTTAGCCATAATCATTGTTAGGATGTTTTAACCATTCTAAATAACCAAATAACCAAATATCTGCTGATTTCGAACATTTAACAGTCTTGTCTAAAATTACCTGGACCAAATAATTTGAAATGTTCATAAAGTACTCATGTTAAAAATTGTTAATATAAACTGAAAGAATTAATCATATTCATAATTCTCTAAAAACCTTATCAAATATCTACTTAAGTCTAGTGGAGACCATTTACCTCCTGCTGAATTTTATTACCATGGTGTTACATAGAAACTGGCGAAATAGATTTTATTTACATGACCTGTCAAATATTTTTATTAATTTTTCTGTCTTACACAACTGCACATTATTTTTAATACAGATTGTTAAATTTACATTTATTTGTTATGTTTAGAATAACAAGTGGTGTATTTGTTGTTGTATCAGCCACATATTTGATCTTCTGGTGAGTAGATTATTGCATTATAGATTTTTAAATTTTGCATTTTTTGTTTGATCCATGTGCTAAATTTCTTTACACACATATATATGTATAAATAGTACAATGATAAATACAACTTATCTGAGGTTGCTCTGTCAATTTACGTGATACATGACTAGCAAACAGTATGAACATACAATCCATAAAGGTAACAAAACAAATTGTGCCTGCCAAAAAAGGTATTTGTACACATAATGGATATTTTATAATATTATACAATTAATGACTTTTGATGAGGTTGATACTACAATTTATCACCCTCAGAGATATGATATTCACCGAGGCCAATGGCTGAGGGTGAATGTCTTATCTATGGGGTTGACAAATCATTGTATTAACTGATATCATAAGTCAACAATTGTTTTATTATATTATTTTTTTTTTTAACCATCTCTAATTTCTAGTAATTGCTCAGGATTTTAATTTCTCCTTTTATACTAAATATTTTATCTGTTTGGTAGTTGCTAAGTTGAAATATTCAATAAGATTTATTAACAATATATAACATAAAAAAAAAGGTGATGAAAAATGAGACGTTGCTGAGGAAAAAACTATTTATAGGTACACGTTAGCTGTTCCATATCTTATATTAGCCTCTTGTGACTTTTCCTGCGGTGAATATAACGTTTTATCAAAGAAGATTCCCTAGGCCAAGCCAATGAGAAAAGAGATTTTTTTATAGTCATATAATAACATGACTTATCACTATGATGTATGTTAGGGTTAGTATATTTTATTGTGTGAGCACCACATTGGTTGAACTTCCTAATAACCAATCAGTTGATAAAATATAGTTTCAAGCAGGCAATTACTTCAATATATTAATTTATTTCACATTGCATATATTATATGCTTAATATAAACATTGGAAATGCTGGGACAATGTAATTATTATATTTGTTAAAGCTATTTTATTAAATCTCTTTAAACATACAAATCATTCAGTGTATATTTTAGGTTAAAGAGAAGTCATGAAGTGAAGAAAGAAAGAAAATTGAGACATCAGCATATTTTTCTTGTTAACATTATTCAGGTAAATGGGAAAATTATATATAAACCAGCAATTTGTATGTTGATATGTAGAAAGTGTATTTAAACTATCAAGGTTCGAAAACTTAGAAGTATTGTTAAACCACTAATATTTTTTGTTCATCAGAATAGGATTCGTCAACAATACAAATAACTTTATGCATGAAAATTTTATCACTGGTAATAGTAAAAAAAAGTAATTCAATATACAGCATGTACAATTTGGAAAAAAAAACCAAAGTGCAAACTATGTCTTTAAAAGTTAAATACAAACATAATGGAACAGCATGAAAGGAAAGCAATAAAATGAAGAATAGAAAATCGTTGACATACTTCCAAATCAGTCAAGAAGCTTGTTAACTTGTTTTGCATTTTTCAAAATTTCATGAAAGATTGAAAAAAGATACATCAGGTATGTTTCTCTAAAGATATTAAGACTGAATACAAATGGAATGCTTGTTTGAACTAGGTTTGGTCAAATCTCATTCAAATATTGTTATTTCAGGTTGTAGTTATTGGTTTAGCCACATATAATGTATGGACAGTGTCCAGTAGTATAGCCAGAAGTCAGGGTCTTCCATTTATAAATCGATTAACCAGCTATCTCATTTTAGGTAACACATTTCTGTATTTTTCATTTAATTGTAAGAAAAGCTTCACTGATAGTAATAATGATTTCTCTGGAAAAATGTGTTGAATTTAATGAAGGCCATTTGGCATTACACATTCAATGTTTACTGGTTTGAATAGTGTAATAGTTAGATTACAGCAGCGTTGAACATTTGTTGTCACATGAAGAATAAATCAATCAGTTAAGAAATGTATTAAGAAATAATATTAATTTTATAGTTTTCTCAATATAGAAAGGATATGGAATGAATTGGAAATATAGCAAAAATCTGCAAAAATTCTTGTGGAAGAATCTTTACAGAAGTGATTTAATTGCTGTAATCACCACAAGGGCTGATAGTTTCCTTGATAAATAATCCTGACTCTATATCGGTGTAAAATGGCATTGATTTTAAAATCATATTGCTTTTGATATTTGTCAGTATTTGCTACATGCACTGAAGTTATCAATAAATTTCATACATTTTACTTTAAAAATTGCAAATGATATATTTTATGATTAATTTTGTTGTGAAAAAGAAATAACCTTTTTTATCATGTTTTCAGTGTTTTCAATGATTTCACCATTTCTTGGAGGGACATCAGTGACACACAGATTGTTTACTGTAACCTTGGCATTATTTCCTCCATACTTACTGCTAAGTATATCGTATCCTTTATAGTCATCATATCATACTGTCAAACTCAAGAATATTGTTTTAAGTATTAGAATTGATATTTCATTATAAATAGTTAATTGTTACTGTTTGAACATAGACAAAATAATTGTGGGTATTTTGGATTAATTTACATATGTAGGTACTTATTTTTGTGGATTGGGGGAAGTAATAGTAATAGCTAATTTTACTTTAACTGAAAATTGAGTCAACAGTATTAAGGGGTTGTATAGATATAATAAGTGAGAAATGGCTCACAGTACATGAAATACTAAAAACAGTGTTGAGCAAAAATATAATAAGTTATAATAAGGTCATAGTTCATCTTGTTTATGATAGAATTTACATCAAATGTACTGAAAGTTAAATGTACATTTGGGGTTTTGTTTATTGAAGTTTGAGTTACTTAATTATGCACAATTAAATGTTTAATCAAATTTTTTCTTTAAAATTTCATGATTACTTACACATGTCATTACTTGTGTTTATGTACAAAAAGAATCTTTAGGATGAAGTCTGAAAAATAAAATTTATTGTGGAATGATTTAATACAACTATGATCAGCATTGTTGGTGAATGAATATAAAGTTATTGCCATTATAAATACTTGAAAATATTGCTTTTGTTAGTATTGTTGATACTTCATTGATAACAATGTATCCTTACATGAAATTCAGATATGAAGATTTATTTTTTGTGACTTTAACAGTAGTTTTGTATTTCTGGATGAAATTAGAGATAAATTTGAATGATAAAAAAGTCAGTGTAAGTATCATTAACTCACACAAAGTGTCATATAAGCAACTTTTTTAGTTGCAAGGAGTGCATACCATGCTATAGCATTTTTAAGAGTGGATTAATATCAAGATTATTTGGTTAAGTGGTGGAATTTGTATTAATAACAGTTTTATGAAGAAATAATATAAACAATATTCCAAACCGATTTTGTTGAAAATTACAAATCACGATTTAACCAACATGTCATTAATGAATTATGTATGTCAGTTTACTGATGATTCATTCTTAATAAAAAAAAAAGTCTGACTGTGCCAAGATTCAAACCTCTTAAACATATTCTACAGTAAGATATTTAAATGTGACCACCAATAAAAAAATATGATGTATTTATTGCAGAATGATGTCACAAAATATTAATTTTATATTTCCATTTAGTTATGATGTATAAGTTTTTTATTTTTCAGTTAGAAGATTGTGATTTTGTTGCATCAAGTAAAAACCATCAACATAGAAGTATAAACACTGAAGATATACGAAGAGCATTCTATTATGTATCCTTTTTAGCTCACCTGGGCCCAAAGGGCCCCATGTGAGCTTATGCCATCACTTGGCGTCCGTCGTCGTCTGTCGTCGTAAACTATTTAAAAAATCTTCTCCTCTGAAACTACTGGGCCAAATACCTTCAAACTTTAACTAAATGTTCCTTAGGGTATCTAGTTTATAAATTGTATCCGAAGTTTTGATCCATTGACAAACATGGCCACCATGGCTGAAAATAGAACATAGGGATAAAAATGCAGTTTTTGGCTTATATCTCAAAAACTAAAGCTTTTAGAGCAAATCTGACATGGGGTAAAATTGTTCAATTGGTCAAGATCTATCAGCTCTGAAATTTTCAGACGAATCGAACAACCCATTGTTGGGTTGCTGCCACGGAATTGGTAGTTTTAACAAAATTTTGCAGTTTTTTGTTATTATTTTGAATATTATTATAGATATATATAAACTGTAAGCAGCAATAATGTTCAGCAAAGTAAGATCTACAAAAGAGTTAATATGACCATGATTGTCAATTGACCCCTTAAGGAGTTATTGCCCTTTAAAGACAATTTTTACACAATTTGTTCATCAAGTTTGCTAACATTTAAAAATCTTCTCCTCTGAAACTACTGGGCCAATTACCTTCAAACTTTAATTAAATGTTCCTTAGGGTATCTTGTTTATAAATTGTATCCGAAGTTTGTATCCATGGACAAACATGGCCGCCATGGCTAAAAATAGAACATAAGGGTCAAATGCAGTTTTTGGCTTATATCTCAAAAACTAAATCTTTTAGAGCAAATGTGACATGGGGTAAAATTGTTTAATTGGTCAAGATCTATCGGCCCTGACAGTTTAGATGAATCGAACAACCCATTGTTGGGTTGCTGCCACGGAATTGGTAGTTTTAACAAAATTTTGCAGTTTTTTGTTATTATTTTGAATATTATTATAGATATATATAAACTGTAAGCAGCAATAATGTTCAGCAAAGTAAAATCTACAAAAAAGTTAATATGATCAAAATTGTCAATTGACCCCTTAAGGAGTTATTGCCCTTTAAAGACAATTTTACACAATTTGTTCATCAATAGATATAAGAAGATGTGGTATGAGTGCCAATGAGACAACTCTCAATCCAAGTCAAAATTTATAAAAGTAAACCATTATAGGTCACAGTACGGTCTTCAACACGGAGCCTTGGCTCACACCGAACAGTAAGCTATAAAGGGCCCCAAAAAATTACTAGTGTAAAACCATTCAAACGGGAAAACCAACGGTCTAATCTATATAAAAAATGAGAAACGAGAAATACTTATGAACGACATCAACAAACGACAACTACTGAACATCAGATTCCTGACTTAGGACAGGTGCAAACAAATGCAGCGGGTTTAAACGTTTTAATGGTACCAAACCTGCACCCTTTTTCTGAAACAATAGTGTAACATCACAACATAGAAAGACACACTATAAAATATCAACTGAAATAGCTTAACTCAATCAAAGGACATATGAACACCATTGAACATACACTGAACAAATAAATTTGACCTATGACACAATGTAAATACAAAATAAATAAACTGAGGGAAGTTTGCTAACATTTAAAAATTTTCTCCTCTGAAATACAGGTGAGCAATTCAGGCTCTTGAGAGCCGCTTGTTTGTTCAATTTATTTATTTACAGGAGGAGGTGTCATCCCAAATTCCTGAAAAAATAAAGTAGTCTTTCCCGGATTTAAAAAAAATTAATTATTAATTCCCTAGTTCTGATAAGTGTAAATCCCAAATTCCCATGAAAATAAAGGCCAAATCCTGAATTCTTGCAACAAGAAAGGTCCAATTCCAACATCCTGAAAATGGTCCTTCCACCCCTTTGTAAAGATATTTTTTATGAAAATGCTTCTAATTTTTAGCTCACCTGACCTGAAAGGTCAAGTGAGCTTTTCTCATCACTTTGCGTCCGTCGTCCGTCGTCCTGCGTCCGTCGTCCGTAAACTTTTACAAAAATCTTCTCCTCTGAAACTACGGGGCCAAATTTAACCAAACTTGGCCACAATCATCATTGGGGTATCTAGTTAAAAAAATGTGTCCGATGACCCGGTCAACCAACCAAGATGGCCGCCACGGCTAAAAATAGAACATAGGGGTAAAATGCAGTTTTTAGCTTATAACTCAAAAACCAAAGCATTTAGAGCAAATCTGACATGGGGTAAAATTGTTTATCAGGTCAAGATCTATCTGCCCTGAAATTTTCAGATGAATCGGACAACCCGTTATTGGGTTGCTGCCCCTGAATTGGTAATTTTAAGGAAATTTTGCTGTTTTTGGTTATTATCTTGAATATTATTATAGATAGAGATAAACTGTAAACAGCAATAATGTTCAGCAAAGTAAGATTTACAAATAAGTCAATATAACGGAAATGGTCAGTTGGCCCCTTTAGGAGTAATTGCCCTTTATAGTCAATTTTTAACCATTTTTCGTAAATCTTAGTAATCTTTTACAAAAATCTTCTCCTCTGAAACAACTGGGCCAAATTAAACCAAACTTGGCCACAATCATCATTGGGGTATCTAGTTTAAAAAATGTGTGGCGTGACCCGGCCAACCAACCAAGATGGCCGCCACAGCTAAAAATAAAACATAGGGGTAAAATGCAGTTTTTGGCTTATAACTCAAAAACCAAAGCATTTAGAGCAAATCTGACATGAAGTAAAATTGTTTATCAGGTCAAGATCTATCTGCCCTGAAATTTTCAGATGAATCGAACAACCTGTTGTTGGGTTGCTGCCCCTGAATTGGTAATTTTAAGGAAATTTTGCTGTTTTTGGTTATTATCTTGAATATTATTATAGATAGAGATAAACTGTAAACAGCAATAATGTTCAGCAAAGTAAGATTAACAAATAAGTCAACATGACTGAAATGGTCAGTTGACCCCTTTAGGAGTTATTGCCCTTTATAGTCAATTTTTAACAATTTTTCGTAAATCTTAGTAATCTTTTACAAAAATCTTCTCCTCTGAAACTACGTGGCCAAATTAAACCAAACTTAGCCACAATCATCATTTGGTTATCTAGTTTTAAAAATGTGTGGCGTGACCTGGTCAACCAACCAAGATGGCCGCCACGGCTAAAAATAGAACATAGGGGTAAAATTCAGTTTTTGGCTTTTAACTCAAAAACCAAAGCATTTAAAGCAAATCTGACATGAAGTAAAATTGTTTATCAGGTCAAGATCTATCTGCCCTGAAATTTTCAGATGAATCGGACAATCCGTTGTTGGGTTGCTGCCCCTGAATTGGTAATTTTAAGGTAATTTTGCTGTTTTTGGTTATTATCTTGAATATTATTATAGATAGAGATAAACTGTAAAAAACAATAAATGTCGGCAAAGTAAGATCTACAAATAAGTCAACATGACCGAAATTGTCAGTTGACCCCTTTAGGAGTTATTGCCCTTTATAGTCAATTTTTAACCATTTTTTCTTAAATCTTAGTAATCTTTTACAAAAATCTTCTCCTCTGAAACTACTGGGCCAAGTTAATTATAGATAGAGATAATTGTAAGCAGGAAAAATGTTCAGTAAATTAAGATGTACAAACACATCACCATCACCAAAACACAATTTTGTCATGAATCCATCTGCGTCCTTTGTTTAATATTCACATAGACCAAGGTGAGCGACACAGGCTCTTTAGAGCCTCTATTTTTAAAGTTATAGTCCACTTTTTGTCTGTATAGCATAATTTCATTTGATTTTCCTGAGCCTTTATCAGATATTTTTTATACTGGTAGCATTTTTTGGAACAGGGAATATTGCAAGTATTAACAGGTAAATTGTGTAGAACTTTAAGGATTACTTTATTTCCATAAGTTGCAGCATGTAGTCCTATTTGCTTTGAATATTAAGAAATGTTGATTGCTTATACTGTTAGTGATTTGATGATAAATGTAAGTATTAAATTCTTTTCTTAATTATGCTGTATTTCCAGTTAATATTAGTTGACATGTTAGAGAATAAAAAAAGTGTTTAAAATGGATTTAATGAAAGCCAAAAGGCACCTGAACTAGACAATGCATAGATTAAGGGTTTGATAAAATGGGGATTTTTCAAAATAATGATAATACCCCCACCCAAAAAAAAAAATAAGAAAAACATCAAAAACATCAAAAGATGAAACAAACAAAAACCACCAAAAGTATCAAGTTATCGTTAGTTGATGTTTATTAACTAATTTTCAATCTTTCCATATTAATGAAGGGAGGGGGCACTTATGTAAAATAGATGAGTGGTTGTAGTTTGAATCCCAAATACACCCGCACTTTTTAATTATGAAACTGTTTTAAAATTATGTCATCAATATTATTTTTTAGTTTTGAACCAGCCTCTGTGTATTGTTTTATTACAAAGTTTGATCCATTCATGATGGGATCTCTCATGATGTTAAAGGTAAGACATTACTGAGTCTCTGGGGGAGTATATTGTTTAATGTGCAATTGTTCCTTTAAAATATTTCATTGAAATTGGAGAATTAGTGATTAAAAAACTACCAAAGAGATTGAATTACAAGGAATGCCAGAATTTGTAATTTCTTATCATATTTTCTTATTTTATATTTCAGAATGTATTGCCATTTTTTTCTTGGTCTCATGTTTTATATTTCAGAATATATTATCATTTGTTTTGATGAGCTGTGTTTTCCATGCCATACATGTACTGACATCCATTCCAACCAAAGCTTTGTTCTAAGTCTCAGACTATATATTTCAGAATGTACTGCCATTTGTTTTGGTTAGCTGTGTTTTCCATGCCATACATGTACTGACATCCATTCCAACTAAAGCTTTGTTTCTGATAGTACTCATTATGTCAGATTTCATGGCATTAGTAAGTATTCAAAAGCTGTCGCGGTTATATTCCTTAAAAACTTGTCAAACGAGTCTTTCCTAAAACATAGTTTATGTTCTTTCTCTTAAGTGTAATGGGGCATTTAGTTTTCCCTAAGTATGTAACTTTGAAATACAATGTACAACTGTTTGGTTGAATTGAATACTTCAATTTTATTTTTCAATTGGGGAAATGTTGTGACCAACAGTTCCTTTAAGAAGAATCTGTACAAACAAAAGAAACATCATTTCAAGGAGACTGAAACTACCCAAGTTTCATTTATCACTTAAAAGGAAAATAAAGTGTGAATATAAAAAAAATAAGAATTTTACAAAACCAACAAAAGGTCCTGAAGATGCCACACTTGCTGGCGAAACATTTTGACCATTAAAACTATTACTTTGTGTTAATTTATGAGTGTTGTTGTCTTTAATGTCGATAAAACCAACAAAAGTGCAGAATAAATTTAGAAATTATATCAAAAGTTATGCGCTTTGATATCATGTACCATGTCCATTTTGTCTGATTCTTACTTTCTTACTGCATGTACATCGCACATATGATTTTGGTCTTCAGGTGTATTTTTGGTTTGATAAAGCAACATAACAATGATTCAGAAACCCATGAAAACATGTAAAAGGCAGTGTTTTTATGCCCCACATAGGGGCATTATGTTTTTCAGTCTGTGCGTCCGTCTGTGCGTCCTTCCATCTGTCTGTCTGTCCCACTTCCGGTTAAAGTTTTTGGTCAAGGTACCGGTAGTTTTTGATGAAGTTGAAGTCCAATCAACTTGAAACTTAGTACACATGTTCCCTATGATATGATCTTTCTAATTTTAATGCAAAATTAGAGATTTGACCCCAATTTCACGGTCTACTGAACATAGAAAATGATAGTGCGAGTGGGGCATCCATGTACTATGGACACATTCTTGTTCTTCTTCAAATTACTGTTAATTAAATGAAAACTTCAGAGAATAGTAAATATAGATATAGTGTGATTCTTATTTCAGAATTTTTTCTTCCTGGTTAGAGACTATGGTAGTTGGTTAGAGATTGGGACCAGTATTAGCCATTATGTAATAGTGATGTGTATGATTATATTTCTCATGGTACTATTTGTATTATCGCATGCTTTGACAACTGTCTCAGTTCTTCCTAGGATAAAACACAGCAGAGAGTGAGAGTCATTACCAGCATTGTTTGTGTGGTAATCATGTCTGTGAAAAAGAACTGTATCATCTATTCTAGTCTAAGTATGATATGTTTGTTTGAATTATGTCTTCCAATGACAATCAGATTGTATTTGTTAAATGATAAATTTATATGAACTATGACCTCCAGTGACAATCAAAGGAGAATGTAATTGTTAAATTTTTTCATGTTTTTTAATTAGCACTTTTTGTATGTAACCTTGTTGAATTTCATGAAATTTTTAAAATAATGTTTTAATTTTAATTATCATATTTAAGAAATCATTATCCATACCATTAGAAATGATAATACTTTTCAGGTCAGATAATTTTTTTACTAATTCCATCACCTTAAAATCACACTGTTCAATTTTTCATTGAACGACCAAGACATCATGAAGATAAGTATTGTATAGTATAAACTGATACAAGGTATCTAATTAGATGTTTACCTTATTTTCAAATATGTTCCAATCATTCAGCAAATTTGGTTTAGATTTTAGAGGATTTCTTATTTTAAGTTTGCAAAAACAGAAAACAAAAACTCTAATTTGTGCCAAAATCCCTATGTTATCTCCCCTTTTTGTTTATTTTTTTTATGTGGTAAGATGTTAATCTGTTACTTAAGCTTAGCAATCTTAGAATTGAGATTGATATGGTAACATGAACCTCCAAAAGGGTTGCATGCTTAAACTTTGATCCCTGTTTGCAACCCTTTTTTATTTCAAATCGACTTAAAATCATAAATTCATAATGTAATGCATAATATTACATCAGTATTTGATGTTGTTTATAAGAAGAAGTTGTTTACAGGTATTCTCTATGTAAAAACAATGTTCAATGGTGGTTATCCTCTTGGATTTAAGTTTGCCACTAAAATCACAAAATTTAGGTCGGACCATCATATCCTCCTCTGCATAATATTATTTTAGTCTATGAAGCAGTTTCAAAGAAGCTGCTAATATGTATTTACAAAACAGTTTGTGACGGTTGGATTTAATTCATTCAGTGATGCTGTTTGCAAGAAGTTACTTGTTTGTTTTCCTGTAGGTGATATGTAAAAACTATATTTCAGAGGTGCTTTGGCAATGTTTGATTTCAGATCCACACACAAATAACTAATTTTATTTAAACAATCATATAATTACCCATACATCATATTACTCTATGAAACTGTTACAAAGAGAAAATGGAAAGAGGTTTGCATGTATTTTTTCATATGGTCTTGTGTTATAAAATGATCAGATATGGCAACCATCCCCGATTTAGACCAGCTTTAAAATCACATATTTTACACAATACCCCTATCCTCCAATCTGTGAATTTTCTAAAGAGAAAAAAGTTAATTGTTTCATGATAAATTACTAACGGATAGAGATGTAGAAGAAAATTGACATGTAGAAGATATCTATATCTATATGTTTCCTAAGTTGTTCATTCTTTATTCTGTGCAATATATTGTTTATGCATTTACATAGAATACCTCCTTATGTACTATCTTCTACAATGTTGTTCAGTCACTGTGATATTTGTATTTTAATACTTTTGATATCAAAAAGATTTTTTTTAATAAATGGACACTTAATTACAAATTAATGTTTGTTTTTATTGTATTAAAGATATGAAAATATCTTTTCAGCTAAGATCCTCAAACTCATTTTAGAATGAGGAATAGATTTTAGATAATTTGATCAGCACTTGTGTTGGTTTCTTTAGTCAGTGTTTTTAGCTCACCTGGCCCAAAGTTTCTCATCATTTGGCATCCTTCGTCCGTCATTGTCCGTTAACGAACTTTTACAAAAATCTTCTCCTCTGAAACAACATTGACCAAATTTTATCAAACTTGGCCACAATGATCATTGGGGAATCTAGTTGAAATAATGTGTCCAATGACCCTGTCTGCCAACCAAGATGGCCGACATGGCTAAAAATAAAACATAGGGGTAAAATGCAACTTTTGTCTATTTTTTTTAAAACCATTATAAATGGAGAAAATCTAACAGGGCAAAAATGTTCAGAATGTTGAGCTCTACCAATTGCCCTTAAATGACAAATTTTACAATTTTTATGCCCCACCTACAATAGTAGAAGGGTCATTATGTTTTCTGGTCTGTGCATCCGTTCGTTTGTCCATCTTTCCGTCCGTCCGTCTGTCCTGCTTCAAGTTAAAGTTTTTGGTCATGGTAGTTTTTGATGAAGTTGAAGTCCAATCAACTTGAAACTTAGTACACATGTTCCCTATGATATGATCTTTCTAATTTTAATGCCAAATTAGAGTTTTGACACCCATTTCATGGTCCACTGAACATAGAGAATGATAGTGCGAGTAGGGCATCTGTGTACTATGGACACATTCTTGTTTTTCATTTTTCCCTATTATCTTGAAAACTATAATAGATAAAGAGAAACTTTATATTGCAAAAATGATTAGCAAGACAAGATCTACAAAAAATATGCATGATCGAAATCATCAGATGACTCCTATTAGAGTTATTACCCTTTGATGACGATTTTTACCAATTTTTTGCGATTTTGCCTTCTATCTTAAAAATTAATATAGATAGATAGAAACATAGATAAGCAAAAATGACCAGCAAGACAAAATCTTCTTCTAAGACAAATGGAGGAAAATGCTAGACGACTCCTTATTAGAGTTATTGCCCTTAAATGATGATTTTTTTACCAATTTTTTGGCGTTTTGCCTAACTGTCGATTTATTTATTTTTGTAGGTTCCAATTTTCATGGATTGAGGAAACTTGCATTTTCGTGGATATTTGATTTCATGGTTTTGCCAAAATCTGCTGAATTCCTATACAAAATTTTTAATACGTTGGACATTGGAATTCATGGGTTCATGGTAAACACGATATCCATGAAAATTGCTATTCAACGAATAATAATGAATCCACAGGATATGATAAAAATTATAACAGATAAATAGAAACTTTAAATAACAAAAATGATGAACAAGGCAAGATCTACAAACAAGTCAAATTTTGTCGATATCTTTAGTAGACTGTCACTTTTCATAGGAGTGATTGACCTTAGATAAGGATTTTTTACCCTCTTTTGTGTTTTTGAGCAAAATATAAAGAAGATATAGAGAAACTAAACAGACAAAATGATCAGCAAAAAAGAGATTTTTGTCATGAATTCTATTCTCGTCTACAATGTTGGAGAGTGTCCTTTGTTGAATATGCACATAGACCTAGGTGAGCGACACAGGCTCTTTAGAGCCTCTAGTTACTATTGGTTATGAGGCTTTAATTCCTGCACCTAACATTGATTAATGTATTTGGTATATGGGTTCCTTGCAAGGTCTACATTTCTGCCAGGTAGGGTTCACCTGACCTCGACCTTAATTCATGGATCAGTGATCAAGATTATAGTTACGTCGTCAAGTCTGTATCTCAGATATTATAAGCAGTATGTCAACAATATTTGGTGTATGGAATGATTGTAAGGTGTACATGTCTGTCTGGCAGATTTCATCTGACCTTGACCTCAATTTCATGGTTTATTTGACAATGTTCAGTTTTTGTAGTTTGGTCTATTTCTCAGATACTATAAGCAATAGGGCCACTATATTTGGTGTATGGAATGATTGTAAGGTGTACATGTCCGACTGGCAGGTTTCATCTGACATTGACCTAACTTTTATGATTCATTGAACAATGTTTAGTTTTCATGGTTTGGTCTATTTCTCAGATACCATAAGCAATAGGTCAAGCATATTTGGTGTATGTAATATTTGTAAAGTGTAAATGTCTGTCTGGCAGGTTTCTGTCAGTTTATCAGTTACTATAAACAATAGGACAACTATATTTGATATATGGAATGATTTTAAGGAGTACATGTCTGTCAGGAAGGGTTCATATTACCTTGACCTCATTTTCTTGGTTCATTGGTCAATGTTAAGATTTTGTGGTTTCATCTCTTTCTCAGGTTCTATAAGCGATAGGACCTTTATATTTGGTGTATGGAGTGATTGTTAGGTCTACATGTCTGCCTGGCATGGTTCATCTGACCATGTCTTCATTTTCATGGATCATTGATAATTTTAAGTTTATGTGATACTTGTAGTAAAACCTTCATATTACAGACTTCCAACATGAATTCAATCATAAGTAAAACAGGTGAGACATTTCAGCATGTGCCCTCTTGTTGAAAATAGTAATTGTGATTTCTTTTATGATTGATTGTTTGCTTAATATTTCATACATATTTAGGATGAGAACATATAAATAATTATTGATAATAATATGTTAATATGTAAACTTTTTCTCTTAAAAAGCCTATTTGTATTTCCCATGGTGTTCTATATAAATTATACTCCATTTAGGCAACTGTCTTAGATTACATAAAATCATTGCAATGAGTTCAAATCAGATTTTGATATTAATAAGTTAGGAACTATACAAGTTACTTTTATAGCTGTTTACCACCCAATCTTTATCAATTTTGCTATAGAGTAGCCAATGTCTATAACTGTTATACTGGAATTTTCATGTCTCTTGCATTTCCAAGGGCATAACTCCCTTACAAATAATCATTCCACACTGGCACTGAGATTCTCATGAGATGGAAAATAAGGGCTATTTAGTTCTTATTAGAGTTTTATGAAATTTATATCAAAAGGTTTCCATCACTAGTAAAAAAGACAAGCTTGAAAAAATGCTGCTGTTATAATGCAGTTGTGACCATTAAACATGCATATAAATTTCATTAAATTCTGCTGAAAAATCCATTTGATTTTCCATATTATCTATTTTTCAACTCCCCTAAAACTGTTCAATTGTTGCTGATTTTCTTTCTTGTCTGACATATTGAAGCTGTTAGTCTTTGACATGAATTTCATTACACTTTAGTACAAAATGTATGCTAACTATAGTGATTTTCAATGTCAATCAATAACTGGCTTTGAGATGAATGCTACAGGTACTCCATTTTCTTAAGTTCATTCAATGAGAATACTTTGTTTGCCATGAAGTCCTTATTTGAATTCAGATATGCAGCAAAATTTTTCTGTCACCATTTACCAAAAGAAAATGCTGTCATGATAAGTTATATTTTGCCTTGTAGGATGTTTAATATATGCCATTAACGTCAAAGCAAAAGAGGCCAGCAGAGTAGAGGAATTACAAAGCTTAAGATGACATTAACAGAACCTCACTACACTCAAAATAGTAAAAAAAATAAAAGAATGTGTCTAAGGACATTAATGCCCCAGCTCAAGTTTTGCAATTTTCCAAATTAAAAAGGGGCATAACTCAAGAATGGTAAATGACTCACTGCCCAAATTCGAACTCTGTCTGTATGCTGTGGTATTTAGCATTGTGTATGAGTTTCATAAAATTTGGATGAGCCAAACTTAAGTTAGAGTGTGGAAACAAAAATTTGCAATTTTCCAAGTTATAAAGGGTCTTAACTCTAAAACAATAAGTGACATTCTACCCAAATTCGAGCTCGTGTCTGCAAGTTTTGGTTCTTAGCGTTGTATATTAGTTTCATAAAATTTGCACAAGGCAAACTTAAGTCAAAGTGTGGAAACAAAAATGGGACGTATGGAAGGACAGAAAGACGGAGAGTCAAGGATAACATTTAATGCCCCTGATGCCTACAGTGAGGGCATAAAAATGAATTATAACCATGCATATAAGATGCAAAGAAAAATACATGAACTAATAAAAGATTGGTTACAAGCAGCTGCTAAAACAAGTTAAGAAAGTTGATCAGACAAGAAAATCAATCTCTTTCTCTTCATCATTGAGGATACATTCAATCCAAACTTTAGGTTCTCAATGTTCCTATGATAGGTCATTGGAAAAATCCGTTGAACACAGTAAGATTTGTTTTTTCTGATTTCTTCCCAAACATTGGTGAATTATAAATTTCAGTTACACAAACAAGCATGCCATCAAAGATGCGCAATAGTATTACTGGATTTCTTCAGGTTTCAAAATTTTACTTCATGATTTTTGCAAGCTCCGTACAAAATGAGGATTATACTAGCCTTGGAAATAAGACCATAAATATGATATAAGAAATGTCATACACAGTATAATTATTTTTTTAATTTAATAAAAAATCATTAACATATAACATATCAAATATTCATAAATAACAACACATTAACTGTTTTCTTCAGTATTTGAAGTCATACAATTAATCACTTTATAATTACAATAATTTAAATAAACACATTTCATTTATAAAGTCTCATTTCTTTGTTATAAGCAGTCATAAAATGTTGTAAAAAGAAGTTTTCCTAATCAAAACACTTTGTACAGGAAAGAAAAAAATAAACTTCATAAAATATCTTAAAAACAAGAACAATCTTTTGGGTAATGTTTCAATATACCACGGAAAGGAATTATTATTTGAATAACAAAATAAATTAAAAATTATATCTTACAATAATCTACTTGTAGTACATTAATTTAAAATACATATTTATCCTTTGAAAGTTCAATAATTTTATTAATTTTGCTAAAAACTAGTAATTACTGACAAATTAATAAAAAAGTAAAATGTACAACATTAAAATTCCCTTTGCATGACAAATAGTCTGAGGAATTCTGTATTAAATACATTTTTCATCTTATTGTTCAAAATATGCTCACTACTATTAAGAGATCTTATCAATATATTTTAGATTATTAAAAAAATACATGATTTATATCTAAATATGATTCAATACTTCTTTTCTCGAAAGTGAAATATTTAAAATTTAAATTCATAGTGAAGAAATATAGTATCACACAATATACAGTGGTGGATTCTTTTTCTTTAATGATTTTTAGAAGACAAGTAGGCACATTTTATTTTATCTATCTTTTTTAGTGATATGTTGTTTTTTATGAGACGTCATCAGGCATGGTCACCTTTTTCTGGAAATTAAGAAAATTTGACATCAAAATAGAGTTTTGACCATTGAAACTGTGGTCCAAACATGTTGCTTATAAAAAAATAAGTAAAAAAGTATAAATTGGCTCAGAGTTAGAGAAAAAAAATCACAATAACTTCATTGATATAAAAAAATATCTTATAAATACATTTTACGAGTAAAAAATAAGTCATCACAGACGTACAATCAATATCTGCAGATGCATATTATTCTTTAACATGTTAATTAATTACAGATTTTCTATTATTTCATCTATCTCATTAATCCAGAGTAGGGATGACATTCTGCACACGGCACACATATTGGACTTCTATTATCAATCATTCATGGTGAAAATGTGTCATTTATTACAAGCAGTTTGTGCTGCGAACATCACCTGGACAGTCGAAATTTGTCGAATTAGATTATAAACATAAGCAGTAATATACAGTAGTAATGATTAAACAATTTACATACATGTATACATAATAATCCAAATTAACTGATTGAATACTCGTTTATTAATGTCATTTAACTGAATTTGAGCTTTTATACGAGTCAAAACTTTAATTTAATACAAAATTATAAATATTGGACTCTTTCTTTAATTATTAGGAAAAAAAATGAGAAAACACAATAGAGAACAAAGCCAACCAATACACAAAAAGTACACAATTAAAAAATAAGTAGCTATTTTACATTTTTTTTTTTAGTGAACATTTTCATTTTATCTTGAATATATTTAAAATACACAATAAATGGTTTTTGTGGTTAAAGTTTACATATTTACTTACGGATTTGACAACTATATTTCGACAATTTATTAAAAAATTGTTGTTTTTTAGCATCTTACTACAATTTACCCAAAAGAAGTAAAAAATACATCAAAATTTTTATGTAAACGTGATTTTCGATCATCAATAAATCTTGCAATATTTTCCATGATTGCATTAAAAATATATTTGTAAACATGAACAAATTGATCTTTTACAATATTTAAAATTGACAAACGGAAGCTGAAATCTAACCTTGGGGCCTGAAAGTTTTTGCACACGGCACCTGGGCTGTCATCCCTCCTCTATCATTAACCTATTTTTTCAAATACAACATTGAATTCCTAATGTATAAACCTCTCAGCTTCAATTACACTCTGGATATCAGATTTATAAAATCCATAATATATTACAAGCATTGAAGTAATAAAAAGAGTTGTAGTTATAATGATAGCCTCTTTTTTAAATGAATTTTTATGAAGTGAACATTTAATGTTTTGTACCTTTCTACCCAGTATACAGGAATTATTGAATAATCTGACATAATTAAGTTTCCTATCTGATATTGTCTCATATATCTTAACTTGTAGAATTTAAGTAAGGTAAAATCTTGGATATAAGTGAAGACTTTATCACAGAGCAGATCTGACAACACCCTCCTGGGCCATAGACACAGCCAATACACCATCCTGTCTCCACATTCTTCCTGTACATAAAGCCTTTCCTGACCCTGTAAGTAAATAATTCATAAACACAAAAAAACAAAGTAAATATATTAAACTAAATAATAAAATATATGTATAATAAATTAAGTGTATTATAAACGATAACAGTCACTTGCCAATTTTTTTGTTTTTTTACCTTGTGGTCACTTAAGAAGTATATGGACAATGATTGAAAGTTCCAGGCCAAATAATCTCCACAGAAATGAGCTGTGCAAATGCGTATATAACTGCTACCAAATATCATTGTCCTTCTACTAGCAGTTCCCATTACTTAATAGCAGACTTCAACACGTAATCTTTGCAAATGCTTCAAACTCAACATGTAAACTTTGCAAATGTTTCAAAGTCAATGGAAAATGACTGAGATGGTAGGGTCAAATAATCTCCATGGAATTTAGATGTGCCAACTACATACCAAATATCATTAAGATACAATTAGAGGTTCCTTTTAAACTGACCTCATCATAAACTTTAACAATTACTGTCGCTTCCTCTTCCTCTGTCACAGGCAAGACAATCATACTTTTGCTAAATGTGAGTAAAAAAATTAATTTCACTTACTTTATAAATGTAAAAGCAAAATAAAATATCTGCCGAAGAGGATGAGATCCTACATGTCTGAATTACAAAAGTGTGAGTTTTGGCCACTTACCACATTGTGGACATTCTATCTCATACAACATCCATTCATCTGCCCTGAAAGGATTATGGAACCACATACTATGATCTAATGATGCCATGAAACCTACTTTGGTCCCTGGAACAGCAGGTTGTAATGCTGCACCCAACAATAACATGTCACACATAAATCCTGCTATACACTGCTGTAACTTGATGTCTGGTCCTGAAAATAGTCAAAAATCTCAAGAAAATCCTGCTTCAGATTGATGATGTATGTCTTTAAAGTTTGAAAACAAAACTACGGGTAAGTAACAATATCTCAAGAAAATCCAGGTATAAACTGAAATTATTTGAGATGTGCATAACATCTCAAGAAAACTTGTGCAGCAGGATTTTTGTTTGTTTTTTTTTCATAAAAGTTTTTCAGGTCCAAATTTGATCATGAAAAGTCTGAAAATGTTTAAGTGAAAGCTTATATAAACTAGAGGTACAGCATGCAAAGCTTGTAAAATGATACTCCCTCCCCACGTCCACATTATATCTAGATGATATAAATTCTATGTGACTGTCATGCAGGTGAGAGGTTTAGTTAGCTATAAGGCCAGGTTTAATCCACCATTTACTGCATGGGGAAATGCCTGTGCCACGTCGGGAGTGTGACAGTTGTTTTCCATTCGTTAGATGTGTTTGAACTTTTGGTTTTGCTGTTTGATAGGGGACTTTCCGTTTTGAATTTTCCTAGTTCAGTAATTTTGTTATTTTACTTTTTCTTAGCTCATATAAGAAAATTTATTCATTTAAAAAAAATTACTCATGAAAACTTTTATAAGATAAAATTCTGTTGAAACTATGCTCATGGTAAATATTGGTCTCACAACAAATTTCCCACTAGCTTTTGGGTCAAAATAAAGTTATGTTTGTTGTAACTAATTTTTTAAGTTTTAGCTTAGAAATGGGGTTCATTTTAAAGAAAATTTTGTTAGTCAAATGTACGTAAACTCTCTGAATTTTTTTTTCATACAAACTTGAACAGGTATGTGTAAACTGTAAATTTTGGTCTCCTAGTGAGCGGATACCTTTATTAGTATATAGTAAGTACGCTAGACTTACTGGACTGGTCTGGTCTAAACGGTCCAGTGTTACTCCAACTAACAAAATGGCTCAATACCCAAGACATAAATATCCTTTTGGTCCTTTCTATCATAGAAGAATTGGGCAATTTACCAACAAAAATGATGTATTATTTGGATTTCCCTGCTTCATAATGAAATATTTGAACTTACCAATATGGCCCAAGAGATTATACCTATTATTCTTTATTTGTCATATCACAGTAGACATAATGCATTGTCTCCTGGGTAACTTACCAATGTTGCCCCACAGGTATCACCTTGGTTACCCAGCGTCTTATTGTAGTTGACCACCAGGGTGTAAAAGTCCATCTATTGATATGGCTAACAAGATACATGTACTATATTGGTTCTCCAAGTTTCACGAGTACACACTAATTTGGCCTTTTATATGCACATATCATTGAATATGGTAATGATAATACAATTACATGTTCAACTTAATTTCCCCTGGTTCACAATACAGAATGGATGAGGGTCAAGTTGTCTACTTACCAATATGACCACTAGCTTTCACCCAGATGTACCGTCTGGGTTCTCCCTGGGTCAAACCATGGTAAAGATGAGGATCCACTGCTCGTCTCTCTATGTGCATTTGTTTTTCTAATATTCTCTTTATAAAGTCTCTATGTTCTTTTGTTGTCTCCTCATTTCTATATATAATATCTTATAAGTTTATATTTGACCAAAACCTTTCACAATTAATCATACATGAGTTTGAAACAAAAAACAAATACAACGAAATCTGTGTAATCATAATCCTTTTGGACTATATTGTTAAAGATATAGTATGTTGACATCTAGATGTCTTAAAGTTTCTTTTGTAGTTGCCCTAGTTGGGTTGCTGCCTCATTGACGTTTACCCCATATCTCCTTTTATTGACATGAAATTTTGTCAGGGCTGGACAAGCTAAAATAAGTGCAGTGAGAATACAAAAACCATTATTGAAGAATAGTGTAAAAAAAATCTAAGTTTAAAATCCTATACCTTGGACAACTTTTTTTCTCAGATAGAAAAGTCCACTAATATGTAATCTAAACATTGTTGCTCTGCACAAAATTAAATGAAAGGGGACTCTGAATCAGATCTTTAACAAATACCTAGAGCATACAAAGCTTACATGTTTTAATGTTACTTACTCTAACTGGGATTGCAGGAAATCATAGCTTTCTATTAATTCTTCAGGACCTGGGACTACAGGCATAACATACTGGTGTTTTAATGGATCAGACTCCTCCAACTTAAATGAAGCCTGCATGGTAAATATTGGTACACTATCTTGTGTAGCTTTGATTGCCCTAGAACTATATGTAGATCCATCTCTAGTTCTATCTACATGGTATAGAATATTTTTCTTGGCATTTCCTGGTAGAAAAAATATTGTTTTGAACAATATGTAAAAGGTGCCAGATTTATATAATACTCAAAAACATGACAAAAAGTGATTCCTACATGTCTGTATACTAATCTGGCAATGATAAGTTTCTTATTGAAGCATCCTATCAATTACAATCTTACCTGTATAGAAAGGTCACTCTCAGGACCAGAGGCAACTGACCTTAAAGCAGCTGTGACCTTTGATTTGAGGTTCAAATGCATAGGTATTATTTAAATGAGAATAGAAGAAGGTGACCTGCCAAGACAGGTTTTCGCTTAAAAAAGAGACTTTTATAGCAGGTTTGACTGTATAAAACATAATTATTTCTTACCGATTTTGAAGTTGAATTGTAATATGGATAAAATGTATATGAATAAAAGAAGATGTAGAGTGAAATACACCAATGAGACAGCTACCTAACAACACAAAAACGAAAGATATCTGAAGGCCAAAAAACAATAGACAGGTGTCTGTACAATGTTGTAAATCTCCTTGAGAAGTGAATACATTTAACAGAAACTTTTAAAGATATGCCATCATCACCATATTCTTCAAAATGACAACAACAACAAAACACTATTAGATACTGTCAATTCATTTATTTTCGTGGATTGAAGAGCAATTGTTTTTTGTGGATATTTGATTTTATGGTTTCGCCAAAGTCTGCATATATATGTAAATAGAAAATTTGTAATTTGTTCAACATTTACCTTTTCCCACAAAATCTACCGGTACTTGAAATTGGTATTTAATGAATAACGATATGTCCACAATTACTCAAAGATCAAAATGATTAAGAATCTGAATTTTATTGACAATAGTACGTAACGGTAAAATGGACAAATGCCTTTGTCTGAGAAGTACACTTACCTCCAATTAAAAAATAACAATGTAAGCTGTGAACATGCTGTTCTTCCTTGACAGTACGACAAGCTGCTATCAGTGCCTGACCAATTACTTGACCTCCATAAACAAATCTTCCAGCAACGGGGTGCCAAAGATTCACTGATGGGGCTCTGTTAATGATAACCATAAATTGCAGGGATAGAAATAGATTCTATGACAATAAGAGTACAAATCTACTGTAGATTTATAATTAGTCATGGGGTTTCTAACTTAATTGTGAATTTCATGGGTACAAGTCATCCATGAAATCAAGTATTCAACAAGACCTGGAAGATAAATATGCAGGAATTATAAATAAATAACATATACTATAAAATAGAAAATGTTCATGTCAGTGGGGTTTATCTTTGCTCATTTTGCGATAAAATCGTTTGATTGATTTTGAAAAAGCTTTTGAGTTCTTGATTTTTTCAACTTTGGAAATTCCATAAAACACTGGGTTAAAACTTTTTTTACAAATACCAAATCAGCAGTAACACAGAATAATTTTCTTTAAGACTTTTTTACAATTGAGAGAGGTTGCAGGCAAGGGGATCCTTTATCCCCTTACATCTTTTTGTTATGTGCTGAAATTTTAGGAATACTACTTAGAAAAAACGAAAATATTAAAGGTATTACTATTGAAGACTCAGAATTTTTGATATCGCAATATGCTGATGACACCACACTTATTTTAGATGATTCACCAGAATCCTTAGATGCATCTCTTTGTGTTTTAGAATTATATGCTGAATGGTCTGGTCTCAAGATGAATTTAGAAAAAACAAAGGTAGTTTGGATTGGGAAAAAGAAATATAGCCAAGATACTATGTGTGTAAAGTGGGGATTGGAGTGGGGTTCCAACAGATTTACGCTCCTGAGTAATAAAAATTTCGGTTGACATACAAGAAATGGAAACACTAAATTACGAACCCAAACTTAAAGATATAGAAAGAACAATGAAAAGTTGGTCAAACAAATATTTATCCCCAATTGGAAAAATTACTATAATTAAAAGTCTTATAATTTCAAAACTGAATCACTTATTTTTTATCTTTACCAAATCTTAACAATGGATAACTTATAGCTGCGGAACCATAGCTCTTATGTCCTTATGTTATTTTTTGACTATTTGCGGACCAATCTATGGTCCGCAAATAGTCAAAAAATAACATAAGGACCTAAGAGCTACGGTTCCGCAGCTAGATTACTTAATCAGTTTATTAAAAATTTATTATATTTTATTTGGGATGGTAAACAAGACAAAATTAAAAGAGAAACAATTGCTCAAATATATGAATTGGGTGGACTTAACATGTTAAATCTAAAACAATATATAAAAGGATTAAAACTAACTTGGATAAGAAGAATAATTAAACGGACTAATAATTATTGTAAGTTACTAACTTGTTCTTAAAAAATTAAATTAAATGAATTGCCGTATGTAGGTCCAAGTACACAAGTCAGAAATCCATTTTGGCAGGAGGTTTTTAAATGCTTGGACTGAACTCCAAACTAAAGTGGCTGTTAAGAACGAATATGATTTTAGCGCATCTAATCTTTGGAATAATAAACAAACTGGTAATGAAATCCCTCTGTATAAAAAATGGACTGAAAAGGGAGTCTGGCTAATAAATGATTTAATTGATAATGATGGGCATTTAATGAACTGGCAGGAATTTTAAAAAACATATAATATTGATACCAACTTTCTTATATTTCAAGGAGTAATCTCAGCAGTTAATTCCTATATGAAAAGTCTTAATAATAAATGTAATCAGCTTTTAAAGCTTTATGAGCCAATTATACCAACTACTATTGCTATATTTTTGAAATCTACAAAAGGATCAAAAGACATGTACAATGTTTTAAACGAAAAAATAACAAACATCACATCACAGGAAAAGTGGTCCTTAATCCTAAATAGACATAATATTATTTGGAATAAAGTATATAGACTGCCTTTTTACATTACTAAAAATTCAAAATTACAGAGGCTCCAATACAGGATTAATCATAGAATTTTGGGAACAAATAAATTACTCTACAAAATTAAAGTCTCACAAAACAATACATGCACTTTCTGTACAAACTCTATAGAAACTATAGAACACATATTCTGGACATGTCCAAAAGTATTTGATGTTTGGGAAGAACTTAATAAATGGATATATTCAAAAGTCCAAATTGAACTACCACTTAATTTAGATAAAGTCTTATTTGGGATATTAAAAAAAACAGAAAAAAAATACATAAGAAACCTCATAATATTATTAACTATATATTATATATACAAAACAAAAATGTAATGTGGACAAGTAAATATTGTAGCCTTAAAAAATTATCTTAAAGAAAATTTGTTTATTGAAAAAATAATATTTTATAAAAATAAACCATTGCAAAGAGCGTACTCCTGCTGGAACCCCTGGCTCCAACTAATAGAATGACTATACAAGTAAACTTTTACGTAATAAAAATATCTATCCTGATAATCCAATCCATGTTGCCCAGGTTAGTTTTTCTTTTTTTACCATTATTATTATTTGTTTGTTAAACGATTCAAAATATCAACTATATGTACTTGTCTCGATTTTGCTGATGTACTATGGACTTACTTACTATGATGATTTATATATGTAGTTTTTGCCAATAAACACATTACAAAAAATCAAAGCACTGTAAGCGCTATAGGCAGTTAACCAAAAACCCAATCAAACGTAATGATGAAAACTGTGGCAGTGTTGCTTGAATTGTTTATCTCTAGTATCAGATTTGTTTGGTATATTTGCTGCACTGTCCTACACACTTTTCTATAATAATATACTTTTGTTTTCAAACGTTTATCATTTATCTTTAAATTACTTTAAAATATGTATCCTTTTGAAGATTCAATTCTGAGAAGATGTATGTACACTGTCCCAGGTTAAGGGATGGTTTGGCACCAGTTGACATGTTTAACCCTGCCATATTATGTGTGTGCCTGTCCCTAGTAGTTCAGTGGTTGTCATTTGTTGCTGTATATCATATTTGTTTTTCATTATTGATTCGACATAAATCAGGCTGCTGGTTTTCTTGTTGGAATTATTTACATTTATCATCTTGGGGACTTTTATAGTTTACTATGTGGTATGGGTTTTGCTCATTGTTGCAGGCCGTACGGTGACATTTAGACGATAACTTCTGTCAACTTCTCAATACACAATTGAATGAATTTAACTTATCCAGGAACAATGTCATTAATATTACAGTGTTCCACAGTGGTGTAGTTTTATTCCAATATGTACTAATTAGGCTTTTCATATGCCACATTAGCATTTTTAGTTGGATCAGCAGGTGTCACTGATGTATGTTTATTCAATATATTGATTATTAAGGCAAATTAATTAATATTTTATCAAGGTTTTCAAAAGCAGTGCATATATCAATGTATATTTTTCATGGTGAGTCTGCAGTGGTACAAGTTCACAATGATACGATTTTACAGTTGTTCTAGTTGGTAAGTTAACGTAGGTACAAGTTGAAGTTTGGGTACAAGTTGACGTAGTACGAGTTTGTAATAGTATGAGTGGACTTGCTTCCCTGGAAAGAACACGGAGTTTGGGTTCTACAGTTCAAAAGTTATGAAACACAAATCGGACAAAGGTTTACTACTACAGGGATTGATCTAAGGTGAGGTCTGATTGACCTGCCCATAGTAAATGACCCCCACCCCACCCCAAGTCCATGATGTCACTCTATACCAAGTTTGGAATAAAATGACAGGTGACTATAAAACAGTAGGTCAAACATTCTTGGGCTTTACACTGCTTGAAAGATTTATATGTTTTCTTTAAAATGAGCCATAAATGAAAATTTGTATAGGCCCAGAAATAATTCAAAAAATAATTAGGATAAATTCAACCTAGACTTATTTTTTGCATCAATTAAATTTTATAATAAACAAGAAATAATTGTAAAAGGATACTGTTACGAAGTCTCCCAAACAAGCTCCCATAATTCGTCATTCCCATGGTCGCATGACATTGGGCAATGTCCAGTACAAATTGGTTTGGCCTAGTAAAGTGATATGCATAAGTGACGCCTAGGAGATTGACCCTGTATGGCATTCAAATCTTCTTGAAATCATGAACAGAAATATATATGGTTAAGGGGTGGGAATCTCAACCGTTTACAAGTTCTCAAAAAGGGGGGATCCCCAGGGGACTCATCCTTTATTTCATTTGATTTGTTTATAGTCCCATACAAGAATATAGATCGTTTCGGGGTGGGGATCTTTACCGTTTACAAGTTTTCAAAAAGAAGGGGGGGGTGGTGGTGACCCCTATGGACTCCCGCTATTTTATTGTCCCATACAAGAATATATATATAGTGAAGGGGTGGGGATCTTGACCGTTTACAAGTTCTTAAACATGAGGGGGTGGGGGTGACCCCCAGGGCCTCCCCTATATTTCATTTGATTTTTTATATTATCCCATACATGAATATATATGGTTTTGGGGTGGGGTCTCGATCGTTTACAAGTTCTCAAACAGAAGGGGGTGGGGGTGGCCCCCGTGGACTCCCTCTATATTTCATTTGATTTGTTTTATTGTCCCATACAAGAATTTATATGGTGAAGGGGTGGGATCTTGACCGTTTACAAGTTCTTAAACAGGAGGGGTGGGGTGACCCCCATGGACTCCCCCTATATTTCATTTGATTTGTTTTATTGTCTCATACAAGAATATATTTGATTTAGGGGTGGGGACCGCGACCGTTTACAAGATAAAAACACATTCTCAAATTGAAGGGGGTGGGTGACCCCCCGGTACTCACCCTATATTTTATTTGATTTGTTTTATTGTCTTGTTATCATTACTGAAGACCGCGTGTGTCTATCACTTACTGTTTTCAAGTTATAGTCATTTGAAAAAAAAAATAAAATAAAAAAAAATTAATAGGGTTCTATAGTAAGCCCTCCCTTCTTTAGGCCCCTCGAAATACCCCTAAATAGACCTCAACAAACGAAAGATTGATGGCTCCCCTAGACATGTTAGTTTAACATTTTATGAAACCTTTATACTCTGTCTGAGTTGTCTCATTGACGGTGCGAGTTGTCTTCTTAGAAGGTCCGAGTGGACTCGGTCCGACTTGTCTCTGGGTCGAGTTGTCCTACATTCAATAAAATATTAAAATATATCGACCAATCAACGTCGATTTCCAGTTCTATTTCATTCATAAAATAACAACAACTTTATTTGGCAAGGTCAGTGAAACACAGAATAATATAATTAAAGAAAGGAATTTACATGTGCATACATTAAATTGAAATCAATTAAATAATCACAATCTTCTTAAACAAAAAGAATATCATGATTAACAATACTTACTTTTAATCGGGCTTTATATCATCATAATCAATGTCTAACTTACGTTTCGTGTAACTTGTTAGTAAAATTACCGCCAACTTAGACTACTATGTACACGTGATATAGTTCTCAGCCGCCAAACAATATTGCTGAGCCTTTTGCCATTTAAGAAATGTAAACGACATGTAATTAGAGATTTTTGGCAATGAAATATTTGCCAAAAGCACAGGGGATAATAAAGTACATACGGATTTCTATTGAGCACTATTTCCTATGTGCAACTTCAAATATTTTACGTTGTTCGACGATCATTTAAGAATATTCTGGTCATATTTTTGAATTCCAGAATTAAAAGTATGAAAAAGTGTCCAATAAAAAAATGGCAATTAGTTATAAATAACATATTAGCTTGCTAGTTAATAACAATGGCACTTTTTTCAGCATTCGTTGGGAAGAACACAAATCTAGGGTGCTAGCATAAGGCATGTAAGGCAGCTTAACTGCCTAAAAAACTTCTCCACAGGTAATGATTTGATGAATTGTATTGACGAACATGGACAATAGAGGGACAATAAATACCTGACAATAATCGGAAATTTAGACTGTGTCACTGAGTGGACCATATATTAAGTGAAACTCAACTGTTTGTTAATTTTATCATCTTCTGCAATGATGAAAAAAAGCAGCACAGCAAATTCTAGTTAAGTTTTTAATTTTCTAAAACATTAAATGCATTTGAACTTTATTTACCTACAGCATGCTATGCCTTAAAACATTTTCAGATGCACAGGTTTGTCTGTATTTAGCTTAAATTTTGAGGTGAAAATGCAGCCATTTTAGCCAAAGGGTCCATATGATCCTTAAAATTCATCTTAAGTTATACTGAAATACAAATATTTTTACCCTTTTTATATGAAAAGATCTACAGAAACTCAAGAAATAAGTATATCTAAGCTACCATCGAGAAACTTTTTTCAGCAACAGCTCACAATATAATATGAGGAAACCAAGAAGTACCAAGAGATGAGATGTGTCAAGTTGAACCTTAGGATCAGCACTTAATGTAGACAGGGGTAAAGAGTTGGATACGATATATGTAGAAAATGACACCGAAAATACACAAAAAATTCTTCCTGTTACACTTGACTCAGTCTCATACAGAGAATTTTTTTCTATATTTATATTGCAACTATACATGTGAGAAATGTCATAACTCTGTGCTTTTACAAATATATAAATAGATATTTTCCGACATGTAAAACCGCTACTAAAATAATATATCTGCAACCTGGGACATATCAATGTATATCTATCATTCTATGTTCGATTTGTAACACAAAAAGGGGGGGACTTGTGTCACTCTGTTGTTTCATGATTTAATTTTTAAATAACATGGCTCTTCACTTCTATAAAAAATATCTTATATTTACAACATTAAGAAACTATTTTCTACCTGAAAATATTAGTGTCAATAGCTTCCAATGTCAAATACGATCTTAAGAGTTCACTTTCTAGATCGTCAGTTACACTTGCTGCCATTGCCATTGTTCATGGGAGTTAACTCTAATAATATTTGGCGCGAAATATAAAATTGCATAATTTGTTGTCCTTGATATTTAGGATGATGATGGATAGGCTTGACGTCCAGCGGCAAATTAAGTGCATATTTAGGAGGAGAACATGTTAATGTAAAATGAATATTAACCATGCTTTGTACTAGACCGACACGCTGAGCCGAATTTTTGACTTGCTAGTTCACAAAGTAACAGTCGGCAGGAAGACCACAGGGAGGACTCAGTTAGCAGATTAAAAAAAATAATCAATGTTTTTTAATTTTTTTTTTTTGTATTTCCTGTCTATTTGTATTACTTTTTTCACGTATTTGACGATGACATCAATATTTCTTTGTTTTCTAGCAATGTGCAGTTTACTATCCAAGGATTTTTCAGTATACGGATCGATATAGATAGTAAACTGCACATTGCTAGAAAACAAAGAAATATTGATGCCATCGTCAAATACGTTAATAAAGTAATACAAATAGACAGGAAATACTATAAAATAATTAAAAAAACATTGATTATTTTTTTAATCTGCTAACCGAGTCCCTGTGAGGAAGACATGTCACCTTACATAGAGACATATGCATGTCTCTGCCTTACCTGAACATTTTATTCTGACACCGAGCAGACCAGTCTTTGATCATGCTCCTTATTGCCGCGTGCTTAGTGGAGAATCAGCAAGTTGTTACTTGTTTTAAAGTCTTTGGTTTGACCTGGAACTATTATACTAACAATAGTCCCAGTTTTGACCCCACGACCTCCCGCACTCTGATGCAAACACGCTAGCACGAGACCACCGAGGCGGATAATCGATGTTTAATTGATCGATTGAAGTTTAACAGCACTTTTTTTTTCGGCGGAGACGGGAACCCGGTGAAACCATATCGGCACCAACCTTAGATAGGAAAACTGACAATCCTAGTCAATTAAGTTTAGAATCGAGCGCACCTGCCACGTGCGAGATTCGAACTCACAACCTCAGTGATGACAGGCTAGATACAGTAATTCGACTAATTAGACCACTTGGCCATCGAGCCCATAGTTTAGTCTCTGACATAAACTTGAAGTATTTAATGACCTCTGAATAAAAATGTAATTTTGGCACAAAAAACTTGTGACGGGTTCCGCGGAACCCTGCGTGTCGACCGCCTGCGCGCGATTGCTTCGGTCACGAAAAAGTGTAAAGTTGACTGTGAAAAGTAAGTCCGTTTATCATTAAGACTATAGAAATAAAGGGGGGAAATCAATCTTTTTCGTTTGATTCTATTTCTTGATCTTGAAGATTAGCTTCTGACCAAGATTCATAATAATCCAGGAAGGTATGAAGGTTTATAAAAGGCATGTCCAAAAAAACTAAATCACTGCAAAAAGCTAAGTCCATGGTATCTTTCAGTGAAATACTTAAAAAAGAAAAAAAAATGTATAATTTTTATTCAATCATTATCACTTGATCATAAAAAGCTTCTTCCAAAGTCTTATTGTTGTCTGCTCTTTGGTCGGGTTGTTGTCTCTTTGACATATTCCCCATTTCCATTCTCAATTTTATTATAAAATTTTGTGAAGGTTTGAACAGAGACATATATATATATATATATACAATGTCTGAATATGTGACGTCTAATGTCTAACAAAGTTGTTATAATAACACCAGGCCGTATCAAAGACAAGTGATACATTGTATGCATGTATATGACTGTATCAACATGTTAACTGCAAAAACATATGTCCTTTTATAAGTAAAGTACGGAAAAATGAAAAAAAAGGTTTTCATAATTTTGCTCTGGAATCAAAAGCAACTGTCCAATTTACGTAAAATTGCGTGAAGCTTTGACAAAGTAATTGATGATTGATATACTTAAACACTAGAGTGTATCTTAATGTTAATACCAAACAAAAAACTAAGTGCACTTAACCGTAAAATACGGAAAACTGGAAGCAATAATATTTTCCAAATTATGCTTTGGATACTGTCTTTCGGTCGTAATGAAGCTTCTGTCCAAATTTCATAAGATTCCATGACTGTTTGATCAAATTATTGATGTCTGAAAGAACTATTAACAACAGGCTAAACCTAAATGAAGACGTGGCCGACGACGACGACGGCACCACCAACGACGGAATATAGGATCGTGATCTGTATATATATATATATATATATACAGCGATGACTCGCTTTCGCGGCATAAAAATGTCACAGGCTCGACAAAAATACTTTACCATCATAAATGATAGTCTACTTGCCCGAGGGGAAAAAGACACAAAACAAAAGAACCTAACCTCCACAACCTCAAACCTAAAAGTGTGTGACACATACATGCCCTTGTATAATTACCTATTTCATTTTCCGGTTCAAGTGTGCATAGCGAACATGCAGCACCGCAATAGAAATAAATAAAAAATAAACATGCATAGTAACAGATAAAAATGCATCTATGTATAGTCAATCCGAAAAAAAAATCCTGCCCTCTCCACAGAATATCAAATGATCGTCCCCTAATTGAGTTTTGTATTGTTGCAAACAGTTGTATTCAGCTAAGCTGTATAGGGAGATATTTTTATCTGTTCGTAGAGAAAATTAATTGAATCTATGTATTTTTCCCTTGGGTCAACCACTATTTCATATGAGTTGCCTTGAGTTACCACCTAACCAAACTACGCGTCTTCTAGATCGAGTAATAAAGCCTTCAATATTCTGGCATAGGGGGCAATGCCATTTTGGTACCAAGTCACTCCTTCAGATTTTTCTATGAAAGAAAATACAAAGTAAAATTGAGAATGGAAATGGGGAATGTGTCAAAGAGACAACAACCCGACCATAGAACAGACAACAGCAGAAGGTCACCAACAGGTCTTCAATGCAGCGAGAAATTCCCGCACCCGGAGGCGTCAAAAAGGCATTGACTCATCCCATGCATAATTTTCTGGTAATTGATTATGCACATTATCTGGAATTGGTCAATATGTGCTTGTAAACACAGTCACCCTATTGTCATAAGTAAAGTTGCTGATAATACGGAAGTTGGCGAGCATGATATTTTCCCCCTGGTTCCTGGAAGCCAGGAGGAAATTTTTGTTAATCAAATGACACATTCCTTCTAGTGCTATTGTTGGTATACCCCCTTTGAATGGTGGATCCTCTATTAAAGGAGAAACCGACTCCTCTTTGTTGGGCACTCGGGAGGAAACTCAGACGTTTACGCTATTAGATGGTGAACTCTCTGAGGTTTTCATGTCCTCTCCTCCTCGTGAACTTCTAACATTAAGTCTTGCTGATGTTTGGTAAAGGTTAAATTCAAAGGGCATACATTCTTTCCAAATCCAAACACACTAAGACAGCCCTTGGTTTTGTTAATAATTCCATTTTGGAAATTCATTTCAGCAAGGGAACAGGGGAACAAGTACATTGGTATTGGGTCCAACACTTTCTCATCAAAGATTAGAGCCATGGATATTATTCTTCACGAGTCTCTAGTGAATGGGTATCCGTCTCGTGATAAAATAAACTAAAATTTTTACTTATTAGAAGAAGGTTTCTTTCTACAGGTGGACCAACGCCTTGAGATTGAATAACATTCTTATAGGTACCATGGCCAACTATACCGAATCATAGTGACGGATGATATTGGATAAAACATCGCGTTCGGGGCCTTTCGAAGATTCTTTTGTTTTCTCCATTAACAAAGGACAAATTATCTAATCTTCATTGAGAAAACTTTAAAAAAAAAAAAAGTTAGTTAAACACCACCAACTCAAACTGTAAAGGTTAATTTATAAGTGTCTGATGTAAGGAAAGTCAATACTAGTACTTCTCAGTCCCATGTATGTACTCCACCTGCCATCAGGGTTACAATCAACTTCGTATCAACGCAAGAGATAGGCTAGCTGGTGGTACTAGAAATCCATCCTCTTCCAAATGTAAAATAGCCGATGTGGTTAAGGGGAAGAAGTTAAGTAAATAGTGTTTTAATATTTTTCTACCGGGAAGAAATTTTAGTCAACTCCATTTCCTCAAATTCCTGTGGTACGTCAGACAACTGGTTTCGTTTAGTTCTGCGATATTTTTAGTACTGGGGGAGGGGGCCTAGAACTTCAGTTTCACGATAAGCCTACTACTGCAGTGGTCAGGGACAGTCTATACTAACTAAATAGAAAGTCCCTGTACTGGTATGTCTTAAGTTCCTCTGAATCTGTCAGTGGCGAGGGATCCAGATAGTAAGAAGTGCATTGCTTCAAGAAGGGGTTCACATACTTCTACAGAAATGTGCTATACAAGAAGTGAATCTTCCTCTGACTCTAGCTGTCTATTTCCTTTTTTTCTTTTTTCCATGAGACCTGTAATTAACTTTTCTCCTGAAGCGGTATCTGATAGTGGCAAATATTAAGATTGAGACTAACAAATCTATCAAGGGTTCGATTCATATACACAATAATGAAAACAACACGTTATAAATCTAATGCGTATGTGGTCACTGGACAATTTCGCTCGATCTGGCAAATGCTTATTTTCACATCTATATTTCACCCAAATTCTGAAAGTTAATTAAGTTTGTATGGGAAGACCAGGTGTTTGCTTTCGAGGCAACACTTTTTGGACTCTCTACATCCTCTCTGTTTTTTACCAGATATTTCCAGGTATTTCGAAAATTCCCTTTTGACGAACATGTCCTTCATCTTATCGGGGGTCTCACTCGATTCATGATATATAGATTTATTCATCCGACTGGGATTCCTCCTTTCATGGAAAAAGTCAGCTGGTTCCAAGCCAAGATTTAATTTTTAGATGATCATTATCGAACAGATGAGAAAATTTTAACCCTATTCCCTCAAGTGAACAAGTTTTTTTCAAGGTATCAGCAATAACTCAGTTCTTACAACAGCTTTACTGGTTTCGGTGAAGATAAAAGGCTATTGATGTTTTCAAGATTCCCTGCTTTTTTTTTGAAGATAAGGGTCATTGACCTAGCTTCTACTCTCAAATGTTACAGACTAGCTACTGGTATATCATTTATCCGCCAAAATAAACACCCCACGAAAATAACCAGCTTTACATTATATATAGAACTATCATTTTCGGGAGGTCCATATTTTAGTGAAAATTATTTTTTGCCTTTGTTGGTCAATCACATTTGTATTGAAAAACCTAGACAAAGACGCCTTGGACTTCCTTGACAGCTTGGTGTAGTTCTAAGCTCTACTGTGTTCTACTTTTGAAAATTCGAACTCCATATACAAATGTAATTTAAAACATGTATTTTTTTCTCTTGGTTTTGACTACAGGGCTCAGAATGAGGGAAATGAATCACTCTCTATTTTCTGTACCTTGTATGCAGTTTTTTTCAGCAGAAAAATTTTCAGTTTCACTTCTGATTGTTCCATCTTTCTTTGCTAAGAGTAGTTCCGGTAACTCTAAACCGTGTCCTGTAAGAGTATTGGACTTGTATTTTTTCGAGTCCTCAGTTTTCAAGAAACAATGTTTGAATAGGCTTTTTGTTCCTTTAGAAAGAAAAGTCTGCAAACACCATCTCTACTTGAATTTGTAAAAAAAAGCGATTTAAAACTCTTTAGGTTAGAGCAATAACTTTTTTCTTGGAACATTTTAAATTAAGCTTCCATTTCTCAGATTAATCAGCTGGTTAATGGAGGTCCATAACTACATTTTATTCGTTACCTCCGTGTAATGCCTATCCATTCAGACATATGTTCTCTGTCTCTTTCTGGTTCATGTCGGCTGCAAGTGGAATATTATTTAAAGGAAAAGGTACGATTTTGGGTCAAATTGGCACTATAATCAAATTTATTTCAACTATTTCAGATTTTCAGCTTCAGAATTCAATGTTGAATGTATGCACTTAAATAAACCAATACTCTTTTTGGTTAAAAATATACTCTTTTCATGAACTATACAACCATGAAATGACTGTTAATTCTGTAAAAGGGCAAAATAATGCAAATATATTTGCCTTGAAATAATATAAAGCACAACCATCAGTAAAAAAAGATATTTAACCAGAAAGAGTATTTTGTGTTTGTCTATTCACTAGCAAAGAAATCTTTTGGGTGATGCTTGTGCTCCCTATGTAAGTTTAGCCAAAATGTTCTTATAACTAGTTTATTTTTGCTAAAAATCTGACACTATGAATTCACTTTAAAGGCTGCACTAATATTCAATTTCTTGAAAAGCCTTTCTTTTAATGCTTTAAAACATTAATAATGACATCAGGCAATGCTTTATTTTTGGTGAATTTACAGGGCCAACTAAGTTCCATAATGTACCATGTGCTTTATTCGTATGATTTGAGAGTGAGCAAACTCAAAAAATTTGAAAGGAAAGCAGTGATTTTTTTCTTCAGACCTTGAAGCTGACAATATATAATTAAGTATCAATCAATCAACATATGATTTCAATTTAATTTTGTAATGAAATAGATAAAGGGTTACAAAAGTCGTAACAGTGTAATGAAAGAGAGGCAAAAAGATACCAAAGGGACATTCAAACTCATAAGTCCATTGTTTTCAATTTGATATCATGTTTTGATCCTTGATCTTAAGACAACAGAATTGTCTCGGCTAAAAGTTTAGATATTGTGTCCCTGTCATGTTATTTTTTGTAAGAATCTAGTTTCATATGGCTGGTGATGCTTTCATAGCAGGTTTATGTAAATACAATCGAAGTTTCATCAAAATGCAATAAATAGAGGAAACCCTGGACAACACAAAACTACTGAAAACAATTACTATGTATCAGCTCTGCTACACAAACAACATGCTTAAAATGTTAAACAATGACCTCCAAAAGTAATAAACTGTACACACAGAGATATGTCTCGCTTTTTGGTAATTTTGATAGTAAAATGCAAATGTTGAAATTAAAATGGCAATATTTGAACATGTAACTTATGTAAAACATTCAAATTCATGAACTATGATTGAAGGTGCATGCAAAATAACCTTGATGCAAATAACAAATGCAAATGCTTATAAAACTGTATAGCAACTATCATTAACTAATCATAAGTAATTCCCTTTAAAGTAACCAACCTAAACACAAACTTCAACTTATAAAATATGCAAAAGTTGTAAAGCCAATGAACCAAGATGATAGGGTAGGGCCATGTAATCTCCATGGAAATGAGATTTGAAACTTCTAATCTTATACAACTGTATCCCAACTATCATTGACTATCATATCATAGTGTAAACTATGCAAATTATTCAGTCAATAGATAATGACTGAGGGGGAGGAGCCAAATTATCCTAAAGAAAATGAGATGTGCCAAAGCACCTACCAATAATGGTTCCCCTTAAACTGACCTAATCACAAACTAATACATGTCAGCTAAGGAAAATTTTCAAAGTAGATAGACCTTGACTGAAGGGAGTGGCCAATAAATCTCTATCGAAATGAGATGTGCCAATGATAATAAAAACTGCATACCAAATATCATGGACCTACCACTAGTGGTTCCCAATAAACTGACCTTTTTTGTTAATATGTCTTTTGATTGAGTTAAGCCATTTCAATTGATATTTTATAGTGTGTCTTTCCATGTTGTGATGTTATACTATTGTTTCAGGTAGGGTGAATGTTGGTGCCTATTTAAACATTTAAACCCCGCTGCATTTGTTTGCACCTGTCCAAAGTCAGAAACCTGATGTTCAGTGGTTGTAGTTTGTTGATGTGATTCATAAGTGTTCCTCGTTTCTTGTTTTTTATATAGATTAGACCGTTGGTTTTCCTGTTTGAATGGTTTTACACGTTATTTTTGGGACCCTTTATATCTTGCTGTTTGGTGTGAGCCAAGGCTCCGTGTTGAAGGCCATACTTTGACCTATAATGGTTTACTTTTACAATTTGTAACTTGGATGGATAGTTGTCTCATTGGCACTCATACCTCATCTTCTTATATCTATCTACTAATCACAAAGTAATACATTGGTGATGAAGCTGCAGATGCACCGCCAGAAACATCACCCCCTAAATCTTGCTTTTTCTTCGAAGCAAGACAAAAATGGGTCAAAGTCTCAAATGGTCAGGTTGCAATTTACCTGGTAAGTGACTAAATTTTGGTGAAAAATGACCAAGTTCCAAAGTCTGTGGAAAATGAGAAAAAATTCCTCAAAAAGTTCCACAAAAGCAGGAGCACAACTTCAACAAATCTGCAATCTTCCTGTGAAGTTTCATGGATCTGGGTTGGAAACTCTAGGAGGAGTCGATTTCACAAATTCAGTTATGGATATGGATAATAAAAAAAAAAAATGGAGATTATCTGAATAGGCTAAATTTAGCACAATAGTAATGACAAAATTAACAAGACAGTAAAATAGAGTAACCTTTCATATATTTAATATAGAAAAATAATATGTAAATAGTACATAAACAACTTTGTTAAACTGTTTCCATTAGAAAATAATATTTATTAACATAAAATATCAGCACATCAGTGGTAAAAGTCATAACAGAGTGATACTGCTAATATTCTTAATCAAAATTCAATCTGATACTATAAATACTTTCAAAACAAAGTTCTGTGCAATATCTGTATATGTAACAAAGATGAAACTGACTGACAGTGATATTACCCATGACATTTCCATGTGTGACTTTGAGCCATGACAAAAAGACTGACAGTGATGTTACCGACTACATTTCCATGTGTGACTTTGAGCCATGACAAAAAGACTGACAGTGATGTTACCCACTATATTTCCATGTGTGACTTTGAGCCATGACAAAAAGACTGACAGTGATGTTACCCATGACATTTCCATGTGTGACTCGGATCGATGACAAAAAGACAGACAGTGATGTTACCCACTATATTTCCATGTTTGACTTAGAGCCAAAAACCTAACTAGAAGTAAAAAAAATACTAGATCACCAATATAATAAACCTCTAACACTATGTTGAAAAAAAAACAAATAAAATTTACACAATATTTTGATTTCTGATCGAGATTCTATCTAGGGACACTTTAAATTCCCTTTAAAGAAAGTGACCTGGACTCTTTTCCATAGTAATAAGTGCATTCATAATTTGTTTAATGATTATTGTACAACTTAATTACAACAGACTTCACACAAACATTTACCATTCTCTGGCAGTTGTACAAAATATGAAATGATCATGCACCTGTCTCTATCTTAAAATTAGTTATCCAGGCATGCAAATGAAAATGAAGGTACAAATGAGTTTATTGATACTAACACAACATAATGAAATATCTATTGATAATGAAAAGTGTGTATTAAACATAATAATTTTTGATCTTACAAAATAGGTATTTACACAATTACCACTCAATTGTCTAGAAAAAGCTAGTTATTATCAAGAGAACAAAACCTGTATCCACTACTGATACTGTGAATTCGTTAATATTCGTGGGATATCAATTTTCGTGAATTTTGTGGGTATAGATATATCACAAAGTGCCATTATCTATAGGATTGTATGGCGACTTTAGCAATACCATGAAATCAAATATCCACGTAAATACAATTTTTCCACAATCCATGAAAATTGGTATCCAAGAAAATAAATGAATCCACAGTAGCTAATTTAAAAAAAAATATATATATATTTGCAAAAGGTAGGAAGTAAAAATTTTGCTAATATATAGGAAGTACAGGACACATTTATAACCATATAAATACTATTATTTCAATTTACGCTAAATTAAATGAAAGATGACAATGAAATGTTCAAACTGTTGGCTTCATACACATCGAAATACAATACAGATCAATGTGACCACCATTACATAAGTTATACTTCATAACACAAAACATGGTAACAGAAATTCAAATTGCACATTTCAAATGTAATAACTTAATGCATATATGTTGTGAATTGACCTTGGCCATGTTACTGCTGTGCATAAGAAGGTGCTTCTATTCACGAGACAAATAACGTCAGAATATTCTATTTACCTTCTTGATTTTATGCTGAAATAAATGATCCTGCTACGTTTATCCATGAAGTTTTGCTTTTGTCAGTTTGAAAACATGAATTCAAACACAACTCAAAGTAGTGCATAAGCTTACTGATATTGTGACAGGGCGTAATGCCAACTGGATAGGCACGGTAAAAACAATGTGTGACATATTTTGTTGGTTTAAATAATCAAAAACATAATCAGTTTTAGCTGGTCAGCACTTTTCCTTGTTAAATTAAGCACTAATAATATTGCAGATTTTAGGTGTCAATAATATCACAGGTACTGTTTTGCAAGTGCTCTTAAGAATTTTCTTTTTCTAATCTGTAAAGCTCTCTGTATGATATCATCAGGATTGTTGCTGTTCAGGTCTAACTGGCTCAACGCTTTCATCTGAAAAATACAAAATTCATAAGAATTTATAAAAAATATGTAAAGTTTCTTGCTGTTTCATTTATCCTATTTAATATGCATGGGAGTAATTTATATAATGACCTATATAATGTGAAAACACACATTATTGTTTTGTTGGTGGAGAAACTGTTTCAGCTGCTAACATTAACAAAGGCTAGTGACTTATAAACTCTATCGTCTACCTATATATAGCTCATAAAAGACAGTGAAGACTCAGAACAGTAGTTTATACCAAAAGGTGCAAAGCCACCATGAAAGAAGTTATCTCATGCAATAATAAGTCTGTGAAGGAAAATTTGAGAAAACTATTGAAATTCTAGATGACTTTACAGAATGAATACTCATGGATGACAACATGTTAGTTTTTAATTTAAAGGATCTTTGTGAAACATTACAACTCAATGTAAAAAGCACAAAATGTTTTTTTTTTTAATAACCTAATCCAAAATAGCAAAATGCTAACTTGATCTATAACTTGTCACTGTGTAAACTATATAACAAATATCAAGTCAATGTCTTCAAGCATGACAAAAAAAAGTGTGAAAAACTGATTATTTGAGTAAATTTCTAAGTTCAAGGACCATAACTCTGCATTTTTGCACCTGTCCCAAGTCAGGAGCCTCTAGCCTTTGTCAGTCTTGTATTATTTTTAATTTTAGTTTCTTGTGTACAATTTGGAGTTTAGTATGGCGTTCATTATCACTGAACTAGTATATATATTTGTTTAGGGGCCAGCTGAAGGACGCCTCCAGGTGCGGGAATTTCTCGCTGCATTGAAGACCTGTTGGTGACCTTCTGCTGTTGTCTGTTCTATGGTCGGGTTGTTGTCTCTTTGACACATTCCCCATTTCCATTCTCAATTTTACAAAATCATCAGACCGGAACAAAATTCAAACTTGATCTGTAACTTGTCAAGATAAAACTTTATACCAATTATTAAACCTATATCTCAATCGTGCTTTGTAAACATACATGGATTTTAGGTATCCATCTCTGATCAGTGTTTTACCAATGTCAAGTCAACATCCGGTATAAGAAAATGTGCCTTGTAAACGAAGGAAAAGTTTTTGACAACGTAATTTTGCACAAATAAAGGTTCTAAGGCAGATTCTAGTACGCTAATGTTGCAAACTACGAATGATGCACTGTCAATTTAACAGTTTACGTCAGTACATTAAATTTGTATCAAAAGTCAAGTTTAATATAATTTTTATGTCAATCATTATTTATATGATGCCCAACTGATTATCATGACTGCCTTTTTTTACTTAGTCTTAAGGGATCAAAATCGGGATAAGACAAAAAATGTCCGGCTGGCACAAATATTTTTTGGAAGCCCTGCACTAAAGACACATGAAAAACTATATATTACTAATTCCTAAGAATCAGCTATATAAAATTTGATGAAAACTTTACAAAAATAGTTGAAGAATTAAAAAGTAGTTAAACAACATTGATTTTTTTATTTATTAGGATGCATACCTCCACACTAAAACATATCTTCTTACAATTTGAGATGATCCTTCTTTTTAATTTTACCTTGATGGAGAACCTGGTGAAATTGACACATATTTAAAAATAGTCAAGTGGGCTATAATCACCAATTTTCATTAATAAAAACGTACACCATAAAACTCTTTACAGTTTCATTCAATGCATAGAACTTGAGTTTCCCTACCGGGTAAACTTTTTCAACTTATTTATTGTAATATGAGCATGCTATTAATAGAATAGATAACTTACAGCTGTCTGTCTTTTATCCATTTCTCCTCGCCTTGTATGTAAATCTAAATATAATTAAGGAGCTATAACAAAACATTTAAAATATGACAATAGAATTCATAATAACCCTCTGGTACATTGACGACTAACAAACCTATTCCTTCTTCTTTCATAACTTTATCTTGAATTCTTCATGTAGTAATTTTGTATACAATTATCCAGGCAGGGGTCTATAGCTTATTTTCTTTAATTATTGTTATAGAATATTGGAACATGAGTTAAACAATACCAAGACATAATCATCAACCATCCATCAAAAAAGGCAGATAAGACAATGATCTAAAGAAAAGAAAATTTCCATACAGAACAGAGAAAAATGAAGATTGAGAATCATAAATCTAAAAATTCTCAAATTTGTGGATAATACTTTGTTGCACATTTTTTTGCAAATTGATTTATAGTTAAACACAGTTATATCATCCATCATGATACATATTAAATGTCTTGAAAATGCATGAAATAACTGCCACTGGGCGTCAAGCAAGCAAAAATCAATCAATGAAACCTATCTTAACTGAACCATGCATAAACTCATCTAAAATAAACTCTTGCATGAGGATATTCAAAAAATATTTTTAAGTTAGTTAGTCTATGTTAACAGCTTTCTAAATTCATTAAAAGCTTCTGTCAGAAATGCATTTCCTTCACATATTTACAAACTGCATTTGGTCAATAGTATTTTATAGAAGGATACGGACTAGAAACTCTAATATACTGATATCCCAAATACAGGAATAATATGAGTCCATGGCATCGTATGAGTTCCTTTCCTGTAAAGCTTTAAAGGCTGTAGTATAGTCTACTTCATCTGTAAACTGACATAATACTGCTACCTGAAAAAGAATATTCAAATTTGTCTGAAATTGTCAGTAACTTTATTTTTTTGAGTAACATATGTTTTACAGTGACCTACAGAAGTTTGGAATACTGTAAATTCAGGAATTATTGCGAGGTTTTTATTAATGCGAATAATGTGACTTGGTGATTATTGCAATAATATGAACTCGCATTCTGATATCTGATACAGATATTTGTATGCAAATTTTCCTGAAATCGCAATAATTAATCTTGCATTTAAGTCCATTCTTCAAAAATCGCAATAATAAATGTGCACAATAATTTCTGAATTTACAGTATATAAGGTCCATGGTAAAAAATGTATGTGTGTTTATGTCAAGGCATCCAATTGAATTTTTTTCACTTACCAAATACATTTCTCTACAACTACGATATGTCACTATTTAATAAATTTATCTTAATGATTACTGTTTTGTGCGATGACATGTTGAAATCTTTTAAAACAGGTTTTCATGTTTTTAAAAAAAAAATTTCATTAAAATAATTCAAAAAAGCTGGTTCTTCAAAATAAGTTCACGTTTAAATCTCTATATTTCATTAGAAATTACATCCACTTTTCCATCATATTACTTCAAAAAGGCTTGAGTTACACAACACCACTATTTTGGAAACTATATTTACTCATTGTTAAAGGCTATATTGTGACATATTGTTGCTAATTTCTACTTCATTTGGTCTCTGGTGGAGAGTTGTCTCATTGGCAATCATACCGCATCTTCTTATTTCTATATTTTTTCTAAATCTTTATCTGGCAGTAACAAACCTGTGTATGGCACTGTAGATACAAACAACACTTGATCATTCTTTTGTATACCTAAAAAAACAACCAGACATTTACATACTGTAATATATATTTTTTAAGCTAAAAGGGACCTGTAAATTTGTTTTCTTCAAAACTTCAAATAACTTACAAAAATATTACCAACACAATATTTAAAAGAGTCAGCAGTTATATTTTAATGGAGGAAACGTGATCAAAAGAAATGCTTTGAATAGCATCTAACTAATAAAATGTAGATATTTTATAAATAACATCTATATTTTTTCAACATTAAATGAAGGCACATCCTGTAGTGGCAAAAAGGTACATTTTCTCATACCTTATGTTGACTTTACAATGGTAAAACACGGACCAGAGACGGATACGAAAAAATCTGTGTACGCTTAAAAAGCACAATCGAGTTTAAGTAGCTCCTTCCAACGTTATTTCTTCAAGAAAATACTTGAAATGAACGTTAGATAAAGGTATCAATGATAATTTTAGTATTTTTGAAGAATTTGGATGCATAATTAAAGGGAAATCACACTATTGTTTATACGCATTGCTCTCGGCGCCGCTATAGTGTCGTGACCGTATTATGACGTCGCCGTTTCGAGTCCGTCGTAAAGGTTGCTAGTTTCTAAAATGGCGGCCCGCTCAAAGGGACGTTCACTAAAGCAAGAGAAAGCAAATGACGTTTTGATTTAAGTGCAAAAAATGAAATTGCTACTCGAAACGGACAAAATGTATGGCAAAAAAATAGCCGAAAGTGGTATTGATATGGTCTTGAATTACCTTACGATTGGGTTTAATTCAAATGAGTTACTCTCTTTAAACAAAGATACTATTATTATTATTATTAATATTATTGAGTTAGTATTTACATACAATACCATTTATACAATTATTTTTCTTAAAGGTTTATTAATTTCACCGGTGAAATTAATAAACCTTTAAGAAAAATAATTGTATAAATGGTATTGTATGTATATCAAACACTACGCCTAGTTATTTTTTTACTATTGATGACCGGTACTGCCTACAACAACAACAAAAAATCCACACTGTATATTTGGCTTTACAAGACTCCAACAAGAGAAATATTTAACACACACACATGTATTTATGTAGAGTAACATGTCTTTCAGAGTGCTAATCTGTAACCATCACAATAAGGTCCGTCTTGTGAAAGAGTATTCATCTCATATAGAAAAAAAAATTGTGCTGATATTCATGTAATATTTGCCACTGAAAGTTTTGCAAAAATCAAGAAAAAAACGAAAACAAAAACAAAACAAAAACTAGTAGTTCAGATGTAGGTTCGTGTTCAGATCACTCAATGTGATCACTTGCATGTCAACAAACAGTGATATAGGGAGATTGTCAGATTCCGATCATGACTGTAAAGGACAACCATTTGTTTAATACAAAGGTAGCTGATTTACTCTTGATACCTTGGTTCTTTAAAAAAAAAATGACCAACATGATATAGCAGAGTGCTGAAAGTGGCACACACAATCAATCAGTTATTTTCAAATTACCTATCATTAATCAGTTTTGGCAAAAAAAAGTATATAGGCTATACCATACTGAAACATAAATGTGATAAAAGAATATACAATTCAAGAAAGAGAGGTGCACCAACAGAAAATAGAAACTGCAATCTTTCCTTTGATTTCATCTAATCTCAGATCTCAAAATTTTAACTCTTACCAGAATTTATTCTATCTTACAGTATAAGTCGGAAGTTTCTAAGTGGAACTCGAGCTTTAACTAGAACTCTTACTCGAATTAACATTCGAACTAAAAATAAAACTGGAACTTTAACTCTAAATTATCTGGAACTCGAACTCTTATTCTACATCAAAGGTTATCCACACTCTCATTTGTCATCTGATAAAAAAATTTGTAAGGGTTCCACGGAACCCAGTGTCTCGCCTACTTTTGCTGTTAATCGCAGGCTCAACAAAAATGAGGAAAAAAATCAATAAAAATATTCATCTCGATACTATCTTTTGATTGTAAGAAGCTTCTGTCCAAGTTTGGTATAAATCTATGATAGTTTATGGATCTAATAAATGTTTTAAAAACTTTAACTGCATACTGTATGTAATGTTAACTGGAAGAAAAACTAAGTCCATTTATAAGTAAAATACGGATAAACAGGTACAAGCTTTTGATCATAAACAAGCTTCTGTTCAAGTTTGGTACATATCCAGGATAGTTTAAGAAAGTTATTGAAATCTTAAAAACTTTAACCACAGAGTGAATGTATTGTTTCCTTGCAGAAAAACTAAGTCAATTTATAAGTAAAATACGGAAAAAGTAGATTTTTTTTTTACAAAATTTACGTCTGGATACTATCTTATGATCATAAACAAGCTTCTGACCAAGTTTGGTACAAATCCAGGATAGTTTAAGAAAGTTATTAAAAATTTAAAAACTCTAACCACAGAGTAAATGTATTGTTTCCTGGCAGAAAAACTAAGTCCATTTATAAGTCAAATATGGAAAAACAGGAATGTTATTTTTACAAAATTAACTTCTGGATACTATCTTATGATCATAAACAAGCTTCTGTCCAAATTTGGTAGAAATCCAGGATAGTTTAAGAAAGTTATTAAAACTTCAAAAACTTTAACCACAGACTGAATATTTGTGGACGCCGCCAGCTGCCCACAACGACGAAATGTAGGATCGCTATGTCTCGCTTTTTCGACTAAAGTCGAAGGCTCGACAAAAAACTAGAGTTAGATAAAATATATCAACATGTCCACAGAAACACGGATAGATGTAGCAGAACAAGAAAAAAAACTAGATCCGTTTATTACAAATTAAAAGATTTTTTTAAATACATATCAACTGGGAACATTATATGTTCCTGATATCAATATGGCGATGTGTATTTTATTGTCAATTAACTCTAAATTATCAGATGCATTGTATTTCTCATAACATACCAACGTTGAGCGATTAATCGAACGGTAATAGAATATACGTAATACATAAAGTTTTAATATGCAGGCGATGAACATAGAACATATTATGTACAATGAACATGAAACAATGTATGAAAAATGGGTGCGGGATGATATAACTCAGAAAAAAATTTGGTTTCCACAGTTCGAATAAATTATGAAGCGTTGTGTAATTACAGAACCAATTTTAAATTCCTACCGAAAATAGGTTTCTTTTAACGTGCTGAGTTTGTGGCATTTTTAACACGGCATTTCAGGTTTTATCTTCCCGGTGCGAATGGACAAGCTAGTGAAATTATGGTAACGAAATTATTCTGCCTGCAGTCTAAAAGGAACGTGTTACTTTTCAGCCCGGATACCCTTATCTGGAAGCCGAAAATTATTTCTATACTACGGCATGAGGCAAACATTCGTTTTCCCCATACAACAAATGCAATTAAAAAAATGAGATGACTTCAACTTTGAAAATTACTTTATAATAAACTGTTATTGTATCTATGTTTAACGACTCGATAGATTGATAAAGATATCAATGAATAATCAAAATACCTTAAAAAATGTTCAAGAATGATATTATATTTTGTAGTGAAAAGGTTTAATTCAACCCAAGCGTTGCAAGAAATGCTGTTATGCCAGCAACGTCGTTCTATAACGTTAAAAGTTTATAGTTCCCGCCAAAATTCAGTAATCAAAATTATTTCCGTTTTAGCGAATTTAAAACATCGGTGACCCCCCTTTTTTATTTATGCTTTTAAAATCTTCCCTGAAGTTGCAACTTTTGCAGAAGTTTGAAGGGAAAAACATTAGTAGATTTTTTTTATTTCAAGAAAAATCTATTAAAAATAGCAATTAAAAATGGCGGGAAATGTTCAAATGCCTTCAAAAATAAGGAAACCGAGACAAATAAATATTCATAAGGTACAATTTACATTTGACTGTTTTTGTTATTCCAGTTAAACATGGTTTTTCAATAAGTTTGTCTTTTTTAACAATTTAGAGCGGTATTTCTATATTTCGTTATAACGCGATTCTTTAAGTTTTGATGACGTCATATCTCGAAAACAACATCGGTGACCCCAATTTTTTTTTCGCCTAAAATATCTTACTAAGTATGATCTGTCTACATGCAAAATTTCAATGAATTATTATTAGTAGTATAAATAGTGTGATTTCCCTTTAAATCTCACAATTGCGCACATACGCATGCGTGTACTTTGTTCAAACATGGTCCTGACGATTTTTTCACTTAAAAAACCTTTATAACTACCTTTCAAAAATTTTCATCAAATCATATTTATATACATATTTTTGATAATTTAAATCTTTTTGATTAATCTAATTAGATGCAAACCGCTTTGAATTTTATAAAAATAACTTCAAGTAGACAGATCAATGTCTGGTACATATTTGTTTACCTGTTACCTGAACAGGTAAATGTCAACTGTCTGACAACTAATTAACCTTGATTGTAATGAGAGGGTATTAAAGTAGGATTTGTTTTGATAGTACTTATTCACCATGTCACTTTTATGACCGGAAATGTGGCTGTTTAAGGCAAAAGGTCGAGTCAAAAAGATCGCAAAAACTTCAATTTTTTTCTGAATTATGTTAAAATGGCAAACCTACTTTAAATTTCCGTTTCAGGTTTGGCACAACAAGTCATATTTATAATTTATCGGTCATGTCCAGAAAATACGACCGTTTTGGAAGCCCTGTGTAGTGGTAGGTAATATTCCCAAGGAGTCACAAGTGATAACAGGAGTAGTACTAACTTGATCATCATATAGACTTTTAGGTACAGCTATAGAAAAGAAATCTGATGCTACAACTCCAGACTCCATGTAAAACTTCATGGCCGGTGAATACTGATTATTTGCTACAAAAAATAGTGTATATATTTTTTCATTATGAATTCAGATAATGACCTTTGAAAAACAAATACTCTTGTGTACCATTAAGATGAAGTTTCTATTTTTAGACAGATAATCAAAGAGGACAGATGGCAAAAAAAGAACACAAAATTTCCATACTGCTTTAAATTTCTGTATAATCATTCATATCTTCATAATTGATAAATGAATGCATTTTTTTTCTTCAGATTGATTGATTGATTGTTGCTTAATATACAATGGCAGTCAAAAAAGAATCTTTATAGTTAACAAAATAAGAACTAAGAGGAAACCCTGCTAAATAAGCATAGAATAATTTAATTCCTTTATCAAATATTTACAAATCACTATTTCATGGGAATGAAAAGGTTTTGCATACAAGCTTTACTCACCAAAATGAATATCTGCCTGTGTCCTTAGCCAAGAAGGCTGTGATGGGTTGGTGGCTAGTGCATGCTGCATCAGAATGGAAAGACTCTCTTCTATGGCTCTTACATTTAATGTATTGGGACTGAAATATATTGTAAAACAAATTTAACAATTGGAACAAATTCTTCAATGTGAGAGGTGTAAATTTGTTTTCCCTTTTTTATATAAATAAACTAACATGTTTTTTTTATCTTCCTCTAGATGTAATTTTATTTCTACGATCTTTGTTGTTACCCTAAAATCTGAAATGCTTAACAATAGCTGAAGCCCTCTTTCTTCCAGGTTAAAACTTCCTGATATAATATCAAAACATTCCATAAAAATTTTCCTAGAATTCCTAGGTCTGTCAAATGTACAGATACAATGAGTTACACATTAAAAAACAAAATCTAAATGTTCTTATATGAAATTAAACATCATAGAAAACAGTCCATAGTTCATTTAAATATGTTGGGGACAAGAAATTTTAGTTATTTTTTTTTTGTTATGAGTGTTGTCTAATAACTATTTTGATCTGAGCGTCACTGATGAGTCTTATGTAGACGAAAAGCGCGTCTGGCATATTAAATTATAATCCTGGTACCATTGATAACTATTGTCTAAAATAGGAACATAGTTATGACTGATTGATTGATTCTTTTAAAACATACACACAATAATTTTTCTGGTATATTCAAGACAAAAACAAGTTTACAGCAACAGTTCGAATATCAATGAGAACCAGGAATTTGCATACTTGATTTTGACAAGTCTCTTGATTATAAACAAACATTGGAGAGGATCATGAACTTTTGGATTCAAACAATCCTATACAGACACACCTTTCAATATTTTTTTTTCAATAATGTGGCATGATTCTCCAAGCATGGAATTTTGAAAGAATAACTATTATAAATAGAGATAACAAAAAATATGATGCATATTTACTTACTTGTTGACAACAGTGGGCCAAAACTGTACATATTCACTGTAGATTTCACAAGAAATGTCATCCTAAATATTGTATACAAAGAAATTATATCATTTAAAATTTTTAACATCTTATATTAATTTTAAAGTTACTGAGTAAAATTGAGGCCAACAAAATGTGCATACAAACTTTGATTTAGAAAGTAATGCTTATGTCATGATAAAATTTGACTGATGCCACAAATATTATACATGTACTCATAAAAAAATACATTTTGGCCTTATTCTACCATGTTTTATTCAAACTTAAAATAGTTTGGTGATCTGACCTGCTCATACTTTAATAGGTCAGTCAGATTTTTGCTTACATTAAATATTAAGACATTTTTTTGTCAAATTTTATTACATTCTGAAGGGTACAAAAAGTTTTAAAATGTCTGTTGTTAAAGTTTGATGCCGGAAGGACACAATAACATCATACTGGTATATGCAAAAGACTACTTTGAGATGAAGAACAGCAATAAAAGCACTGTTCCTTTGCTTTTTGTGTTTTTTGCTGTGCATGTACTGATTTTGTGTCATGGATGGATCCCCATATCCTTTGTTTTTCTATTAGATCAACGATTCATGGAATTTTTTATATATGTAACACAATAAGAGTGTTGACCATACAAGAAATAGGTTTAACAACTCATGAGAATTGGATATCGTTTGATACCAACTCTCGTTATTTAATTCAAATAGTAATGATAAACACACCGAAGGCTCATTTATCATTATATTGAAATTAAATAACTTGAGTTGATATCAAACGATATCCAATTCTCACCCGGTATGAAACCTATAATTATCATTTTCATTAAAAAAAATAATAAAATAATAAGAATTTACAGTAATTTCAAATGAAATAACCCTTTAATTCACTGATCTAGATTTGTGTTCAAAGTTGTAAAATTTTAATAAATAAAATGTGATGCTTTTTTTTAAAAGTTTTTCTGCAACAAATTCTGCAAACATTTTCCCTGGTTTAAAAAAAAATGATATCTTAAGCAGGTGACCTTAACATTTTGGCAGTTATTACATATATATACATACCCTGAGTAGATTGTAGTACTTTGTGAAACAGGAAATTAATACAGATATACACGAAGGATCCTGAAAAACATGAACATTTTGCTTTAAGATATCTATATTAATTCTACAAAAGGTAAATATGCATATTTATCTTACATTTAAGCTCTTCTTCTGCCAAGCTCTTAAAATACTTGATAAATATTAGATGCAAGGATAAAGCTCTTTGGATCAGACAAGCTCCAATGTCATTTTAGATTTTGACCTTTTTTTGTGAAAGCATTATTAAAATTGTACAAATGACACTAAAATTTGGAATATCCATTGTAATGGATAATTGTAACCTTCACCTCCATCAGCCATTTTGTAAAATTCAATAGGGATGGTTCCTGCAAACAAAATAAAACATATCTGAACTGTGTATGGTAAATATAGAAACAACTAAAGATTTTGGATGTTTATCTATTTTTCTAACTTCTGATATCCACAGCAGTAATCTAAAATGTCTTTCCGTAGTACTATCCATGTTTTAAATAAGCTGCAGAAGGATTTCTGTCTGGTGCACTGTCTGACACATGACCTACATTGAACTTAGTGAGAAGTATTTGGAAAGTTTTCTGACAAGATAGCTATAGTTGAATATCTAATATCTAAACAGACACTACTCACCTTAAACTTATTGAGGAATATTTGCTCTGTGTTATGTAACTACCTACCTTGAACTTTGTGAGAAATGTTTGGAAAGCTTCCACAGACATGATAGCTATCGTTGGATCTCTATGTATTGCACTGTGACGACCACTACTACTAATTCTCTGACTTCCTATTGTGTAAATATTCCTCACTGAAATAGAAGAGTAATAGTACAAGTACCTAGACAGGAATGTAACAGCCATTATCAACTTATCAGCTTTATTTTTATGAACAAAGTTAAAAAGGTTGTATTTTCCTGTATTTGTAAGTGAACTTTGACTTTGGAATTTGATACATTATCTTTTCTTACTGTTGTTCAATAATTGAGTCAATATGTGCAATTCATTTCAGGTAGGAGACAATGGTAGCCTTTTCTTCCATTACTCTGCCTATATTGTATACTTGGATATGTATCACAGTATGATGGCTCTTTTTGAAGCCAAGACATTTTCACAAATGTGGTTAAAAATTCAGGGTAAAAAGTGAGATTAAATTTTTCACAAATTAAGAAACTCCTAAAGGCCCCATGTGATTCAACTTCAGAAAGAAAAAAATTCCCTATTTTCACACATTAAAGTTCTCTGGAAATTCAGTTTTTTACAAACATTTATTATCTCCAAAGTTTTAACATCTTTATTGTACAGTCTTCTGCTCTTGAATAAAGCACTAATAGTTAAGCTCAGTCAATTACAAAAAAAAACACATCATGTCCAACATCATTGCATAGAGGTTATTTTACTTCCATTAATAGTTGTATTCCTAATTTTGAGGCATATCAGGGATGTTGACCACATTGCATAGGCCTTGGAAACATAGATAGCAGGGTATGGCAATCTTAATATTCAAGTCAGAAAAGTTTGTTTTTTTTAATAAAAAGCAGTTCAAAGATTATTTTTGTCGACACATACGCTGTATATTTTAGGCCTTAAAATCAATAGAGATAAAACCCCTCTATTTCCTATTGAGTCATTAATCTAACTATAATGCGATGCGATAATAACCATAAACCCCTAATTTGCTATTTTAGCTAGAAATGGTGGCCACATTGTTAAATTACCTGTGTCCCATATTTCTCTGGAAAGTTTTCGAACAGATTTAACAGATGGTAATTCTTTCAACATACAGGCTACCTGTCTACAAAACTACAATAGAAAAGAAACATTGCTACATGTTATTCATTTTCTTAATATTTGTTTTACTGTAAAAGTATTTTGGTCAAAGACATATGCTATATTTAGAAAACTTTTACTCTCCCATTACCAAATTCTGAATTTTCAAATCTTAAAATGCATATATTTTCTACAGGCAAAATAATATTATATAAAATAAAATGCTTCGCTGAGCACAGCCTGATACGACCGCAGAGGATGAACCCTGAACAGTTGGGGCAAGTTTGGACACAATATTCAAGCTTGATACTGTCTGAATTTGGATTGTGATCAAATTTTTTGACATAATACAGGTTTCTGACACAAAATAAATGTGGTCAAAGATCTTAAAAATTTGAAATGGGACATTTAATTTACCTAGAATGGTCTGATATCTAAAATTTAACAACATGGTTAGATTCAGCATATAAAAAAAACCCAAAAATTTAATTTTAGTTGAAATGAAACAAAGTTTGTAAGGGAGGTAACTCTAATGCAAAAAAAAAAACCCCAAACAAAGAATAACCAATTCTGAGTATAAAAATTTATTACCACCCAACCCTTTGATATACACTATTATAATATTATATGTATTTAAATCACAGTATTTGATGTTTCTAGAAACAGCTAAAAAATATTTCATACTAGAACTAGCAAACAAATAGCAAAAAGTACCAACATAAAGAAACAAAGCAAAAGTAATTGTCCATTAACCAGGAAACCCTTGTTTTTCCCCCTTTTTTGCCCCTAATTCCTAAACGGTTTGAAACCCTTGTTTTTCCCCCTTTTTTGCCCCTAATTCCTAAACGGTTTGAGCCATAATCACCAAACCCAATTTGTACCATCCCTTTGTGGTATGGAAACTTGTGGTATAATTTCAGACAATTCCATATACTGTTTTAGAAGTTATTATCTGGAAACTAGAAAAATGCTTATTTGGGCCCTTTTTTGGCCCCTAATTCCTAAACTGTTGGGACCATAACCCCCAAAATCGATCCAAACCTTCCTTTTGTGGTCATAAACCTTGTGTTTAAATTTCATAGATTTATACTAAAGTTATTGTCGGGAAACCAAATGTCTTCGGACGACGATGACGACGTGATACCAATATACGACCGCAATAATTTTGCGGTCGTATAAAAATCTGGTTTCTGCATCACAATGACCACTCAATCTGCACTTTTCTTGTTTTTTTTCAAATTTCCAGATGAAAAACAGCAATTAAAGCAGTATTTATCTCAGTGTTCTCCCCAGGCCGTTTTAACGCTGCGGTATTCAGTGCTATCGCATTTCAGCGCGTGGCAATTGGGCAGACCGGAGCGCTATCCAATCAAATATCAGCGCTATTGTTTTTCAAATTTTCAAATTTCCGGTATTTAGCTGTACAATTTTGGTCACGTGATCAACTGGTTGATTTGTCGGAGATCGATTATTCACCAATCTAAGTCTAATATGGGAGGGATCAGTTCAATGAAAGAACAAAATGGCGTCATTGGCAGATCTCGAACTGTCAAAAAGTTTAAAGACCTATTTATTTCCCCCGAGTTTTTCACCTTAAGGAATAATAAAATGCTCCGCAGGGCGCAGCTTGATACGACCGCAGAGGTCGAACCCTGAACAGTTGGGGCAAGTATGGACACAACATTCAAGCTTGATACAGCTTTGCATTTGGATTGTGATTAAATATTTGACACAGCATAGGTTTCTAACACAGAATGAATGTGGTCTAAGAACTTAAAAATTTTAAATTGGACATTCACCTATTATGGTCCAATATCCAAAATCTAAATACATGGTTAGATTCAGCATATCAAAGAACCCCAAGAATTCAATTTTTGATGAAATCAAACAAAGTTGATAACTGGGCCCAAAAATCAAAAATCTAAATACATGGTTAGATTCAGCATATCAAAGAACCCCATATATTCAATTTTTGTTGAAATCAAACAAAGTTTAATTTTGGACCCCGATTTGGACCAACTTGAAAACTGGGCCCATAATCAAAAATCTAAATACATGTTTAGATTCAGCATATCAAAGAGCCCTAAGAATTCAATTTTTGTTAAAATCAAACTAAGTTTAATTTTGGACCCTTTGGACCTTAATGTTGACCAATTTGAAAACGGAACCAAAAATTAAGAATCTAAATACACGGTTAGATTCGGCATATCAAAGAACCCCAATAATTCAATTTTTGATGAAATCAAACAAAGTTTAATTTTGGACCCTTTGGACCTCAATGTGGACCAATTTAAAAACGGGGCCCAAAATCCAAAAACTAAATACACGGTTAGATTCAGCATATTAAAGAACCCCAAGGATTCAAGAATAAAACCCCATTGAAATTGGTCAAGAAATAAGCAATTTATACGAAGTATCTTCTTTTGCACAATACTGTGCAATTAAATATTTCTTGCTATTGCGCAATACTGTACAATTGACAATTTCTTGCTATTGCGCAATATTGTGCTATTGGATATTTCTTGCTATTGCGCAATACTGTGCAATTGAAGATTTCTTGCTATTGTGCAATACTGTGCAATTGAAGATTTCTTGTTATTGTGTAATACTGTGCAATTGAAAATTTCTTGCTATTGCACAATACTTATTATATAATAATTTACACTTCCTGTTTGGTGTGTATCTCCTACCATATCATTATTATTTGCTTTTAAATATAAATCAGAAATAACCAACTTAAAATGGAAAATTTTAAAAGAAAAAAAAAGGAAAAAAAGAAAAAAAAGGAAAAAAAAAAAATCCCCCCCCAAATTTTTTTAACCCCCTTATGATTCATCACCCCCAAACTCAATCCCAGCCTTCCCTTTGTGGTATGGTACCTTGCAGTACAATTTCAGAGAGATCCATACACTTGAACACAAGTTATTGTCTGGAAACTAGAAAAATGTGTTTTTTGGCCCCTTTTTGGCCCCAAATTCCTAAGCGTTTAGGGCAATTACCCCCAAACTCAAACCCAGCTTTCCCTTTGAGATATGGAACCTTGAAGTACAATTTCAGAAAGATCCATACACTTACACACAAGTTATTGTCATGAAACTAGAAAAATGCTTGTTTTTTGCCCCTTTTTGGCCCCTTATTCCTAAAATATTGAGGCAGTTACCCCCATCATCAATCCCAGCCTTCCCTTTGTGGTATGGTACCTTGCAGTACAATTTCAGAGAGATCCATACACTTGAACACAAGTTATTGTCTGGAAACTAGAAAAATGTGTTTTTTGGCCCCTTTTTGGCCCCCAATTCCTAAACGTTTCGGCAATTACCCCCAAACTCAATTCCAGCTTTCCCTTTGTGATATGGAACCTTGTAGTACAATTTCAGAAAGATCCATACACTTACACACAAGTTATTGTCATGAAACTAGAAAAATGCTTGTTTTTTGCCCCTTTTTTGGCCCCTAATTCCTAAAATTTTGAGGCAATTACCCCCAAAATCAATCCCAGCATTCCTTTTGTGATATGGAACCTTGTGGTGCAATGTCAGAGAGATCCATACACTAACACACAAGTTATGTCTGGAAGTTACAAAAATGCTTATTTTTGGCCCCTAATTCCTTTACTGTTGGTACCATAAACCCCAAAATCAATCCCAACCTTCCTTTTGTGGTATTGAACCTTGTGGTAAAATTTCATAGAGATCCATTCACTTAAACTAAAGTTAGAGTGCGAAAACCAATGTGTCTTCGGACGACGCCAACGTCATACCAATATACGACCACAAAAATTGTTTTGCGGTCGTATAAAAAGGTGCATAAACTTCATGAAATAGATGGATAGTGCTCAATAAATCATTCCCAAAGTATTTAAGGAAAGGTTTACCCTTTCTCTGACAACGTGGTCTTCCTCTATTTTTTCAATCATTTACGATTATTTCATTACTGTTTAGTGGTTACAACTAAACTGGTGAACCTTCATGGCTTGAAGGAAGTATTCCCGTTGTCCAGGGATTCATTACAATCCCGTAATATACGATTTTTTGTCCTTGCATCGTTTTTTTTTCAAAATCGCATAAATAAATACAAATTATTGTGTTCTGCCATCCAATTATCAATAAATGTCAATTAAATGGGATTTTAAAATTAATATTAACAGGGGATTGCTTGAATATGAAATGGCATTTAATGATAAGTAAATGATAAGTAAAAGCATCCATTTGGTCAAAGTGTAAACAGGAAGTGAAAGTTGTAGAAGGGAGACAATTTAGGCGGGAAAAGTACTAAAAGAAGTACTGTCAAATCTTGTCAAATAATTTTGGTGGCAATAATTCAAACATTTGTAAAGTTATCAAACACAACCTTTAAAATTGGTATTTTTGTTTGAATTGGCAAATATAATTTTTCATTCTAACCTAACTTAAATAATAAACAAACATCATTAAACAAAAATGAGATTTCTACATACATGTGATTCTTCCGGCGGGAGTCAAAATCTCCCGCATTTCAGACCCTCTTCCGTCCCTCCCGTTAAAATTTGAAATCTTCCGCTTTTTGAAAATGTCAACCTCGTAAAATTTTCATTAGACATTTTTGTTTACAAAATGGATACGGACAGAGAAAAAGTCCGAGAAACTCGAAATTGATATGGGAAAAGTCCGAGAAAAACGGAAGTTTCCTGTAATGGATTTTGTGTCAAAAGTTAAAATAGGTAAAATTAGCCTGAGGTGTTTAGGATTAAACTGTATATACAACAATAAATAAAAGATAATAGGCAATTACCTAGTGATCAACTAGCTAGTTTAAGACACAAGCAAGGTTGATTAAAAGTGAAATACTGACAAAGGATTAAATTGTACAAGTTGTATAAACAACAATTTAATTTGATGCTGTTGAAAACATGGAACGTTTACTGAACCTCAAAGACAAATGAAATCAACTCAAATATGATATTTATGGCTTGTTTTCTATCCAAGCCAATGGAATACCTATATAAGTACAGTTGTCTTGGACTATTCTAAAATTTTAGAATTTGACAAAATGCAAACCGTATTTTTATATCACCAAATACCCCAGCAGCAAATAAAAGAAGACCAAGTATCTAGCCAAATTCAACTCTGCCTGGAGATCTGATTTCAAATGATGCAGATCCAGTACCAAGGGTCAAGACCATGCTTACTACACTTCATGCAAAGCTGACTGTGGTGGCCCTAATGATTTGACCAAACTTATGGGGACAGCTACCCACCAGCAAGCCTACAACTCTATCAATTAACACCTTCTGTTACAAGCATGTTCAGTAGTAGTACCAAAGTTGACAATGTAGCTGAATCAGGGGTACTTTTTGCCAACTCTGTATGATGGCTGATCGCTTTATCTTGAATTATATATAATGAATAAATATTTGAAACCCCTTATCTTCTATTTTTATCAAGTAAAAATGAATATGGAGTTGTTGAAAGGTATGGAATTATTGTTCTTTTAACAAACAAAAAAGAAGATATGCAGTTTAAACACACAAAAAACCATTGCGTACGTCGATAAATAGGTCGATAAAAAATCTCCAGTTATGAAGCCCAAACTCCAGCTGAAAATTTCCAAATCTCCAGTTGTGGCTTGACAACTCTGTCACATATAGAAATTCTATTAGATGCATCTTGAAAGTATGTTAGCCTTTTATATTTAAACATGTCTGCATTAACATTTAATTACTTATAGAAAGGGTAATCCACTTTTTCCTTTAATATGAAATAAAATACAGATTTTAGTTGTGAATTTTTAATTTGAAAGATGTAAATATTAATAAAAATAAATGAAAACAGTCCAATTTGGCCATTGGGAACTTTTTAAACTAGTGTCAGTTAATTATAAAGCTGTAAAGGAAATACATAACTAGTTTATTTAAACAACTAAAAGTAAGAGAAAGGAATACCTACTGTGCTACATTGTACATAATCACTCTTATAAGAAAAGACGGAGAAGGAAAGTAATGAAATCAAATTATTAAAATTATCTAGGCATTTTAATTAAAAGCTTAATAAAAATGTAACTTATTTTCATTTGTAATATTGCATATATATATGTATATTAAAATACAGGTATTTTTCTATTTAATAGAGTAAAACCAACATGGCTTGTAAGTAAATGTAACATTACGTCAAAACGCAAAAGGTGAATCAATCTAACATCGCACGCTTACCACAGCGCTATCAAAAAATCCTTGGGAGAACACTGTATCTGATTAAATAATTATTCCCTCGTATATTTTGTGTATGTCATTTATCCTAACTTTTTCACTACGCAGTACCCTTAATTGTCTATATATTCATCAAATTTCTTAAACCCTAAATTCACTTTAAATCCTTCCTCAAAATTTTGTGCTGATGAAGATAAATCCTGAAAAGAGCTTTGGACACATAAAATTTAAAGAGAGTTATTTTCATTTTCTAAGAATTTGTAGTAATTTTCTTCCATGTTGAAACATTGAGCAATACATTAAAAGTTGTGAGATGACTTCACCAGTTAGTCATGTAATAAATTTAATAATAACCTCTTCATACAAAAATCTTCAACAATGAGCAGAAAAATCATAATCTAATTGTGACTACCTTCAATCAACATTCAGGAGAAAGGACAATAAAGTCTCTTTTATATGGTTGATTAATGGTATGTCACGGTAAATCCATATCCAATAATTTGCTGAAAAGGTAGCCATTTCAGAAAAATGTGCTGTGCAAAAATTTGACAAATTTCTATACAATACCTCTATATGTCCACTTCCACTTTGGTCCATATTACTGAGGTATCCAATATCTCTAATGTTCATCAGGAAGGCAGCACAATGTTGTATTATATTATGACTAGGTTGTATATCTGAAGAAACAAATCATTCTCTTAAAACCTGTCACCAATATCATGAACAAGTTGTACACAAAGTAATTCAATAAATTGTTTCTTGTATTGTTCACCTGATTTATATTGTATTCATGTTGGTAACAACTCCCTTCACATATACCAACATTCAAATCTATTTTCATAACCCTTTCAACCCTATCAGAATAAGTTAGGAAAAGTTATCGTTTATTTACTTCCATGTAGCAACTGTTTTTAAAAGCCACCATATTCATATTTTATTATACTTCATGTCAAAATGACAGATTTTGATTGGTTAATACGAGGGAGACAATTTACTCTATCCCATGGAAAAATATTCCTATACCCTTCACGGAGACTTGCTCAAATGTGCGCTTTAAATGATTGTTATGTACAAGATGACATAGTTTATTACTTTGAATTTGAAATTTAATAGACAGTAACAACAGAACATTCAGTATAATAAATTAAATAACACATAGAAGAGAGGGTGATAAAGTAGATTGTTATCCCTCGCGTCAGTTGACAATATTTTCTCAGGGTAACAATCTGCTCTATCACCCTCTCAGATATGTGTTATTTATATACTGTTATGGTACGGAAATGTTCTCTGTTCTCACATTGATTTAACCATTGTGGTAAAGCAGGTATTGTTTTTATTTTTACGCTTTGATATCAAACCCAATGTGGGTAGGCTAATTTTGTCAGTGGATAAAATAAATAAATGCATGTGTTGTTGGCAAAGCACTCCATTTAAGTCCATAAATTTACTTTACAATTTACAATAAAGTCAATTTGACGTCTAATGCATTCTGGGTAATATTTTCAAAAGAGTACACCAAAATGTTATGATTGGCTAACAACATCCTTAACAATGGAAATTCAACCAATGATGTGATGATATTTCAGTTTGGGGTATGATCAATGAAATCACCCATAGTCCTTTAGATTCTGCAACAGAGAATTGGGACTGTTGTACACACAAGTAGAAAAGTCAAAGAACTTTTTGTTTTTATCAATGACTGGTCTTTTAATTTTTGAAAGAATTTGAAATTAATGGTTGGTTAAGATGGGGTAATAGGATATCTTTTCATTATTTGATTAATGAGCTCACATGTTTTATGAATATTTTATAACAATACCTTGTCCTAATCTAACAGAAGTTATACAAGTCTTAGTTTTCTTGATAAGATCTTGTAATGTTGAATTTTCTCCAAGTGACTCATTCATGTTGTACTGTTGAAGATCTGCTAGCAGGGTATACCATCGTATGTGCTTGGATAATGTGTATGATAATTCTGCTACAACACGGTCAGCCATCATCAGTAACTGTCTCGCTCTCTCAAATATCTGAAAAATGGGAACAGACGATTTGAAATTAAAGAACCTTTGTGAGCACCATTTGAAATAATTTAAAAAAACATAACAGATTCCACATTGATTGATATATTGATTGTTTGACTGACTGACTGATTGATAACAACAAATGTCCAGTGGCAAATTTTTTATTCATATTTGGATTATAATGTGTCTATGTGAAATGAACATTTCCTGGTTTGTATTCGACTGACTGACAGATATTCAACATGCCAGTCTACAAGGTATCAATCTGTAGACTTATCAATCTGACTGGAAGTTAGTCAGTCTGTGCTTTTTCTCCTAAACACCATGTACTATGCAGAAAAGCAGCAAATAGTTGACCAAGCCCAGATTTGAACTTGCATCCAATTTCATCCACAACAATCAGTATTCTTTAAGACTATAAAAGCTGTTCATAAGTTTTTACATGCAGAGATGTTTTGCTTGCATTATGACATTAAATCGTAAGTTTTCAAGTTCACAGTCAAATGATGATTTCAACCTAACATCTAATAACCTGAATTTTATTTATAAACATGATTTTGACTTATTTAAAAATCAATCAGAATTTCATTGTATGAAATCAATGTCATGGTGCTAATAATATTTCTAATATGATGGCTACTTGCACCAATGATTCTAAAATGTTCAAAGGCCTAAAAATTAAGTTAAACGTCCAAATATCTTATGTCAAATGTTTAAACATTAAATCAAACAAGCAGTAGAACTTGAACAAATGACTTCCAATAAACACATCGATTCAAGGCCTTTTAATGCTTGCCATGCAGTATTGGTTTTGCTCATTGTTAAAGGGTCTCACAGTGACCTATGGTTGCTAAATTCTATATCATTTGTTCTCTAGTGGAGAGTTATCTCATTGGCATTCATACCACATCTTCTTATTTCTATACAGAATATTAAAGTCATTTTAATGTCTAAATACTAAGCTGTATAAAACCTTACCCTAACTTCCATTAAATGACAAGCTTTTCCCACCAGGAGGTAAATAAAGGCTTGTTCATGACTAGATGCCAAGTTGTATATGACTTGATGCATTTCTCTAGGAACCTTCCACTGTAAAATAATATTATTCAATTAATAGATGATAAAAGTGAGGGGGTTTACATTTGTATTAGTGGTGTCGTGCTCATCTTTTGAAATTAACAGTAGTTTTCTTTTTCTTTTTTTCAAATTTCATACCTTCTAATAGATGTACACATATCTCTCAAATAAATCACTTAGTGTAAATTCAGAAATTTTGCAATGTTTTTAATATTGAGAAAAGTTGCAACAAGATAGGTGTCTCAAAAAAAAAATTTTGCATTTTAACTTTGAAGCATTATTTGTATGTAGCTTATTATGAAAACACAACAATTAAGTTTGCATTTGTGACGATTTTCAATCGCAATAATGCACACAATTATTTCTGAATTTACAGTAATAAGGCATGCTCTAGATATATTTTTTTCCACATGAATGATATTATTATCATCTGTTTTAGTTTACAATGTAATGTTTTTTAATTCAAATTATATATTACATTCTTGGAAATAAATAATGAAATTTTGGCTGCTTAGTTTTTTAGCTGTCTAAATCAAAGGGTGAAAAGTTGGTGTAAAGAAGTTAGATATTGGTTTAATTTTCAATTGTTCAACATTCTCAACATTTTACAGACATGTTACAAGTGTTTTATAAATAACTGTCATTTGCATTTATCCATGGCATCAATTGCTTTTTTAAATAACTGGCACTTGCGTTTGTCCATGTCAAATTTTTTAGCATACTTAAATACTTAATAAAAGTTATTTCAGAAGCATGTGTTGTGCAGCACATAGAAATTATATGTTTGTTTTTTTTTATTTCAAACATCTATCTGCTTTTGGCAAAATCAAATAAAACACATAAAAGAAGTTATACTTGGTTTTATAAACTGCCAACACATATGCTTGCCATCAATAATTTTTGTATACAGATAACATGTGATATATTTTGTCAGTAGATAGATATAGGATGATGTGGTATGAGTGCCAATGAGACAACTCTCCATCCAAGTTACAATTTATAAAAGTAAACCATTATTTTATTTATATGCAAAAGAAAAATAAATTTGGAAGAAGGATAACATATGACATACTTTTAACCAACTTTTTTCCATGGATACTTTTTTCCTGTGTTCAGTCCTTTCTAGCTAAGGATATATTTTCACAATTTTCTATAACTGTTGATGTAAGTCATATAACAGAAGAAAAATGTTTAAGATATTTGCTTTGATTGTTATTCAACTGATCATTCTACATGTGAAAGTCGTTTAAATAAATCGCTCTGGAAATTTAGTTAATTTACAGTATTGTGATTAACTCTATACCTTTTCATTGAGTGACATAACATATGCTGGCGACCTGCCAAGTTTGGTACAGAGATCCGATACAACATGGCGTATTATGTCAGGGTCATACGAGTACATCAACTGTTGCTCAGGATTACTTAATGATACAGAGGAATCTGAAAAATATTGTACAGTTTACAAATAATTTTCTAACATTCAATGCCAAGTAAAACAGTATAAAAGTTGTAATAAAATTTGAACTTTAATAGATTAATCTGCATTTTCTTTCTTTCTAGTAAATGCACCATTATTATATCTTGATTAAGCATTTATCTTATATTCTCTATTAAATTACATCAGTGAATCAATTTTTCATTCATAAACCAAAAAATATAAACATCAAAATGTGAATATTTATAAAGCTAAAAGTTACAAATTTTACCGTTATTATAAATTACTTTAATGCATATACATATACATGTATATATATAAATTATATATAAGTAGTACAAATATATAAAATCCGCTAACACAAAAATCTACAATATCCCAATTTATAAATGTTATGATATATGGTATGAATTAAATGTAATACATTTTATCTATTCATTTTCAAATAACATTTTTAATCAATCACCATACAATTTTGTAAAAGATGTTCTCTAAATACATATGGGTAACTGAAATCATGCATTATCAGGAGCTCCACATATTATTATGCAGTTACAACCTCATGTGGCCTTATGTCCCACTGGGGGTGAAGAGGATAAGTACAATCTCATAGAAGTGATACAAAAGGAAGAGAAGGTTTGTGTCACACAAATAAAATATGGATTATTAATAAAAGTCCAATGTGATTAAATGTGTCTTAAAAAGGAATATTTTATATTTCTTGTTAATATATTTCTTACCTCTATTACCATGATTACTTGCTAAATAAGTATTGATTAAAGCAATTATAAATATTATTTCTTTTAGGTGCGTTAGATTTGGTGTGAAATATTGACAAAATCAAAATCAAATTTTCTTATAGCAAATTTATACATATAATTTGTTCAAATGCTACTGTTTGATTGAAAGTTTTACTTTTATATGTTAAAGTTTGTATGAACAAAAATATTGAACAACTTAAATCAACACAGAGAAAACCTGACAATCTGGTCTGCATTGCACCATGTTTTTTTTTTTACTATAATGGACTAACTTATTAATGTTAAGTAAGAAACTTATTGTTAAAACTAAAAAGAGGCCTTCTTTAATAGACCAGCTTTAAAACTGAAATATCTGTCTTGTTTTGCAGCATGTTTTTTTACTACAGTGGACTTCTTAATATTGAGCAGGAAACTTATTGCTAAACAGAAAATAAGTCTTCTTTTAAAATCCATCTGATGAGTTAAGCCTTTTTTCAACTGATTTTTATAGTTTGTTCTTATGTTGTACTGTTACACCACTGTCCCAGGTTAGGGGGAGGGTTGGCGCCTTCAAACAAGTTTAATCCCGCCACATTCTGTATGTGCCTGTCCCAAGTCAGGAACCTGTAATTCAGTGCTTGTCGATTGTTGTTGTGTAACATATTTGTTTTTCGTTCATTATTTTGTACATAAATTAGGCCGATAGTTTTCTCGTTTGAATTGTTTTACATTTGTCATTTCAGGGCATTTTATAGCTGACTATACGGTATTAGCTTTGCTCATTGTTGAAGGCTGCATGGTGACCTATGGTTGTTAATTTCTGTGTCATTTGGTCTCTTGTTGAGAGTTGTCTAATTGGCAATAATACCACATCTTTTTATTTTATATTCTTTTATATACTGCTTGAAAACTGATATATATCATAAACAAAACTAACGAAAAATGTTAAATGATTAATCAAAATAATTGGGAATAAAACCAAACCATTGATAAATATCAATCTACTAATAAAATGACTGGCATAACTTGGCATTGAACAAAAATTAAAAAAGCAACTCTGTTTTTTTTTTTTTTATCTTTCATGCAAAATATTACTCCATAGCCTATCACCTCAATTGTTTTATATAATATGGAGCTGCATGCTATAGAAACGCTACCCTGAATACCTCTTATCATTTGTAACTCAGTTGGTTGATGGCTGAGAGAAGATATGGTAGACACAGTAGATAGACTCCTCATTGTCGGGAGGGAAGTCCTCAACAGATTACCTTTTATCATATCTAGAATTTATCAATCAAACATTATCTATAAGCTAGCTCAAAATCATTAAGATATGTAATCAAAAACAATAATTCAATAAACTTTAATTAAGTTGATGTTAAAAAAGGGTTAGTCTTCTTCGGATTTATCATTGGTTATTTATAAACAATATGTTCAAGGAGATATTTACTATACTTCATCCTGAAACAAGCAATTATTTGAATCTGGAATAATTTTGAATTCTGGAAAATTAATAAGAAATGTATGATGAAAACTAACTCAACTTTAGTGGGTTACCCATGTGCACATGGCTAAAGTTCAAGTTACTTTCACTGATATTTCAGAATGAACTATCTAACCCCCCTTAGTCATGCACACATGGCTAACCTTATTTAGTTGGGTTAATTTTCACCAAACATTTGTTATCAATTTTCCAGAATTCAAAATTATTCCAGATTTAAATAATTCCTTGTTTTGAGTTGTTTTTGCCATTTATGTCTTACTTCCCTATCTGTTGTTTCTTTGAAATCAACCATATTTCTAATTCTTATTGCTTTTTTAGTGTTGTTTGGTTGCTGTAACAATGATGTATACCATACATCTCCTTTTATTATTTTAATCATCAAGTACAATCTTTAACATAATATGCAGTATAGCATCATTTATTATATTTTTTATTGCAATATTTTTTGTTGTTGATTTCTTTATACATGTTATATCTATTGTTATTTGAAAAGTCTTTTGTGGTGATTTAATGTCCTTTATACCAATCGATTGAATGACTCTTTTATTTCAGATGTACATTAGTCTAAATGTAGTTCTATACTGTTGAGAGATAAGACTTCAATGAAAATTTTATTTGAAATACTGAGTTGATTGGAAGAAAAGCATTTGCCAGAAGCCTGTATTAATTTTCTAGTGACTGCAGAGCTAACCAAAATAATTTTATAAAGAAAGTGATCAAGAACTTCTATCAAATATATCAATCAACAGTGCAAAGTGTCTACATTATGGAAATAAAAAAGTCCTAATTTGTGATCTTCAAACATTTCAAGTGAAAAAATCAAAATAATAATAAAGATGTACTAAAAAGTTAGTATCTGATAAAGCTATTCATCAAAATGTATGGTCCTTTTCTTCAGAAGCTACACACATCTTTGATGTTTATCTAATAGCTAGCTGTGCACCAATTTTGGTTACCTGTAGAATGAGCAGTTGATGGACGACTCCTTGTTGAAAAAGAGGTCAAGGTAGGGTTCCTTGAGAAACTTGATTGAGTATTGTACCGTGAAATAGGTGGGAATCGTGATCTGATGACTTTTGAATAGTTAAAATAAAAAAATACTAATAATTATAAAATAAATTATCCAAAAACTTGATATTTTAATTTTCTATTTATTTGAGTTATTTTTTCATTTCATTGACTTTTATTGTAAATAAAAAATGCAAGGAACTTTTAAATGTTTTTCTTTATTTTTTTCACTTCATTTTGATGCAAATTTATTTTACATCTTGATAATATCTAATATTGTATGTTGTTAGAGTTGTAAAAATAGATGATATATTTAAAATATAAAGTTGGTTTTTTCATGAGTGAGATATAACAGTATTTCATTGTAACCATTGTAAATATAATGATTAATTTTTATCATAATGATGCAATTGCATAAATATGTAACAACTTTTTAAACAACACACATGATGGCTAAATTCAAAATAAAAATTTTTCAACACAAAACTGTTTATTAAAACTAATTGGCAAATTAATCAAAGGAAAACGAAAAAGCAAGCATTGTCCTGCTAAGCATACCCCCACTTGTAACTCAAAGTATCGGAAAACAGAAAGTAGGTGTCTCAAAGATATAACTCTCACACTATTACAACTCATCATAGGTAAGCTGATGATTAAATATGAAGTCATTCTGTTCAGTAATATTGGAGAAATGTGTGACGAAAAATTTAAAGTTTATTGAAAATAATGAAATATTTAAAAGTATAGGTTAGACAGAAAGTAGTTGTCTGACAGATCTCTAAAGTCCTCACACCCTACAACACATCACTATCAAGCTGCTGACCAAAATTAAGTTGTTCTGTTCAGTGGTCCTGAGAAAATTGTGTTATCTGTTGGAAGGACAGACAGACAGACAAGCTTAAGGTAATAGCCATATAATAAGATTACAAAGCAAGCCCTTGTTCATTAACTAGCCTTAGAAATTTCTTGAAAGTCTCAAAAAGGGTTAGGAAAAATACTGTCACCACCCAATATGATTTTAACTGGAAACTAAAAACTGCAAAGGATATTCACTGATCTGTATAAAAACTTATTTGTACAAATCATAAAGTCTGACTTGATTAGTCATTAAGGGCATACTATACAGTTACAGGGGAGGTAATGACATTGCTAATGTAAAATGTTATTTTTCACGACATCAAACTGTTACATATCGTGAAAAGATGCATTTTCGACTGATTTTTATCATTCAGACTGATTTAACTTAAAAACGAGTTCATGGACCCCTCTTTTTAAAAATGACATTTGGCTTGATTATGTATGAAGATTATTTGTGCTAATTTTTATGAACAAATCACCGATGAATTTTTTTTAAATTAGATAAATATACAGCAAAAAATGCCGTTCTTTGACTAAAATCATGAAAGTGTGATAAAAATGAATAATTTCCAAAGAATTGATAACAAATTCAAAGCACACTTATGTAAAGAAGATATTCTAGATGCTCTTACAAAAATCTGCTTGCGTTTATCTGGTGAATCCAAAAAAGTTAAGTATGTCTTTCCAAAGTATAGAAATTTCCAATATAGGTCTAAATTATCAACACCATTTATCTTTAAAAGTTGCACATATTTTTTATTATATATTTGAATTGACAAGGTGAAAAATAGCTTGTATGCAAACTTTCGTCAAAAATTCACTGTGGCATCAAAACTGTATCGTATGCCCTTAAATACACCATAAACACAGCTGTGTCAGGATTTGTACTATACAGCTCAATGAATTACAAAATTAGTTTAAAATAAAATATCTGTTAGGAGTCAACTGAGTCAATTAAAATATATATTTATTTACAGTTTAGGTTACTGAAAATTTTAAACACAACAACATACGATGAATTATTATGGGTAAAAAATAACCATGAATTAATACTTTCATTATATAAACATACACTGTCTATAAGGTAATGCTTGTTTGAATTTATAGTTCATTAAATCAGAGGGTTATATTTACAAACCAAATCATTATCAAAAATGTATGGTATGATCTAATAAGGTAAAGACTTACATAATAGCATTACATCTTAGACCAGTGTGTTGTGTTAATCAAATTCTTTTATATAAAAATTTCAGCATTTTCACAAACCTGTCATTTCTACCACAAAAAACAAAAATAATACAATATTTTGAAATAAACAGTGTATCATGTTCTTTTTTTAATTCATTTGATAACAAATTTAAAAGTCTGCAAATCATATTGACTTATTTAATTGTGGAGATCTTAGTGTACCTTAAAATAATGTCAACTGGAAATTCATTCAAAGTGCGGCATTAAAACTACTATAGTATAATAACATTGCGACCATTTCTCTGAAGTCAGGTGACAAATAAATTCCTTAGTTTATCAAATTACATTAAATTTAAAATAAATGTTAGGACATCTTAAACAATTAAAATCCATAGTTGTTTCAAGGTTAATTCATTCTCATGGCATCCTAATAAATTCTGACTTTTTTAAAGAAAACAATATGAGATATCTATACTTTACTTTCAACTTATACTCCTTACATTGTCAAGATAATTTGACACAAATCTATTAGGTTATACACAACAGGAAATTACATGTCATGATTTAATATCTTTTTTAATAAATCTTGTACTTTATTTTAAAAACGTCCTACTGTTTTTTGAAAAACCAGTAGTGTACATTTTAATTAATTTCATAGCAGTTAGTACACTTGTTTATATATAGATACTGATTTATTTTTTTTGTACAGATTCAACACATCAAACATTTTTTTCCTTTAAATTTGTGTACTGGATGCTAATGGGGAAATAATTTTAACAATACCAACATATCATGAAAATAACACTAGAATGAATAGTTGGCTTCAGAAAGATGTTGAATTTCTTTAACTCATTATCATTGTGGTTTTCTACTTGCCATGTATTTGTAAAGGAAAATATCAGAGAAATTGATATTATACCTTATAAAAAATTTACAAAAAAATCAGAGGTTACTAAACACTTTTGTTTTTTAAATTGGTTTTCAACCATGTAATTTTGTGAGTTTTGATTTTGACATCAAGACAAAGTTATATAATATTACAGCTGCAAAAAAATTGAGTATATCTAATAACCTTCAAAATATTTTCCAAATATTGGCAGCTCAAAGAATGTTCATAATTGATAATCATATAAATAAAATTTCATTTTGGAAGTGCATTTTGCCTGCTTGCTTGTAAAAATATCTTATATCATGCTATGTGAGAGTGACAATTCACCATGGCAATTACTGTTATAGCGCATGAATTATACACTCACCTCTACTGGAAGGAAAACTACTACACGTAAGTGTGGCATCATCAAAAGAGTCTGCATAACTTAATTCTGGTTCCCTGATATAAACACTCATTTCCATCAGCTCCTGTTCATTAAAATGTTTCTTAAAATCTCCATTCATTATGGCATGATTAAAATGTGAGGCTGCAGCAGAAAGGTCCATTAAATGCCTGAAATGACCAATACTTATAGATGTATAATATCATTGTTACATGAGAAACTACATTTATGGTCAATAATAATTACATAAATATAAAAAAGGGTAAATGGAACTCATTTCATTAATACTGCCTACTGTTTACAGAAGATATGATTCTTTTTAAATATTTTAAAAGTTTAAAATAACTGCTATCACATTCAAATCTTTCTGGGAAAAAAGAGCTTACAATTATATTTATTCTTTTAGGCTGAGAAATGAACTTTTTTTTCATTTGAAACAAGTATAATTATGGAGATGATTATTGTCTTTATCATGGTGAAAGGTTTGCTAATTTCAAGAATTTCTCCTTTTTGTGGATTTTTGTTTTTTTTCTAGTTGGTTTTGACGAAAAATTTCTTTTGATTTTGGTTTTAGTTTTTGAAGCTTACTTCCTATTTTTTTTTAAAGTTCTATATTGATTGTCTGTGTTACAGTTAAATTTCAGCAAAACCTGTGTCCTTGGCTATGTGCAACTTTACCAGACCTCTTCTGGATTTTTTTTATGTAACACTACATGTATAATTATATAAAATATATTAATTTCTTACCACACAAAACATTTCAGATTTGATTTCTGAGAAAAAGAGGCTCCATGTAATGCTCTCCCTAAAACCTGTAAAATATTCAATAACAATTAGTACAATGTACTGCTCGTGCTTTAGTCTTATACATCAATATCTATGAAGTTGTTTTTATAAATTTTTATCCCTCAAATTATTTCCACCTTTACACGTTTCTTTTAATAACCTAATTCATTTGATTGTTAGTGGTTTACTGATATATTGTATTTCTTCTGTTTCAAATTCCACTTTTTATACAATCATACTATTTATCAGCAGGCAGGTAGTTTATGATAAACAAACAATGAATGAAATATTTTTTATCGATAACATGTTACAGATTCGTAATAAACTTCAAAAACATACACAGAAGACTTAGTCTAGTATACATGCCTGCATTGGTTCAATAACTTCCATAACATTATAATCACCAGAGTTTTGTTTCAAATGACTTTATATTATTTAAATGTATAATGCATGGTTATTTTTCATTGCAGTAAATCTTCATCCTAGGCTGACAACAATTTCCAATAACAATACATTTAAGTATACATACTAATATGAGAAATTCTATAGTTTGTGGATCAGCATCTTCTATAACATCTGCTAACAGGGAAACTAAAGCTTTGCCCTCCATCACACCTCTCACTACATTACATATACTGACTTGTACATATACCTCATTTAAACTGAAAAAAAAACAGTTATTTTTATTAGGATGGGAGATAGAATAGATGTAAATAAGACAATAATATTAAACACAAGAAAATCATCATTAATCAAAGAAACAATATTTATCTTCATTGTCAAAATTGCTTTGTCATCAGTAATGAAATTTAGTTCTAAAAATATGATGACCTCTACAGTTGACTAAAGTTTTCAAACTTTAATTATTTTTTTCCCTGTATTTTTCAAATACAACATCAGTAGAAATAATCCTTTTTTTTCATTTCAAGACATTTGATTGAAATAAAGATGAGACTGCATATTTATACATCCAACATGGTCAAACATATGACCCACAGTAGAGGTCTTATGAGAAAAATCCTCATGACAATATTTCAATGCCATAATCAACCCTTGGGTTGAATCTATTCAGAAATAACTGATACCTATAAAACGTTTTTTACCTATCTCCTTTTGTGCCTATTTCATCTTCTAATTCACTTCTGTATATCATGGTTAGTTCCTGTCGTAAGTTGTCTTCTATTAATACATCAACTATACCCTACAAACATATGACAAATTTATGATTAAAATTTGTATTACTACCTACAATAGACAATAGTCCACTCGCTGAAATGTTGCTCCTACTTTACTAATCATGAATGAATTGGTCTTGAAAGTAATTTAAGATAAAGGTTTGACAACAAGTATCACATTAACTTAACATTATTAATGATCAATCTAAATGAGATCATGCAATGCTAATACAACTGCATAACAAATACCATTGATTTATTATAAGTTGTTTCCCCTAACTGACCTAAACACAAACTTTAACATGTAAACTATGCTTAAAGTTTCAAAAGCAATGAACTATGATGAGGGGGCAGGCATTATAACCTCCATGGAAGTGAGACGTTCCAATGATAATACAACTGCATACTGAATATCGTTGACCTACTGCTAATGGTTCTCCACAATCTGACCTAATTACAAACTTTAACATGTAAACTATGCAAAAGTTTCAAAGTCAATAGACCATGACTGAGAAGAACAGGACCAAATAATCTCCAAGGAAATGAGATGTGCCAATGTTAATACAACTGCATACCAAATACCATTGACCTACCACAAGTGGTTTCACTTAAACTGACATCACAAACTAATACATTGTTGACATTGCCCAAGCCAATGATGATGCAAAAAATCATGCGCAAGTCTCACTTTTCGACTTTGTGAAATCTTTCAATTTTTTTCTTTTTGCAATGTCCATTTTCTTATCTATTGTGAATATTATCAAACAAAACAATTGATAAAAACTTCAATTTTCAAAGCAGACAGAATTTAAATGCTGTTTTTTAGCTTTCAGATATTTTATTTAGAATCAACTTAGATCTAATATTTTGAAATAGCTTTTGTATGATTGTCATATCTACCAATACTTGAATCGGATTGGTCCATTAGAATTTTTTCCCTGGGTTTACACTTCGGTAGACTATGTTGCCAAAACTTCTTTTGTGACCTTCACTGTGTTCTATTTATGGTCAATACATGTGCATAGAATCCAGGGGTTCCAAGCAAATTAAGAATGTAAAAGCAAATACATAACAGTGACTGTAATTTCTTTTATAATGCATAACAAAAAGAAATAATGCATTAAAGCTTGGAAAATGTATAAAATTAAAATTAAAATTCAGCGAAATTTCATGAATGACCTTGGCGCATTAACATGACATCATACGAATGAAAACTCTCAAGCTGAAGATTGTTTCATTACGTGTATGCTTCAAATTAGATAATATCTCATTAAAATGATGATGAAATACCTTGAAACCATTTCTCCGACAAGCCTCTGATTTTTCGTACAATGTAATTTTTTCAGGAGGTTCTTGCTGAGTGACACCTTGTAAACTCTGACAACCATGGTGGTATCCCTTTAACCTGGCATTATCTACATTGATGAACACTGGATCATCTACCTATAAATGTAAGGTGTTTTCAATATATTGACTGTCATTCATTATCAATGGCTAGCTACATGATACTCTCTCTCTTCTAAAATTTTCTTATAGGATCTTCTAACATAATGCTGATTTACACTAAAACATTTGAACTTTTAATGACAGGTGGTCATACTTTATTTCACACCATATTACACAGTGTCTTTTTGATAGGTTGTATATTCCATTGTGAACACTGGTGTCTAGACTATTGCAATCTCATTTTTCAGTAAATGAACTTACAACAAATCATGTATTTCTTTTTCTTTTTTTTTTTTTTTACAGGAACTTTTTCCTATTGAATGTAAAGTAACATATATATATGGGATGGACAGCCATATATCATAAAGGACTACCTGTCAATATGTGTGTACCATTACATGAAAATTGTGTTTCATTGGCGGAGATAACTGAGACAGGATTAATCACATTTTTTGTTATAATACAAATCTATCAAATAACATCCTTCAAATGATCACAGGAAATTAATTTGTCAGATATCAGTGTTTATATTTTGAATTTTGTCTATGTATTTACTATAGAACTTTAAACAGCTTACATTTAATGCAAAATTTCCTCCAAAATGCCAAAATAACCTCATTTTGAGACCTTTTCATTCAATATTTAGATATGAACCACACCCTTAACTAAAAAGATATTTTAATGCTAGATGTTCAATCATTAGTAAGTAAGTAATCTTTATTAAAGCCGACTTTTCTTATATACAATCACAACATAGAACATGAGCTAAAGAGCTCTTTAAACAACTGATAGGATTGTGTATGCATGTATGTACACACATGTATTATAAAATCTGATATATGTTTAAACATTGTGTATGCTTGTGTGTACACATGTGTTATAATATGTGATATATGTTTAAACATTGTGTATGCTTGTGTGTACACACCTGTGTTATAATATGTGATATATGTTTAAACATTGTGTATGCTTGTGTGTACACACCTGTGTTATAATATGTGATATATGTTTAAACAAGGTATGCTTGTGTGTACATACCTGTATTATAAGATCTGATGTATGTTTAAACATTGTGTATGCTTGTGTGTAAGCCTCCTGGTAGAAGAAGAATGTTCCTAAATCATAGTATAGCTGAAAATATAAAACTGCCTTTTTAAATATATTTCCAATCATTAACTTTAATACAATAATGAATTCAGAATATAGAATATATGAATTATTTACACCTAGCTTTGGAGTAAGTGCAAGATAGTACTGGTTGATTATACTATTTATCCAAAAGCACACCTAAAAGTGGAGCATCTTCTAATAACCAAACATTATGTAGTTGTCTATATCCTACATTATTACTGTTTAAACTTTTTTCTATTATACCATTTAATGCACTTTATCTTTACTATGCGAAGGTACAGGTATTCATAGTCATTGAATTATTTATGATACCTCCTGTTATATTCGTACATGTTTAACCCCACCAAACTCTGTATGTGCCTGTCCCAAGTCAAAAGCCTGTAATTCTTTGGTTGATGTTTATTTCTGTATTTCATATTTGTTTTCCGTTTTATTGTTTTGTACATAAATCAGGCCGTTAATTTTCTTGTTTGAATCGTTTACATTTGTAATTTCTTGGCCTTTTATAGCTTATGCTTATGCTGTATGGGTTTTGCTCATTGTTGAAGGAGCTAATTTGACCTATAGTTGCTAACCTTCTATGTCATTTGATCTCTGGTGGAGAGTTGTCTCATTAACCATCATAACACATCTCCTTATTTGCATATGTAGACCAAACAACATGGTAGTTAACATTCTTTGAAATCCACCTGTCAAATGTTTTTAATTTATAAAATTTCATAATATATAAATTATACCTGACAGTGATATTCCTGTGGAGTTACTGTTACACAGTTATCCCATATCAAACTAAAATCCTCAGTGTTATCACTTAGTACAGGAAAACATTTTGAGACAGGCAATTTTAGGACACGCCCACATTGTATACACTTTTCTAAATTTTCTATTGAGACTGCAGTAGACTCTCTTAGCTGAAATAACAAAAAAACAAGAATTTAATAGACCCTATACATAAAAATATCCTACAGTACACAAAATAATCAGTTCTAATTTAAACAATTAGTGTTTCAGTAAATACATATGAATCAAATCAGTTCTTTTTGGAAACATATGTTCAATGTATACAGAACAATTTGCATCCAAAACTGGAATAATATTAAAATAAATGGGGAATGTGTCCATGGGACACAGATGATGCCCCCGCTTGCATATCATATGTAGTTATAAAGGGACATAACTGAAGAACGGTAAAAGTGACACTACCCAAATTTGTCCTTGATCTGAGTTTTGTGGTAATAAGTATTGTGTATAAGTTTCATAACATTTGGTTGGGGTTAACTTAAGTTAAAGAACAGAAATGAAAAATTCAACAATTTTTGTGTTTATAAAGGGGCATAACCCAAGAACGGTAAAAGTGACGCCACCCAATTACAAACTTAATCTGTATCATGTGGTAATAAGCATTGTGTATATGTTACATAACATTTTGTTGAGGCAAACTAAAGTTGGAGAATGGAAACAAAAAATTCAGCAATTTTTCCATTTGTAAAGGGACATAACTCTAGAACGGTTATTGTGACGCCCCCAATCTTGATCTGTGTTTTGTGGTTATAAGCATTGTGTATAAGTTTCATAACATTTGGTTGAGGCAAACTAAAGTTAGAGAACAGAAACCAACTTTGGGACATACGTACAGACGTACAGACGGACAAGGGTAAAATTTAATGCCTCCTCCACTACGGTGGGGGCATAAAAATTATTAAAAAATTTCTTTTTTTGTGTGCATTAATTGTGGGTTATAAGCTTTTGGAAAATGTTAGTCACACTTTTTGAACAAAGATAATATCATCACAGTCTGACTCTGACAGACCATGCAGCAAATCTATTCAATATAAAAACTATTTAAGGAATGACTGTAATATTTTTTCTGTCTATGAAGAAATAACATCAAAAATGTGGTGCACACTGAATAACCCACATAGTGGGTTATTTTAAAGTGTGCACCACATTTTTTTTATGTTATTTCGAATAGACAGAAAAAGTATTACAGTCATTTCTTATAATTTAATTATAAATTCCATTTTAAACCGGAGTAAACCATGAAAAAACGTTGATGACGTCATGGTCACATGACAAAATTATGTCTATGAGCTGATAAACAAAACAACGTCAGCCAATCAGAAGATGCGTTACATCCAAAATTAAATTATTCAGATATAGATGAACACAAGTTGTAAATTACATTTTCCAAATCACTGTGCATAGTTGGAATGACAAAATGACACAACCCCGGAATAATTGTATTTAAACAATTCAATTTTGTGTCACTCTTAGTATATAAAACTCTTCAGTTTAGAATATGCAAGTTTTATGGAAATATTTTACCGGTGACATGCAGTGGAGAAGGTAAAACAGATCTTTGTCAATATAAAATCCAAGACTGATGCTGGGAACTCTTCAAATGTACAGCTTTTTTTTTTGAATTATTAAAATATTGTTCATGCTACTGAGTCCTAAATTGTATAGTTTAAATATATATTGAATCCAAATCAAATTTTACACATCCAAACATTTGAATACATCTTCCATTATCTTATTACGTACTGATTAACCATTGTACTTACATTTCTCATAATGACTTCATTTAAAGCATGGTATGCTATAGTAGGGTCTACCTGGCCTTGACTGAAATGACACATATGAAGGTAAATTTTCTTAAACAGAAACTTATTTTTTTCTGTACTGTAAATAATCATTTTAATTGAGTTGCACTTAGGAATTGCAATTTAAATATAATGTAGTAATCTTCTTTTCATTAAAACACTAAGTTATGTAATTCCACAGTTAAAAAATATAAAGACTAAGGTTTTCTTAATTTCTTCTCTCTGTTTTAGAACTCACATTAACCAATATATAATATAATAGCCCATGGTCAAATGCTTAGCATTTAACTATATCACAGTTCTCTGACACTATATTTTTTCTATCTTAAGTATTATACTTTGATTATGTGTTTGTTCTGTTGTACTTTACTAAAAGGTCATAAAATAATCTTTAGTATTTAAGGAATTTTGTTACCTAGTAATGTGTAATGCATCATCTCATAAATATACTTTTTTAATTTTATATTTATAAGTTTCAGTCAACGGGGTCAAAAACAAATTTAAAAGACAACAGTATTAGTTCTTGAAACTGCACGCAAGTTAAAATTCAAGCAAATGATATAACACACCAATTTACCATCGTAACTAACACCTTTTTAATTGACATTTTAAAAACACTCTTTTGTTTTATTATATCGTCTTCATCTTCCTTGAGCAATACTAAATTGAAACCAAGACATGTGCTTAAATGGAGGTATTTACACTTGTATGCAAAATTATTTGCAATTACTTACAAGTCACACTAGTTTTGGCAAAATATTGCACCACAAATAAAATTTGACATCTTAATAAAAAGTAATTGTTGCATGAAGTCAAAGGTTGTTCGGAGAAAATTCAGCTAAAGTCCCAAAAGCATAAATGCATTAGTTCAATACAAATACTCTGCCACATTGTTGTCCACTTAGTCAGTTGATTGAGATATAATGCTTTAAAGAAATAACCAAAATCTTGTATCTTAAAGTTTTTCAATTTTTAATTGAACTAATGGCTTCTATTTCTAGAAAAAAGCCCAGTTAAACTTATGTGTAAACAACAACTGCCATCTGACTTAAATTTAACATCACTGAAAGCTCAAAGTTACATAAGAAAAATGACAGAAAAGACAAAAAAAATAATAAACAAAAAAATGAAAAGTTATATAAAAATGACATCCATTGACCAATGAAACCTACACCAATAAAAAAAAATCAATGAATGGTTGATTTCTTTGTGAGATTTGAACAAAAAAATTAAGTCATTCACATATCAAGACATTTGACAATTTACCTGTACAAAATCAGGTAAAACTGTAAAAATTAAATTAAAAATAAATGGGGAATGTGTCCATGGGACACAGATGATGCCCCCGCTTGCTTATAAAGTTATAAAGGGACATAACATAAAAACGGTAAAATTGACACTACCCACATTTGACTTGATCTAAGATTTGTTGTAATAAGCATTGTGTATAAGTTTCATAACATTTGCTTGAGGCAAACTAAAGTTAGAGAACGGAAACGAAAATTTCAGCAATTTTTCCATTTGAAAAGGGACATAACTCTAAAATGGTAAAAGTGACGCTACCCAAATTCAAACTTGATCTGTGTTTTGTGGTATTAAGCATTGTGTATAAGTTTCATAACATTTGGATCAGGCAAACTAAAGTTAGAGAACTGAAATGAAAAATTCAGCAATTTTGCCATTTGTAAAGGGGCATAACTCTAGAACAGTAAAAGTGACGCCAACAAAATTCAAACTTGATCTGTGTTTGTTGGTAATAAGCATTGTGTATAAGTTTCATAACATTTGGTTGAGGCAAACTAAAGTTAGAGTATGGAAACCAATTTTGGGACGTACGTACAGACGGACAAGGGTAAAACTTAATGCCCCCTCCGCTACGGCGGGGGCATAAAAATAGTTTCACCCAACTATATGTATCTATGACATCCCTGATCAGGAGCCTCATCAATTGTTGCCTGTAGGTATAGCTCAATGTTTATTGTTCTATCCAGAGTTCAGTGATAATGGCAGACATAGTCTCAGTAGTAGTTTTCACTATTAAAGACAGAGAGATTTAGAGGTTGACATATTGAATAGACACTTATCTATTGTTGAAGACAATATGTAGACCTCTAGATCCTTCATGTTTTGTGTGTGACTGGGTTGCTGTCTAATTGACCCATATCCAATTGTATTCATGTTGTACAATCAAATTGTTTTTCATAACCAATATTTGCTATTATTCCAAAATAAATTTCCATAATTTATAATGAAATTAACATCTCTTAGTGACACATGTTGCATGGAAAATGAATCCTGTTAATATCAACTCATACATCCCACGAGTAAAACCAAACTTACACTTGAACAAATGATTTGATTGGTCTCCTAGGAAAACTGTCTCGTACAACTGCTAATAACGCCCTGTAAAAGAGAAGAAAGTTTTATTAACTAAAACTGAGTTTGTAATCCCACTGCAGCCAAGGTTTATTGGGTCTTATTAATCAAGGAGTCTATAGATGGCAGTACGAATCGCTGAAGTATATCAATTGGATATAAGTATAATTGGCTCATTGACATCTATTTGTGCAGATCACCACTACTTTTGTTTACAAATAGGCCTGAATGCAAGTCTATTATCTATTTTGAAATATATTTTCTGGGAAAAGAATAATCTGGTCCGAGTACACAGTTATTTGGTAGTGCATTTCTTTTAGACAATAAATGAAAATAAAAAAAATCCCACCTGCCCTTTCTCAATAATATTTTTACAGTGTGTTGTACTACTTTTGGGACAAATTATATCAAATTATAGAAAACTTCATCGGCTCTGACTCAAAATATAGACAATTTTATGTTAAGGGGGTCTTGAAATCTTTTGACAGCTTCCGAAGTGCTAATTTTTAACCTTTTTCAGCTGGACCAAATCACTACTGTACTTTAAAATTTAGACCCAAATTTTTTGACAGTGTCATTTCACCCCCCCCCCCTACTTGCTATTTGAGGCATAAAACATGGAGAAATAAATTTGGAAGGGGTATAAAAAAAATTGACAAGTAACACACTGTCCACACTAAGGACTATTCGTGGACAACGAAAATCAAAGGATGATAACTGTGTACTCGGACCATCTGAATCTTGATTCAATCTTCTACAGAAGTGTTTGTTGGTTTATTTTCATATATGTCTTGAAACTTCATTTTTTACAAATTATTTTGCATGGTTTGTTATTTAAAAAAAATAGCAATGTCTATCACATAGTTTAGTATAGGGTATAGCCAACCACTCAGGTGGAAGCATTATCTATAATGATAATTTACCATCTATGAAAGAGTTGTAATGAGAAGAGAGTTTCCTCACTGATACTGTTATAATCTGATACAGTGGACTTGATCTCTTCAATGTCACCATCAACTGTTAACCTCATCAGCTCGTTGAGAAGGATCTGTAGTAAAGCTACTGGTATACTGCAATATAAACACACAAGAATTATTCTTGATTCCATTTGTTAGGATGGCCCCAGCTTATACTGTAAATTCAGAAAATCTTGCAGACATTTATTATTGCAATTATTGCAGAAATGGACAACAAAGCAAGATTAATAATTACAATTTCAGGAAATGCTGAATACAAATAATGCTACAGGTAAATTTGAAATGCTAGTTTTAATTTTTGTGAAACTTTTCCCAGTGCAATTTTCTCCATAATAAAATCATCACAAAAAATTTTGAGTTTACAGTAGTATAAGTACCCAAACAAAGTACTTACATTACATTAATCCCTGAACAAATATGTGCACTTATCTTTAACGTGTGTATTTATTTGGTTTCAAAGGAATCAATTTGTGTACTTAGTCTACGTACAGCTGTTCCATGGATTAGCTGGATTCAAATATGAGCTTTTCTGTGCAGATAGCAATATTTACTGAAATTCTTTGAAACAAAAATTCACTGGGAAGCTTTATACCGGAAAATTACCTCATGCCTATAAAACACTTTGTGCCATTTATTAGTGTTCTATTTATACAATATACACCTACTTTTTGAGAAGAATGTTGAGATTCCAGTTTAAGTGAGCTGCTACTTTCAATGCCAGTAACTTCAATGCAATCACTTTTTTGCTTTCTTTAACAACTAATTTGTCTGAAAATATAACAAGTCTCTGTGAATAACCTCATAGTAAAACTCATGTAATCTCTGCTGTCTTCAGTAACTTCCACTAAATTAATGTTTAAAATTTATCTAGAAAGAAGTTTATAGTATATCAATTCAATACATAATATTTCTACATGCAATAGAAATAACCCAAGCAAAGGTACAGTGCTTTTATTGCTGTCCTTTATCTCAAAGTCCCAGTGAGGCTGTTAACATAGAGGAAAATAGCAGTCTAAGCTTGCACCTTACTGCAAGCTCAACATGTTCAAGACAGTCTCTTACACCAATTGTGGGGAATCTTTTGATAGATGTCAATAAGGTTGTACTGCGCTTTGATGCACAGAATCTAACAAATGCTGTCATATTTAGCTTGACAATCACATTGTTAAACAGAGAAACAATACATGTATAAATATGGATGACCAAAGGACACATCAAGATATTTAAAAAATAATTTTGCAGAAAATCATGTACATGTACACATAGGGCAAATGATACAGATGGATTGCATAACAATTTCTTTCAACACTAGCTATGAACAAAGAAAAAAAATTGGATCAGTACATATAAGGGAAAATATCTCATGGATAAATATGCCAAAACTGTAATAATATAAGGATATACTTATCCAGTACACAAAAAAAGGTATACATTTGAGTTACGATTACTCTCTTGGTAACATTTAATCTTTAAAAGATAATCTTTGTAAAGCATTAACCTTTCATCTTTCATGTCTTTGTACTTTTTTAATTCCAAAAACAGTCTTTATGAAAAAAACAATTGTAAAACACAATTCTTTTTATAAACTATCAACATATTCTTTGACATTGATCAATGCATATATTAAATTAGATTACAAATCAATTATTATAATTCATTATTGGGTTGACGCATATCAGACAATAGTTCTAGGTAATTTTTTATGTTTTTTTTTTAACTTAAAAAATTATGGTAAGATCTATTTTTCAGGATATCTAATGGCAATAAGTTAAACCCTAATAAATGTAATGTACAAGTTTTTTGGTACAAGTATTTTTGTTAATCAGCATATATGTGCAATAAAGTTTAAATGTAATTTGAATAATTTCATTTAAGTTTAAATAAACCATATGATTTCTTTTGTCATATTTCATACTTAGGCTATTCAATATGTAAGTGTGAATGAATACTTTTAATGCACTAATACTTAAAGGAAATCAATGACTCTATACAAAACTTTTCAAACACATCCGTCTGCTTTTAAAGTTGCTAGATTTAGACACCTAGAATATCCCTAATACATGTAAGTGTCTGTCTGACAATTGGACTAACAGAAAAGTCTGACATGCACATTTTTTATGTAAGAATTATGCTGAATTTCAGTTTTTCCTGCTTACTACGAGTTTAAACCACCAAAATAAATGAAAGATGATTTTACAATTAAAACTGCAAATATGAAATAACTATTATGGACATCATGATGATGAAGCTGAAATAACTGATACGAAATTAAGGACAATCAAATTTTACCTGAAATGTATTATTACTGTATTGTTTTTTACTTTTAAGTTTGAAAAAAAATGAAATTGTGTTCATCCAATTATATCATTAAAAATCAGATTAGCAGTGGTTCCTTATACAATTCTTCATAGTTTTTTTCTTTTCTCTTTTTTTTTTTTTTGAAAATTATATGACAGCTATCATAGGACTTACAAAACAATTCTGGGAAAAATAATGAAAAATTCATAAAAAATTATTAAATACAAACTGATTTCAAAACCTTAATAAAACCTTTAGCTTGTATAAAATATATAGCAAAAAATCACAAAATGAACAACTTTTGTCCATATACTGTATTTATTATCATTTTAACATGATAATATACTTAAAGTAGTCAGAGCATTTAAGTGCTTAATCTTTGTGGAGAATATTCTTCTCTTTTGAATCATCTGATGATTTACAGATCAAAACCTATAAAATACTTCCATCAAGTTTACAATAAACAAGCCATTAAAAATACTTCTGTTGTGTCAAAATGTTTAAAGTATAAATGTTTTCACTCCTGTCATATCTCCCTTGGTAAGGAATTTATTTGTGTAGAACATTCCCTGTGTCTATTAACTTCTAAAAAGGTTTTGGTCACAATCTATCATATTTGTTTTTAGTCTGTTATTTAGTACACAAATCAGGCTGTTGGTTTTCTTTTTCAAATTGTTTTACATTTTGTCATTTCAAAGCTTTTTATAACATTTGATATGGTGCAGTCTTTAATTTGCTCATTGTTGAAGGCCATATGTTGAACTATAATTGATTTCATATATGTCATTTGGTCTCTGGTGGATAGTTGTCTCACTAGAAATCATATCACATCTTCTTATCAAATTTATTGAAAAATAATGTACTGATAAACCTTTATCCAGTTCTTACATATACATGTATACTCAATTTAATATTCAGATAGTACAAATATCCCTACAGTATATTAAGAATCTTTTATCAATATCTTGACAATTCGATATTTTGTTAATACCTCAAATTCCTGACATAACATTACTATCATAACCCTATTCCTTTATTACAAATAATGGTGGTGGAATTTTCTAGTCAATTTTTTTTGTCTGTGTGATTAGCAAGGATAGGGTATAATACTAAAATAAAGTTTGATTCAAAATTAAGAACAACTTTTTTTGTTGCTTTCTTTGGTTGTTTTTCTTCTCCATTATTTGGATTATTCTTAAATAATTTAATTTTGGATGTAACGCGTCTTCTGATTGGTTGACGTTGTTTTGTTTATCAGCTCATAGACATAATTTTGTCATGTGACCTTGACGTCATCAACGTTTTTTCATGATTTACTCCGGTTTAAAATGGAATTAAGAATTAAATTATAAGAAATGACTGTAATATTTTTTCTGTCTATTCGAAATAACATAAAAAATGTAGTGCACACTTTAAAATAACCCGCTATGCGTGTTATTCAGTGTGCACCACATTTTTGATGTTATTTCTTGATAGACAGAAAAAATATTACAGTCATTCCTTAAAAAGACAAAAAAGGCTTTATATATCCTTAAATGCAGAATTTCAATTTCTGCTTAATCAAAGTCCTGTTCAACTGACAAGGAAAACAAACCACACAAAAATATACCTATTTAACCTTCCAAAAGTAGTATTTTTACCATATCATCTCAAAGTATAAATATTTTCTTCAGTGATCCAAAAATCAATTAAATTATCTCTGATCATTTAAACTGACATTCTCTAATAAATTTTAAAGGTTTTACAGCTGTGAAAAGACAGTGACGAAAGCCCAACAAAATTGTAACAATATGTGTATTGTTCCGTGACAGACGATATAACATATTCAAATATTGTCAATAGCTATACTAACAAAAAACTATTTACATCGACAAAAAGAAGTTTAAGAATCTTATTAAGCATAATTATTCTGGAACAGAAAGAAATAAATCTTCGTACAGGAAATCTGACTCTATGCAGGGGTTGGAAATAGGTGGAAAAATCAATTAATAACCTGACTTGTTAATCTAAAATACAATCTTACATAAATTAAAAATTCAATATCTGTCACCTTTTTGAATCTGGTCAATACTTATAGCAATAGCTTCTGAGTCTTTAAATGGGCCTAAGAACTAGTTAAAATTATCCTTACATTTCTTTAAAACAGATGAAATGCTGGCCTTAAATAGCCTTTCAAGATGATCATTCATATAATTTTCCTACACATACAAACCTACAAGCCAAAGAAACCATAGATTTCATAATTCTACAAAATTTGGCTTCCATTTTTTTTGGCAAATAGTACAAGCTTGTTATTGCAATTACATGTATCTTAATTTTAAAGAAAGATTTTTCAAGAAAAATCTAGATCTACACTGCTACAAAAAAACAGGCATCCATTTATTATCTTCTAGCCATGTGCACTTCAACATATCAAAATTGGTAAAGTATGACAAATATTGTACAGTTCCACATGTACATGTAAACTATGTAAATTAAAATTGAATGATTGATTGATTATAAGTATTTAACGCCACCTTCACCACTATTGGCTATACTGTGGCAGTCAGCTTTTATTGGAAGGATCTATATATGTAGTACCCAGAAAGAACCCCCTAACTTCAGCAGGAAAACTAACAATTCTAGTAAACAAAGATTGGAGTCGAATTCACCTACTAACATGACTAAGAGCAGGGTTCCAACTCCCAACCTCATTGTTGACCGCCAGTGATACAGTAGATGAACTACTTAGACCACTCAAGACACTGAGACCCCCAAAAATTGTAAGACAATTCCCATTGAAAAAACTTTTTAGAAAGAAGTTTAACACTGCCATTCCCAGATGAGAGGCTGCTATGGGGAAGATGCAAATGATGCTTAAATTTAATAATTATACAAAAAATAAATTGCATGTTTATGAAAAAATTTGTAAGGGTTCCACGGAACCCAGTGTCTCGCCCACTTTTGCTGTTAATCGCAGGCTCAACAAAAATGAGGAAAAAAATTAATAAAAATATTCCTCTCTATACTATCTTTTGATTGAAAGTAGGTCCTGTCCAAGTTTGGTAAAAATCCAGGATAGTTTATGAATCTAAAAAATGTTTTAAAAACTTAAACTGCAGACTGTATGTAATGTTAACTGGAAGAAAAACTAAGTCCATTTATAAGTAAAATATGGAAAAAATGGAACAAAATTTTAACAAAATTTCCTTCTAGATACTAGCTTTTAATCATAAACAAGCTTCTGTCCAAGTTGAGTACAAATCCAGTATAGTTTAAGAAAGTTATTAAAATTTCAAAAACTTTAACCACAGAGTGAATATTTGTGGACGCCGCCGACAATGTCCTTAATATGTTATCTAGACAGTCAAACGATGAACATGTAGCAGTATTCAGTCATACTTAATAGTCCTTGAAATGTTCTCTAGACAGTCAAATGATGAACATGTAGCAGTATTCAGTCATACTTAATAGTCCTTGAAATGTTCTCTAGGCAGTCAAACGATGAACATGTAGCAGTATTCAGTCATACTTAATAGTCCTTGAAATGTTCTCTAGACAGTCAAACGATGAACATGTAGCAGTATTCAGTCATACTTAATAGTCCTTGAAATGTTCTCTAGACAGTCAAACGATGAACATGTAGCAGTATTCAGTCATACTTAATAGTCCTTGAAATGTTCTCTAGACAGTCAAACGATGATCATGTAGCAGTATTCAGTCATACTTAATAGTCCTTGAAATGTTCTCTAGACAGTCAAACGATGAACATGTAGCAGTATTCAGTCATACTTAATAGTCCTTGAAATGTTATCTAGACAGTCAAACGATGAACATGTAGCAGTATTCAGTCATACTTAATAGTCCTTGAAATGTTCTCTAGACAGTCAAACGATGAACATGTAGCAGTATTCAGTCATACTTAATAGTCCTTGAAATGTTCTCTAGACAGTCAAACGATGAACATGTAGCAGTATTCAGTCATACTTAATAGTCCTTGAAATGTTCTCTAGACAGTCAAACGATGAACATGTAGCACTATTCAGTCATACTTGATAGTCCTTGAAATGTTCTCTAGACAGTCAAACAATGATCATGTAGCAGTATTCAGTCATACTTAATAGTCCTTGAAATGTTCTCTAGACAGTCAAACGATGAACATGTAGCAGTATTCAGTCATACTTAATAGTCCTTGAAATGTTCTCTAGACAGTCAAACGATGAACATGTAGCAGTATTCAGTCATACTTAATAGTCCTTGAAATGTTATCTAGACAGTCAAACGATGAACATGTAGCAGTATTCAGTCATACTTAATAGTCCTTGAAATGTTCTCTAGACAGTCAAACGATGAACATGTAGCAGTATTCAGTCATACTTAATAGTCCTTGAAATGTTCTCTAGACAGTCAAATGATGATCATGTAGCAGTATTCAGTCATACTTAATTATAAACTCTCTTCTTTCTCAAGTTATGTTACTAAAATCAATGAATACAAGATTTTTCAAAAGGCTTGAACCCCCCAAAATTTCGAAAATTGTGACTCACAAATTTACAGTTTTATAATATTTAAAGATTGGATACAGAATTACTGACAATTTTGATGATACTTGTGTAGGGTACAATGTAAGTTATGAACGTATTATTTGATATGACTAGCTTGAATAAAGGTCTAGCTTAATATTGCAGCATGTTTACCAAACTTTAAAGTGTGACTTTCAGTCCCTATGGACCATTTTCACTTCAAAACTGTTAAAAAACAAGTCATGCAAAATCTGTTTAAAATAAATGTATATATAGCACAGTGATTTGGAACTTGTCATGAAGCATTATATTTGTGAGTTGTTAAATTAACTGCATTAGCAATTTTGCTCACAAATTTCTTCTGGAGTTGCTTGCTATGAAATTTAATAAATTCTTTAAAATATTAAATCTATGTGTTTTATTTACTTTAAATCATGAAACACCTTTTTAAAAGTGTTTTCTTCATCCTATCACAATGGCTGCCTTATGAACCAGTCTTTTAGGTCAGCTTATAATACCTATCCATGTTAAAATGAGCATAGAGCAAGAAATGTAGGAGTTATTACTTTACTATATATATTTGAACATCCTGAAACAATATGAGCAAACTTTGAAAATTGCTTTACATATTGCAACTAACAAATATTATGGTAAATGTTAAAGTTCAAATCATTGTGATGCAAAGTTGCTGAGAAAACAGTCATGATTTTTTTTTAATATGACTTACATTTGGGAAATATTTAGAGCAGGAATTTTTTCCATGAAACAAGTGAGCAAAATTGCTAATGCAGTTAATTTAACAACTCACAAATATAATGCTTCATGACAAGTTCCAAATCACTGTGCTATATATACATGAAGTTACAGCGAAATATGTAACAATTTGTTTTTTTAAACATGGGCGAAATATATAAATATACCATGAATATTTCCATCCTCAGACCTGGAATCATTCTGACCATTAGGTGTAGTTGGTATTTCCCTTACCAGGGCAGTGCTGGCTGCTAGATGAGCTTCTGCTTGCTGTAAAAACTGTATGATCAACTGACAAGGTGAGGGATCTACAATAATAGTTTTTTTTAAATAAATACAAGATATTTTGTTAAAACTACAGTGCATTATTATTTGTATACTTTTCAGTCAGTTGTTTTTCAAATTTCTTTTACAGTACATAAAAGGTCATGTCCACAAAGGTGGATACCCCTTGGAAATACGTTGATTTTAGACAGAATAACCACTTTCTACATTCCAGTTCATCACTTTGATAATAATTAATTCCATAACATGATAAATACACAATGTGACATATTATACGGATTTTAAGGATGTTTGCTACTTTTATTTTTTTACTTTTTGGTTAGATATTCAGAATCCTCTAGTTTTATCCATGTAGTCCCAATAAATATTTTCCCACAAACCCTTCTTTTCTTTTCCAAATTTTATTACATATAGTTTAAAAATCCATTTTTTTTTAAATATTTGTTATTTTTTCATAGTTTTTGAAAGAAAAAAAGTGCAAATTTTAAATGTATGAAAAATCTAGAGAGAATCATTTCCCGCCAAATTTTCAATTGATTATAAATATCTCCAAAACAATGACATATTTCTTTCATCTTTTTAAGTTTCGTTATTTTTATACTATCAATTTATAACAGTCTTTTAAAAAGCTTGACATCTTTTTAAAACAGAAAAGCAAACATCCTTAAACTAACAAAATCACAATATGCAGATGTCAAACAAAGGGCGAAAGATACCAATGGGATATTCAATAACATAAGTCGAAAAAACAAACTGACAATGCCTTGGCATAAAATGTAAAACCACCAAAAGGCAAAACACAACATGGAAAACTAAAGACCTTAAGTTAATAACATGCCTCTAACATGCATGACATGTCTAAGATTAATTTGAAGCAAGAAAATCTTGAAAAATTCATTTGTTATCTTAGATGTTAAAATGTCAATGCATGTATTTTGTTATTTATTTTTTTAGCTTTATTTCCATTTTCTACATTATTTCATTTTCATTATTTTAGATTCATTATTACCAGTGCATTTGTAAATTACTTTGTGGCAATAGTTTTAGAGGATCTTTAAAGTAACAAACAAAAAAATCAATGTTACAATTTTTCTCTGCTTGCTTCTTAACATCCATATGTATCTTACACTGCTTTCTAAGTGACAAAGAGTTTGTAACTAATGTATTGTTAAATTAATATTTGACATGTCACATATGTTATGTCCACTGGCTTAAAAATGGGTCCAAATTCAATTTTAAAGTCAAGTGGTCAAACTCTGGTCTTTATATAGTGCACCATTTTGATGTTAAAGACGAGAATCAAAATTGGCAAAATTTAAAGACTGAAAACTTAGCACAAATAATACATGTAAAAAAAAAATGTTGTCCGAGAGAACTTAAAATTTATTTTTGAATTGATCAATCGTAAAAAGAGTTGTCTTGTATAATAAAAAACAATTAATTTTGGAGAAGCTGTTTCAAAGAGATCCATGATATTATTCATGATTATGTGACATACTAAGAAGACTTTGTAGAATGTATACATTGTACTATCCTGACAACAGACTTTGTGAGACTGCACAGTCCTTTACAGTTCTTTGATGATATCTGGCTACTATTTGTTAATATGCTGTAGATACAAATGTATGAATATATATAATTATTTATCCGCTTAAGAAGTAAAAGGTTAAGTCAAATATATAAATAAAGATATCATAATAAAAATATATTTAGGTTTGTTTAGCATGTTTAGTGGCATTTAAAAGGTGCTTGGTAGTGTTCGGCAGTGTCATTAAGACCAACAGATCAAAGTCATTTTTTCTGGATGATTTGAGACATATTCCTCTTTCTGAAACAATTTTTTCCCACCTGCCATCACTATAAGTACATGAAGTATATACATGCACATGATATATATTTTATCCAATTTTATGCCAAGGCTTGATTGCCAGACCCATATATATAAATGTTGATACACATATGTGTTTGTGTGTTTATGATTATCTTATAATTATGTCTGTTGTTAAATTTTGGTAACAATTCTGTAATATTGGATTCAAAAACCAATAAAATATTGTATCAGTACATCTACGTCATACGCTGAACTGTAAATCCTGACCAATACTCAACGCTTCCAGTGGGCGCAAGAAATACAGCATCTTAGCTAGCCATTGGGGTTCCAATCCAGTCCCCTCCTCTCCACCCTTGGCAGATTAAGCCAACACTTGTGATTACAATGCTGCTCCATCTACCAGTACTGCTGATAGATAAAAGTCACGCCCATAGGCTATTTCTGGAATCATGTCTTTCACCGGAAAAGATCGTCAATTTCCCACGCCTTAATGACGTCATTTACCAGATAGAAGGCACGCCTGTATCCCTGCTCTATTACAGTTTCAAGCACTTTCAGAATCGTCATTTTGCAGGGTAGTCTAGAAATAATTTATGTTCCGTAAGTATGTAATCTTAATACCCGTACGACTGAAGGGAGGTTGACCAACTTAAATATTCTAATTTTCCAAATAATTTGTGCAGTATACGATCAAACTTTTTCATCCGTTCGCTCGACGTGTGTTGGAAGTGACGATGCCTACATTTTGGTCACATGGTGATGGAAGTCACATGACAGATTCAATCATCATAAAGGTGCTTTTTGATTGGATGCAGCCAGTTATAACTGTGACCAATGGAAATCAATACCTTGTGGATCGGATAATTCTATTTTGATCCGCCAAGGGTGGAGAGGAGGGAACTGGATCGTAAACCTTAGCAAAGATGGAAATACAATAATTTTATAAGATAAAACCAAAAATATACAATGCAAGTATATTAGTATTTCAGGAAATAATAAACATAAATAAATTAAAGATAAATGAATCATGCAAGGCAATTCTTTTAATTAGCATGAAAGCAAACACCCATAACTGCTGCTGAGCTGCAATCAATGCTGTTCATCTGTTTATTTGATTAATTGCAATAATTGTCTAAACCTGTAATATATATATATTTCAGCTACACAGTACAATGTAGGTAGGGGAGCGTCTTTTTACCACAGAACACCACAGAATACCACAGAATACCACAGAACACCCAAAATTTACCACAGAACTTCGAAATATTAATACTTCAGACATTATTATCATGTTATTGTTCATTCTTTTAATAATTTGACATTTATTATTCAAATAAATTTAATTTTTCTATTTAGGGTCGACTCACTATCGCTACGCCCCCAACTAAATGGCCAATAATTGGGATCATACCGAAAACCCCTAGCTATTAAAACCATAATATACAAAGATTATTTATATTTGTGACATTTATATTTTAAATACATTTTAATCTTTTTTGTAATTTTTAATTCATTTTTGAATATACTTAATTATTTGTTAAATTTATTTTGTTTTATCAGTTTTTTTTTCACTATTTTATTATTTTTATGTTAAGAGTTGTTACAATAAATAATAAAAATGGTTAATGTGACATTTAATTAAAGTTGTTGTCAACAAATAATTAAACTTTATAAAAGTGATTAAAGGAGTTTGTTAAGCTGATATCTAAGAGTTGTTTCAAACAATTATTTAAACTTGACTAATGTTTCTACATCAAAGTTTTCTCCTTTAGAGTTAAATATAAAACAATCCTGTGTTAAGGGCTACAAATACTTTCAAAAAGATATCTGAACTTGTTGTAGGACAGTTATATTTGAGTTGACTAATAACATATTATAAGTGTGTCTTTTAAATTATCAAAAAGTTCAAGTTCGATGACTGTTTTTGGATTCTTATGTTGTGTGTGTATCTTCTCTAATCATTTGACAATATTTCGGATTTTTACCAAATTTTGTATGCATTTAGAAATCGTTGAACTGAAACTTTATATCGAAAAAACTTGTATATGTAGCATTTACATATAGATTCTATATTTTTGAGTCCCAAATTAATGTTGACCCTAGCAAGTTCACCGACACAATTTTTAAAAGTACCAAAATTTAATTAGATTAGCCAATTTTGACACTTGTCGTAATCACCAATCAAGCCAATTAACATGTCATTTAAGATTTCACACCTGAGACATCAAATTACATTTAATTGAATTACCTTGTATAATCAGGTGGCAACTAGAATCCAAACAATGAAGAATATTGTAAATATTCCATTATTAATGATATATATATTATATTAAATAGAATGTTGATAGCAGTCTTCCTGTTCTCTAATCATTGTCAAGTAATTTCAAGAATACAATTTTTATAATAATAAAAATTCAAGATTAAAATGTGAGCCGATGTTCAACATCATTTTAGTTGAAAAATTATATTTATTGTCTTATAGGTTTATTCATTTCACAGAAAAAATAGTTACATATGAGAAATATTAACTCTTTCTGCCAATCAAGCCAATATTATTCATAGCGTGATTCGCGCCGGTAAAATCCGTCAGGTCAACTTTTTTTGTAGAAAAACATTTTTTTTACTATAAAAGTTATATTTTCATATAAAATATTCATTAATCTCGCAGATTTCTTAATTTAATGAAAAAATTTTTAAAAAGAAAAAGCAAAATTAGCACTTTCTGTCGATCAGATCAATATTATTCGTAGCGTAATATTCGCTGGTAAAATCCGTCAGATCAACTTTTTTTGTAGAAAAACATGTTTTATTTATATAAAGTTTTTATTGGTAAACAACATATTTAATAAACTCACAGATTTCTTAATTTCACGGAAAAATATTGTAAAACAAAAGAGATATTGACACTTTTTATCGATCAGTTCAATATATTCAAAGCAAATATTGATCAGCGACTGTGAAAACCGTGCGGTAAATGTTTTTTGCTCAAAACTATTTTTTTAAATGTTTATTTTAGATTTTCATTATTACAATGCATTAGTTTAGTGTCTCAAAGGTCTCCAAATGTAAAAAAAATATGCCAAAAAACTAAAAAATTATATCTCATCCAGTCAATCGTCATGTCATTGGTGTAACCCGAATTAAAGAAATAATATAATTCTGAATTATTAGATTTGCGTTTTATAAAGTAAGTTTAATGTTCTGTGGTATATTTCAGTAGTTTTATTGTATTTTGTGTAGTTCTGTGGTATATTTTGAGTGTTCTGTGGTATTCTGTGGTGTTCTGTGGTATTCTGTGGTGTTCTGTGGTAAAAAGACGCTCCGTGTAGGTAGTATCCCATTTGTGTGTCCAACCTGATAAATTACCTGGATTTTGTTGTTGCAAATGATTATCCAGTTTATGCTCATCTAACAGAAACTCAAACCAAGATACACTAGACATTGACATTGAAGTGTGTCTCATCATCTCATCGCTGGGCATCACGATATCTGACATTTTGACTTCTGAGGTTAAAACATTCACAAGACGTCAAGAGTATTTAGCTTTAGCTACAGAATAAAAGTTATACACACTGGCAGCACAGGGGTAATGTTTCACCACAAGTTTACAATTTCATAATTATTTTCACGTGTAATGCAATACATTGGCAATTAATGATCATAACTTTTATCCATAAACAATCTAGTAGCATTCTCTGTCGGCTGTTGTGCTAGTGACAAGCACCTGTGCAAGGGAATTAACCGGGAATTGAATTCCGGTGTTGGTTATTTTGATAAAGAAAAGATTTCATTTCAAAACGAGTGTGGCTATCCGCACATAAAAGATTTTATTTCTTATAATGCTGGACGAATATTATTATTCCAATTATCATTTCACGTTTCTTAGGGTCGACAAAGGGTCTAAATTCAAATAGATAGATTTTTTTAATAATTCGCCAAATGTAGTTTACATCATGTATTTTTTCTCCAAAATATTGTAAAAAGTATGGGTCATGCAGCCGGAAACAATCGAATTTTAAGAAAAAAAAATATGAGAATAGCAGTCTTATAACGTGCGTTCAGACAATTAAAAGAAAACTTAGGGTAACGGGACTTGTTTTTTCATTACAAAACACCATCCTATTTAAAAGTAAGGTTATCTGAGTTATCTCCCTTTATATAGCAAAGTTTGAAAAAAAATGAATCACACAAAAAAAATTCTGTATTTTTTTAGAATCAATTACAATAATAAAATAAAACACATGATCATTTCTTCCTTAAAATGAAATTTTTACGAATGAAATGTATTCTTCTATCAAAATTTGAATAATTTATTAAAGATTTATACCGATAGTGTCAGTCTGTTGTTTAGCAATCTAAGATGGCGGCTCGCCGACCGTGCAAGGGCTGTATAGCCAGTCAAGGTCGTTAAAAACTTCCATTTGTTGATCTACCTCAAAATAATTTTAAGTGAAGCATTTATCAACGAATGTTTTGCAGATAGTATTTATCAAATTGGGCTTATTGTATTAAAGCAGAGACAGATAATTATTGAATTATATGTCTCTGATAAAAGTAAGGAAATAAAAATATACCTGAAACGTATTATTCCAATGTGTAATTCATTTTTATAATATTCTCAGTAGAAACCAATCAAAACCCATTAGTTAAAGAAAGACAGACAACATTATATCCAAGAAAAAAGAACGAAAATACAAAAAACACAGTCTAAATGATAATAAAATTGAGAATGGAAATGGGGAATGTGTCAAAGAGACAACAACTCGACCAAAGAGCAGAAAACAGCTGAAGGCCACCAATAGGTCTTCAACACATCGAGAAAATCCCGCACCTGGAGGCGGGCTTTAGCTGTATCTTTATCTGTATAATACTGGAAATGAACCCAAATATTGCTGAGTAAAACTTATCCAGGAAGTGTGTGTGCGCCACTGACGTAACTAGTCGCGCAAGATAACTGCCTTAAAACTTTCCACAGTTATACAGTTCACTGCAGTACTTGGTAATAAGTTCCAATCAATAATAGTTTGTGGAAAAAAGAATGTTAATAAATGTCAGTATTTGCTGATAAAAGTTTAAGTTGTTTGACGTTTGAAGTTCTCGATGGTCTAGTGTTAAATTCGATGTGATGTTCAGTGGGGATGTCTACCAGGTCGTTCACTATTTTGTACAGTAGTACCAGACGCGGTTCTCGTCTTCTTTCCACAAGAGGTTTCCATCCTTCATCATGGAGGTGACACTACTTTTTGTACGCCTATAGTCTTTACAAACGAACCTAGCTGCTCTTCGTTGTATGCTCTCTATACGGTTAATGTCTTTCTGTAGATATGGGTCCCATACAGTGCCTGAGTAATCCAAGACTAAACGAACAAGAGAGATGTAGGCGATTTCCTTAAAATGTTTGTTGCAGTGTTTTAGGTTCCTTCTAATAAATCCCAGTGTAGCATTAGCTTTGTTACAAAATTTGTTAATGTGAGATGACCATTTCAAATTATCGCTAATGATTACACCTATGTACGGATTTTCACTGACTTGCTGGCCCAGAAACAAAAATGTATATTAGTTCAGAGAAAATGGACGTCACACTAAATTCCGAAACATGTAAATGAACCAAAATTAAAAAAACATACAAGACTAACAAAGGCCACAGGTTCCTTGCTTGGGACAGGCGCAAAAATGCGGCGGGTTAAACTTGTTTTGTGAGATCTCAACCATCCCCTATACCTCTAGCCAATGTAGAATAAACAAACACAAAGCAATACGCACAGTAAAAGTCAGTTTAAAAGAAGTCCGAGTCCGATGTTAGAATAGGTAACAGGAGAAACTAAGCAAAATGACAATGATCAACATAAATTAACAAAGGACTACTAGCAGTTACTGACATGCCAGCTCCATGCCTCATTTAAACTAATTGAAAGATTATGTCTTCATTATATGAAAATCAAGAACAATCCCTCCCGGTAGGGGTTTAATATAATTAATATGTATCAAAATATAAAAACGTTTGACAAGAAAGGAAACGATTTTTTTCGAATTTTTCATATCTCACACAGGAGTTAAACAAGGTGACCATTATCCCCGTTCTTACTTTCTTTGTTCCTTAATGATTCAGAACATTATTTTGTTGAAAACAATATAGAAAGTCTAGAAAATATTTCAAATCTGTGTTTGGAATCACTACAAATGTGAATTAAATAGTTTTTGTACTGTACGCAAATCAGAAGGATTACAAAAAAACCTAAGACTTGTATGTTTTGAAAAATACTGAAAAAATGGAAACTTAAAATTAACAAAAACAAATTTAAAGTAGTGATTTTTAGCAAGAAGGAAGTAAAAAAAATCAGAATTTTAAGATATATGGAGAAAGCGCTGAAATATTCGATTCTTACTCCTACCTTGGTATACTTTTCAATTACAACAGTATAGCTTGTGAACTGCAAGAAACAGAAGTCTTTGTATGCTCTGTACCGAAAAATTAAAAAAAGAATATATTCCCATCGAGTTGGGTCTTTTTGAGTCATTAGTTATATAAAAATAAGAAGATGTGGTGTGATTGCCAATGAGACAACGCTCCACCAGAGACCAAGTGACATAGAAGATAACACCTAAAGGTACGGCCTTCAACAATGAGCAAAACCCATACCGCATGGTCATCTATAATAGGCCCCGAAATGACAAATATAGGACAATTCAAACAAGAAAACTAACGGCCTGATTTATGTACAAAAAAATTTACGTAAAACAAATATGATATACAGTAACAAAGTAACGACAACCACTGAATTACAGGCTCCTGACTTGGGGCAGGCACATACAGAATGTGGCGGGGTTAAACATGTCTGTGGGCGCCCAACACTCCCCTAGCCTGGGACAGTGGTGTAACAGCACAACATATAATCAATCTATAAAAATCGATTGAAAAGGATTCATCAGATCGATACAAAGCAGAAAAACAAGTAACAAATACACAGACAGGACGTGGCAGAAAATTTATACATCCCACAACAGAAAAAGTCACTAAGTACAGATCTGAAAGTACTCGCAGTTAGTGACAGCTAGTTCAAAGCCAATAACAACTAATGAAAAAATCATGTATCTAAAGTATCTATCAGTCCACATCCAACATCCAATGGATTTAGTGTAAAGACGTCATTAACAGTCAGAGACAAAAAACATTATCTTGTGCAATGCCAAAATACAGACATCGACAGCTTGTAGAACCGTGAATGTTCATATGTATATGTATATAACAATAATAATAGTTCGGTTTTAATTCACTGATAACACAATCAACATGTATACAAATAAAAACAATATTCCTGTAATACTATATGCTTTAGAGGTATGGAGATTTGAAAGTAAAGATAGCATACATAGAGAAAGTACGCCTTCAATTTTACAAACACATTTTGAAATTAAAAAACAGTACACCAAACTATATGGTGTATGGGGAACTTGGAATATTCGCTTTGGAAACTATTGTTAAATGTAAAATGATGTTGTTTTGGAATAGTTTACTATTTGAAAAACAAGTTATCATCAGTCATGTATGAATTAATGTTAAAATTAAATTTTCAAATTACATTTTCAATATCCCACAAAATTTAAATGGATAACGTATGTCAATAGATATAGGAAGATGTGGTATGAGTGCCAATGAGACAACTCTCCATCCAAGTAACAATTTATAAAAGTAAACCATTATTGGTCAAGGTACGGCCTTCAACACGGAGCATTGGCTTAAACAATACGGTATTGTCTATTGTAAACAGACTACATAAACATAAGCTCTAGCTTATAATGTGAGCATTTCAAATCGACTACTTTACAATTATATACACAAGTATACAAAAGATATAGAAACAACTCAATAATGTTAAACATAACATATAACACGTACAAAGCACACACAAATAACACTAATGTTAAGCACATTTAAACAAAGTAGCACCTTAGTAATTGTGTTTTAACTACGAAAGAGTTGTTGACAGCTTTGTGAGCTGGTACAAAAACAAATCTTTTTAAAGTCATGATATCATTAAATAAATAAAAAGTTGTTAAAGTCACGATATCATTAAATAATTGAAAAGTTGAATCAAAGGACGATTTAAAAATGAAGCCTACATCTTAACAAGGATTTGTATAGAGTCTCACTATACAAATCCTTGATCTTAATAAATCTATTTAAAAGTGTATACATATACTCAATTATATAGTATACCATTTTTTATTTTTTTTTTTTTTTTTATTATTGTGACTTTATTTCCTGTGACTTTTTTCATGCGACATTTTATCCGTGACTTTTATTCCGTAACTTTTTTTTTCGTGCATTCTTCTAAAAAAAAGTCTGCAAGTCCTTGTACTGTATACATGAACTCTTTCTTTTCTTCATGCCCAATTTATGAAAACAAATATGGCGACCTCCAGTAGCGATGGGAAAATAGAAGATTTTTTAAAACCCGAGGCAAATATAGCTTTAACTTAATATTTTTTTTAAAATCATCTAATGAGTTAAACAGGAAATATGTTTTTCTAGATACATGTCTAATTTTAAAGATTGAGAAATCCACTAATTCTTTTTTATTCGGACATTTTATGCAAGACAGAATTTTGCTGTCTTTTATTTTTAATTAATGTTCGTTCCTCTTATGATCCTTTTGTCAATTAATGCCGTGTTTACACGTCAAAATCAATTCTGAGTTTAGACAAACTTGTACATTTCAAAAAGTTTTGCAGCATGGACATGATGGATGGACATAGATATATGAAATAAAATGCATTTACTTTTATTGGAAATAATTTTTTTTCTCAATTTATATGTGCAGTTGTTTTCCATTTGTACACAGAAGGTGTACATGTCAAAATAAACTAAGTTAGGTAAAACTCTTGAGATGTTCCCCTCTGGTAGAAATTGCCTTAGGTATAAGAGATATCTGCCTAACAATAGATCATTTAAATAGTGTGAGGGAACAGTATAAAGCTAAACCTAGGCACCAGCTACATGTGGGGAAACTTGAAGGTTGTGTCACTTCACCAACCCATTAATATATACTGATGATATAAAAGAAACACAATGTTATCATTTCAGCAATTAGTCTTAAAAGTAACAATTATTTTTAGTCACTGTTATGTTTTCAGTCTGATCAAAGTCTGACAGTGCCCATAAATCAAGCTGAAGGTGTTTTCCAGGGATAAAATAAAATAATCTCAAAATTCCCCCGAAAGTTTTTCTGAAACGCCAAATGTATAGCAGTTTTACCAAATGAATTTCATATTTCAGGAACATTATATTTTTAGAAGTTGCCTATAGACCCCTGATACATGTGTTTAATCCAGACTTGTCCTATGTACATGTTTAGAGTATGACCATAGTACATGTACATGCATGATATGCACGTCGGTGCTACATTTGTTAAAAATTCCAAAACAATCATGTCATATAATAAAACAACAGATGAATATCATTACCTATTTAATCAAAATTAATTCAGAAATAATAAATTACTTTGATTTCATTTCAACTTTATTCTTCAATGACCATACATTTTAGCTGCTTCACTGGCCAAAGAAACAAGATTGGCTCTTTGAAATTAAATGACTGTTTTATCAATGTCCTGTTTACCACATGTATGACTGATTTATACATCAAGCCACAGGATTATGGCTTATATTTGATATGAATTCATTAACAAATGATTAACAAAATGTCAATCAAATGACTGAATTTAAATCAACTTTGATATGCTTTGATTCTTATAATTAATTCATTTATATTATTTTGACAGTATGAACAGTGCATGGTATGTACTGGTTTCCTTGGCAGTAATTTCGGACAACCTGTATGTAGCAGTTGTCATTTATTTCTCTTTTGTAATGACATAAACTTAGAGGAGGGAGAGCAGGAAGTATACAATGAGGTAAGGCTAATTATCAAGGGCATCATTGAAAAGGTAGATCAGGAACATTTAAAAGTAGCATTGTCAAGCAGCTAGAGCTTACTATACAGTATTTTTTTCCTCATTGTTGAAGGTTATATTTGCTTATATCCACATCTTTTGGTCTCTTTTGAATAGTTGTCTCATTGTCAATTATACCTCATCTTATTTTTATATAATAGGCAGTACTTGCCTATTTTTTGCCTACAATTTTTTTTTAAAGAAGTGGGCAATTGAAGCATACCGGTAGTAACATAGGGAAAACTGCAGTCTACTACCTTCTCTTGAAAGGTACAACATTGTACAAAGGCTTGAAATACAAATAAAATAAATATTTGAAGATAAAGCAGCAAAAAAAAAAAATGAAATGTTGAAAATGACATTTAAAAAAATATTTAGGAAAAGAAATGTCAAATTTATTTTATTTTACAAAGCTAATTTTAAGAAATGGCCATATTTTTACAGAAGGATGATTCCGATGCAGATTCAGGTAATGAGGAACCAGTTGAATCTTTTGATTTCTACACAAAGGAAGAGGAGTATAGGGCCAGGAAAATCAAATCACTCAATCATAAAACAGATAAATTAGCAGAGAGAATTACTTCACTTACTACACCTAGGGAACCAGGCAGTGTTCCTGAAGGACTGGTTGATTCCATGCCACCAGAAGGTAAATACCTCATACACATATAAATTAAATGACATTGAAGACTGGCTTCTCATGAACACTGACTAATCTATTCTTTGTAGCCACAAGTAACTGTTTGAATCATAATACAGCAGATCCTAAAAAAATTACCAAATTGAATAATATGACTCATAGACACAGTATTTTATTTTATACAAGACTTGAATTTTAGTATTTCATTTTGTATACCATTAATTTACTTCCATGAAATTATCCACATAAACTTTTTGTTCTTTTGCAAAAAAACCACCAAAAATTCAGGAAGGTCAAATAGGAAAACAACAAATAGCTGATACAAGAACCTTTACATGAGTGAATTTGAAACCAAATCTGTTCAAAATTTTACCATCTCTATTGTTTTTAGTTGTGATTATCAAATTTGATGCTCATTTGCCATGTGTATAATGTTAATAGCTATACATGTATTGAAGTGATCACTAGATTTTTACCTGAAAACTTTTACTGTATGGTTGCTGTCATAACATTTCCATGTATATGTTTTGAGAACCACTAAATGCTTTCCCAAATCAAGACACAAATAAATATCTCTGATATAACCGATAACCGACTGTTTCCTTCGACTTGTAAAAAAAAAGTTATTTTAAGGGAAATGTAATGTCATTTAACAGATATCAGTTGGAACAGAAAGGATATGGGTTAAATACATTTGAGAAGTTGTCGACACTTGTATATATATTCTTCATCCTTTATTCTTTTGTCATAAGTTATATATTGTTAATACATTTGTTATATTAGTTAATTGAAAACTATTTGGTATTGCAGTTTTATTAGTTGTGTTCAAATACCTAGATGACATATCTTTATGGACAGCTGGACAAGTGTGTTCTAGATGGCGTCAAATATTAGAAGGGGAGACAACTGAATTACAGTGGAGAGAATTCTGTAAATTACGATGGCCATTATTTTATCCACAATATAGAGTGAAAGACTGGAAAACTATTTACACTAAACTGTAAGTTTAACTCATACTATTTAAATGGGTCCTTTGTGGTTTTGAATTGTCTATAAAGTAGTTCATCTACAGTTATCACAAGCCTGTCAACACTCACGTTGTGAGTTCAAACCAGCTCGCGGCAGATGTGTAAAGCTTCAATCTTAATTGACTGAGATTGCAAGTTTTTCTGCTGAAGGCGGATGGTTCTTTCAAGTATTTAAATCTTTTCCCACCAAAAGTGGCTGTCATGAGAGCTGAAAGTGGCATCAAACACCAACAATCGAATACTGTTTAGAACTATGCATGAATTTTTTAAAAATTGCTCATTTAATAATTTGGTGAATTGAATTTAGAACTAGTGCTTCATTAAGGAGAAAAATAAAGAATTGTTTATATCAAATCCACTTGTATATTAAAATAAACATGATAAATGGAGAATGTGTTCATGGGACAAAGATGAAGCCCCCGCTTGCATATAATGTTATAAAGGGACTTAACTAGATAACTGTAAATGTGATGCCACCCAAATTCGAACTTGATCTGTGTTCAATGGTAATAAGCATTGTGTATAAGTTTCTTAAAATTTGGTTGAGGCAAATTGAAGTTAGAGAACGGAAACGAAAAATTCAGCAATTTTTCCATTTATAAAGGGGCATAACTCAAGAACTGTAGAAGTTATGCCACCCAAATTCGAACTTGATCTGAGTTTTGTAGTAATAAGCATTATGTGTAAGTTTCATAACATTTGGTAGAGGCAAACTAAAGTTAGAGAACAGAAACTAAATTTGAGACATACACAATGTACGTTTTTGACGGACATACAGACAGACAAGGGTAACACTAAATGTCCCCTCCACAGCAGAGGAGGCATAAAAGTATAAATTTGAAATAAAGAAATTTTCATAAAAGCTTAATGGAATATAAAGATAAACAAGACTAAAATTGGGAAAGTTAGGTTTAGGATTAAAAAAAAGCAGGAGCATTCCCTAAAATGAGAACAGATATACATGATATATAAAATACCTTTATATTTTAAACTTTTTGTGAGTAATAACATGTAGGTGAAATCAATGGCCGAAGAAGTTATATGTTAGTAAGTTTTTTAAAGGATGACCAAAAGTCTTGAGATAAAGCCACAGGTGCTGAAAATACTATATTAACAATCAATCTTGAAATCAATAATATAGATGTGTGAACTAAATAAAAATTAAATTAAATTTATTAAGGAATTATTCTCTGTTTTACAGATTAGAAAGTTCACCATGTAGATACTGTTTAGAAAGCATGATGTTACAGGTTAGTATTAAATATCTGCCTTGAAATCATCTTGATTGAAATCAGATGTGCCGCTGTTGTCAATGAGAATGTGATACACCAAAATCCACAAGACTTTTAATTGAATCTCTAAAGAGTATAATATATAGCCTAATAAAATCTGCTATATTCCATATTATATAAAATACCTTTCAGAAACCTATGCTAAATTTATATAACAATTTCATCTTGATGAAAATAGGATATGAGTGAGAAGCTCATAAAACAATGTCAAAATAAAATACTAACAACTAGAAGTGCCAGAATTGTTTGTAAATGAATTTTCCCATAGTCACTACAAAGTCATCAAAGATAAAACAAATTCTCATATCACACACGATTGTCTGACACCAATATTTTAAGATGATCCTTTCATGAACTATTTTATCTGAAAGGAGGTTAGCTTGAATCTCCTTTCGAAACCCCATAGAAAAAAATATGAGGCTGATTATTATAGAGTGGAATAGACACATCTGTATACAATCTCAACATCAAAGCATAGCGAAAGTACATTTTGTAATCCAAGATTCCTTTTAGTAACAAACTACAGATGATTATAATTAGAATATTACTATTTCAAAATTTAAAACTTCTTAAAAATACTGTGCATGACCATAACTTCTCATATAGTCTAGTGGTACATAAATAGCAAAGTAATGCATGTAATGGTAAAAACATCACAAAGGACAGATAGAACATATTCTGACACTATAGTGGTGTGAGATTAAACAACACTTAAGACCTCTGAAGCATGTATGTTTATATGTACCTTAGTGTAATACATGCTATTTAAAACTAGACGCCTAGACATGGACACATATAAATATACATACCTACCCATTGTGATGCTGTTGTCAATGAGACTTCTCTGCACCAAGGTGCACAGGACTTTAAACTTAAACTAAAGAAAAATTATATGACCTAGAATATTCTGCAAAATTCCATACTATATAGTTACCTATCAGAAGCCCATCCTAAATTAATAGTCAAAACATCATTAAAAAGCCCATGTTAGAAAGAAATTTTTTATCAAAACGACTGAAGACTTGCATGAAAAATAAAGAGTTCAGACTACTGTAAATTCAGAAATTATTGCGTGCATTTATTATTGCTATTTTTGAAGAATGGGCTTTAATGCGAGGTTAATTATTGCGATTTCAGGAAATTCTGCATACAGATATAAGTATCAGATATCAAAATGCGAGTTCTTGTTATTGCGATCTTCATCGCATTATTCGCATTAATAAAAACCTCGCAATAATTTCTGAATTTACAGTATTGTAAAGTATGTTTAATATACTCGTATTACAGAGTACACCACCAATAGAAGAGAATTCCTGGAGACACAGAAGATTAAGAAGTGAACTAAAAACATTAAAATCTGACCCACCTGAAGGTATTAAAGCCACACCATTAGATAGACATTGCTGTCACTGGCAAGCCTCAATAACTGGTCCACAGGGAAGTCCTTATGAGGGAGGACTATTTCTGTTGTATTTGCAGATACCACAGAGGTAGGTTTATTTCCATACCAACAAAGTTCCATTGCAATATAACATGTAACACTGCTTTTGATTGGATGGCATTAGCTTTCAATTCCATGATTGGTGGTTAAAGTCATTTCAAAGTGAATGAATTGCAACAAACAAGAAACATGTATAAACCAACTTATTTTGAAATATACTTTTTTTTTTGTGTTTAGCCATTTCTAAGGGACTTCGTATTCATTTATTCTCAAGATTTTTCTACTTTGTTGATGCATTTATAATACTTGAAACTGTACTTAAAACATCAGTATTTGTATTTCAGTTACCCAATGAGGCCACCAAAAGTGAGATTTATTACACGTATATTTCATCCTAACATTAGTCGACATGGAGATGTGGGTCTGGACTCTATCCATCATAATTGGAGCTTAGCATTAACTATATCTAAGGTGTTAATAAGTATACAATCATTGCTGACAGACCCATATTGTTATGTGTGTATGGAACCAACTATTGGTAAATTGTTTACGAAAGATCGAAAGGAGTTTAACAGAATAGCCAGATTATGGACATGGAAATTTGCTATGCATGACTTTTTAATGCCAATGAATATTGATCTAAATGGGGTATAGTAATGGGAAGTAGATGAGATCCAAGATGGAGGATTTTTTTTCTGTGATATTTTTTAACGTTAAAGCATAATACAGTTCATTACAACTAAAAATTGTGCGAATAATGTTTGTTGCTACAGTTACATGTTATATATTATGCTTAAACATAAATACATTGCATGAACAAGTTGATTAGGCATCTTTCATTATATTTGTAATGTTAAAATGACTATTGATTACTGCCAATAATGAATTTCAGGAACGGTTTTCAATTTAGTTGGAAAATAGCTCAACTTTCTCATAATTGATATATCATGACCTCATCCTAATTATTAATTATTCATATCACGTTAACATGTTCTCGTCCTGAAAATGCATTTAATTTGCCACTAGACATTTAACAGCCATCCATCATCATGACCTCACCTTAAGTACATGTTCATTTACTTGTTTCATGCCCTGTCAGAGTTAGCAGAGGGGCCATTTTGTTATTATAATTAAGTGCAGAAGTTAACTAATGTGAAGGTTATAGTATTAGTAGCATCTAGGTTAAAAATGTATGTACATGTATTAAGAAACATTTTATACATCAACATATATTTTGGCTTTTATAATACATGTAATAAACATGATAAATACTGTAATGTGTGTAAAAAATGTTTTATGTAATGTATGTGAAGAACAATTAGAACAGTGGGCTTTTATAATAAGTAATATGTGGCTTTAATATTATTTAGGTAATGTAATCATATGTTATGTATGCTATAAATTAAATGTTATGAAGTATGTGCAATAGTTTTACACTGTATATTTTATTCCCTGAGTTAACATGAAGATTTTAATAAAGAATGAAACATTCTGACCATGATTTTTAACATACCCTAAACACAATATTTAACCATATGAGTTATGAAAGGTAGTTTATGAATGGATCCCATGAAAATGGAAACCATCAATCTATATGGAAGAACACAGATATAATTTCTCAGGACTATGTATTGCTCCTTCCACATATCTGTGCTGCAAATAATCTCTATAAATGTATAAACTAACTGTAAGATTAATATTGATTGATATTGATGGATCTTCCCTTCCAACAAATTATATCACAGTAGATGTACTAAAACCTCTGGCTGAGAATATATGGCAGGATTTCATTTCATCGGTTTCAGTGCCCTCAAGTTCCTTTTCTTTTGCACAACACAGAGGTATATTTTCTTGGTTTCACACAGCACAGAGCCAGAATGCATGACAAACTAATGAAATCAGACAATCATGACATGAGCTATGCTATGTAGCTGCTTAGAATCGGAAGTTTACACAAAATACACCAAGTCATTTATGCGTTACATGAAGATCACATTCACATAGTTTTAGTATGGACAGACTAAACTTGGCACTGTGATCAGTAATTGCTATGTAGTGGACCATAACGCAAAACTTTACAAAAGTAATTTTTGCGTAAAATGAATGTCAATGTCTCCTTTTTGAGTGTTTACCTTCGTTACTTAACATAATTATGCATCATATGACAAAATATCATTCCTCTATGATCTGTATTAATGCGAATCTTAACCTGGAAGGACATTAGGCTATAACCTCATCCCATTCATAACTTTGTTGGGCGAGAGCAAAATGATGTCATTCAGATTGACACGATTGAATAATTCAAATTGAAAATTTGAAAACTTTGATGAATTATTTCCTTTTTATTTAGCTACACCTTTTTTTCTAGAAACGAACCAGAAAGGACTCCTGCACTAACACGTCAATAGAGGCGGATTTAGGGAGGTCCCGCCCCCTTATGGAGCTACATATATGATAAATGCATAGACTTTTTACAAGTATCACTCCAAACGCCCCCTTTCAAAATCCTGAATCGACATCTGATCAATGTTATGTAATGTAGATGTAGTCCGCTGTTATTTAGCTGAGGTCCTTTTACTTAACAATCATATAGTTCTATCAACATTTCCTCTCCGAGGGTATTACCAGCACAGTAGTCAGCACTGCTATGTTGAATTATCATTAATATGGTCATAATTATAAATTAACTGTTTACAAAACTTGGAATTTTTAGAAATACTAATGATTTTCTACCCCAGGAAGACATTACCGTAGCTGTATTTGTCAAAACCATTCGGAATTGTGGGTTGACGATACCATTAGGAGGAAACCTCCAAGAGCAGTGGTTGTAAAAAAAAACTCAAAGATACAAGGCTTCTAATTTTGTACACCAGACGCGCGTTTGGTCTACAAAAAAGACTCATCAGTGACACCCAAATCATAAAAGTTTAATGGTCAACATAAGTCGAAGAGCATTGATGACCCAAAATTCCGAAATATTTTGCCAAATACAGCTAAAGATATCTATTCCTGGGTTAGAAAAACCATTTGTATTTCGAACAATGCAAAATTTTGTTTATTTCAGAATGTTTTTACTGTAGATATACCTTTGCCCTGAATTTAATTAACATGATGATGAAAAACTGATTTGATGTTAAGATTAAGTGTATTTCTTGGTGATTTCATAATTTCATTGGTTGAGATGAACATTTGATGAGAAGAAAATTTATTGCACATGTCATATAAAGTAAATAGTCTTTAATAAGATATATCCATTCTCCTCATTCTCTGTAATCATATTCACTGTTTAATCTTTCTTTGAAAGCTCATTTAGTGGACCTTCATATATTTCACCTAAACAGAAAAAAATATTCACAGTATCATATTACAACAATGATTGTCATTAATGTTAATGGGTAGTTAAGATATATTATGATGATTCTTGGATGAAGTTTGCTTCAATCAAACTGAATGTGCTGTGTATTTGCTACATTTTAATTACGATTACACACAATTCACACCATTCTCATCCTGGAAATTCATAATTTGTTCTTTCTTCTTTTGTGTCTCTGTTACATACAGTTCATGCATCGCGGATGATTCGGTTAGATCCCGTTCCACTAATACGACTCCAAGCGTCTTGCTCATTGCAAGTACACATTCGGTGTCAAGCCTTCTTCCATGATGTCACAATCGATAATAAGATGAGATTGTGCCTATGACAATTAGAACATACCCGTGGTCATCAATTACACAGCTATTTCATATAACGGTCAAGATAAAACTTTCGGAGGAAAGTCCCAACTTTACCACTAGGAACCCTTTGTTCAATATCTTCCTTTTAAGTAAAACCTTCAATCAAGGAAATCATGATTGGAAACGCAAGCTCTGGAATAGCGTATCAAATGGAAGATGTATACTCTACATGCAGGCAGTGCTAGAATTTTGTTGCATAGGAATGTAATGTTCCAATTAGGAAAGCTGCAATTATATTTTGTGTCAAAAAGTTTAGTTCTTAACCGTCCTTAATTTTCAATGTTTGCATGTAAGTCAAAATATGAGACATAGTGAACTGTATCTGTAGTGTCATGAATTCAAGTTCAATGTGATAGATACGATTAATTTTGAATTATTCAGTAACTCCATATAATCTTGATAGCGCAACATAAAGTTCAAGGATAGTGCTGGCTTTTTCTCTTCTTCATGGGAAGTTCTAGTATGAAGTCAGACTCATATGAATAAAGGAACAAGTCCACAAGAAGAGGAGCCCATACGGATTGTCTGAAAAACACGTCCTTCAATCTTCTAATTTATTGTAAATTAAAAGATACAGCATCTTGATGATGTCAGTGTCAGAGAATATTTTGTTCCAATCAGAGTTTGTTTATGTTGTTTATTTCAACATTGTTCTGTTTTGTTTGTTTGTGTTGATATAATGATGATTTGTGACTCCCTTTGGGAACCATAATTGAAATAACAAACACACTGTATTTCATCTTACCGTGCACTCAAGTACCACTCATCAGTATAGAAGAAATTTCCCATCAAAACAAAACGAAATTCGTAAACTTATATCTCAAATTGTCTTAACTAGAGGTTTTAGGCAAGTCATAGCTGCAACAACCGGTATAACAAAGGCACTTGCCTTTTGTATGTATTGTCGAGGTAATGCTAACCTCTACATGTTCCTTTAGAGCGTTCCTGATGAAGGTAAATCCAGAAAGTGTTCGGACGCAATTCAGGGGCGGGTCCAGGCAAGGGCGTAATGGGCGTACGCCCTCCCCTTTTCCAAAAAAAAAAACAAAACAAAAAAACTATCGTAATCTGCTAATATTGTGGCATGACAGTGTATATTTTAATTTTCTTTACTTGACATTTTAATCATTGTTTTTGTTTTGTATCTTTACTGCACAAATCAATTATGTACTAATCTAATTAAAATGTGCATAACTTACCGATTAAATTTGCAACTTAATCAAATCTGTCAGATCCAAATATCAATTCTTTTTTACCATTATTATGAATAACAATAGTTGGAGTTCCAAAAGTCTAAATAAGCGAATTATATATTTTTAGATCATATGCAGAATATACATGTATGGATGGAAAGAGTTTCATATGGCACTCCAACGAAATAAACTGCAATGTTGTGCCATAAGGAACTCTTGTCTTTTATAAAGTGTTATTTTCATTTCTAGTACCGGGTCGATTCCGTTGCTAGTGGACAATATTAATATCCGAGGATATAATAAGCTCAGTAGTCGGTGCATCGGTAGTATCAAGATTTAAAACGTACTTTGTTTTATATTTCCCCTTCAGAAATTTAGAAATTATCAAGAAACTAAGGTTCCAAATCTTCCAACCAAATTTGACCTAAGATGGATTAGGCTATTTTTTTTAGGTTCCTTTGGCCATAAAGCTCATCACGTATTTATATTTGAAAGAGGGACAGTCAAAAGGAGGATATTGTAGTTACGACATAAGGAACATATCCGATATCATCTGTGAAACGGTTATTCCATAACGGTCAATCAACTCGTAAGTCCTAATACATCCTTGGACTTTTGATTTTGAGTGTTCCTTATGAAAGTAAATCCACAAAAACTGTTTAGACGCACCGAATTTATAAAGTTTTATATACAAATTTGACGTTGCGCACGGTATCGGTGCTTCTTTGAAAAAATGCGTTATATAGCGGGTTAATCCAATTCACGCTCTTTTCCTATACAATATATATCCATGATCAGTATATCATTCGAAAGGAAATAAAACGCAGAAATCAATAAAATAGATGAACTTGTGCTTTTTATATCATGTAAAGAAAAACTTTGCTCATTTCGACGGCTATAACGTCATTTTAAGGGTGTCCCGCTGTTACAATTTTGTTTTGTTTGTGTCTTTGAAATCACAATGCGGACTAGTTAGTAAGTTAAATGAGATAACATTTTACAACAGTATTGTATACAATTGATGAAAAATAGCGTCATAAACGTTTTTAACTGTGAGTGAAAGAAGATTGTCAGGAGCGTTGAGCTTAGGAAGAGAAAAAATGTCCCATTCAGCTGCTCAGCTCCTATGAAAACTTTCAGCCTCCACTATTACAAGATATAACAGATGAAAGTGGCTTTTAATATTATCAGAAAATTTATACATGTCCTAAAGAAGCTTTATTGAAGTCATCACTATATAACTGCAGTCTTACTTTCAAAACATCGTCAGTTTTCCCGTGTCCAATAAAATGTCCCGATGGATAAAATGACGCATAGAGTAACCCAGAGGCTGTTTATTAAACGAAATTTTATTTAATCCCCAATTTTGAACACTCTTTAACCGATATGAACGGAAAATACATTTCATTTCTTCTAAAATGATGTGATATATATTTTTGTTTGAGCTGCAGGTATAAAATACGAAACGAACTTAGATGTCCAATAACATGTCCCCATAACTGTAATTTGACGTTCACGTCATGATAACGCTTAATTTTTTGCATATTTGGCATACAATTAATGTTAT